CAACAAGGCATATCTGCATTCCTGCCTTCTAGCCGCCGCTACTCACATGAAGGGCAACAGGCAATTCTCGACCTTCACGGCGGATGACGACGCGATGCGCCACAAGCTTGCCTTTGTGACGATCGTCGTCGATGCTCTCAATAGTGACAGTCAGCACAGCGAAATGCTCGATGCTCTACTCGGGATGATTTCGATGCAGGGCTGTGTCGGCTCAGCCCTGGAGCTAGAAAAGGAATTGATTCCCTGGCACCAGCATTTCCAGGCCGCCGCAGACATTGTGCAGAAGCTCAACCTTCCGCAGAGCTTGGAGAGCAACGCCCAGACGGGAGGCCATCCGCCGTTCAACATGAGTCTAACCGCGTGGATCGACATTCTCGGGGCAACGATGCTCGGCAAGGCGCCCCGATTTTCCCATACCTACAGAAACATGTTCTTCGCCGGCGCGTCGACGGGACTGGAGAAATTGATGGGCTGCAACGACTACGTCATGTACCTCCTGTCGGAAGTTGCTTGTCTCGACTCGCTCAAGATCGAAGGCAAATTGGACGACTACGGAATGTGCAGCCACATCACCTCGCTGGCCGGAGCTCTGGACACGATCGAACCGCAGGAAGTCTTGCAGCTCCCTTTCAACAAGGCCGGCGTTCTTCGACCGAAGCAGCTGACCAAGAACATCACCGCCATTTTCCGCAAAGCTGCCCGCGTCTACCTGTGCTCGCTTGTCCCCGAGTATAACCGCTACCAGACCGCCACCGTCAACCTGATCTCGCAAATGACCGACCTTCTCCAGTATATTCCCCCTGGTCCCACCGGCTTCGATCGATGCCTTGTCTGGCCCATGCTCATCTGCGGCGTGAACTCAATCCCGGCCTCTTCATTCCGCCGCGTCCTCTCGCAGCGATGTGACCTGCTCGGTGAAGCCGCCGACCACGGATCCTTTGGACGGATGGTGCGCCTGTTGCATGAAGTCTGGAGACGCAACGACGACGTGGTAGTTTCTGCGGGAGTCTGTGAAGCCACCCCCGTGACGGCAGGAAGCCCTGGAGGATCGATCTCGACACCAATTACCGCAGCCGCCACAGCCACCGGAGCCGGAAACTCAGCAGGGGCCCCTTCTTCTTCTTCGACGACGACGACGACGACAGCACCGAGGAACCAGAGCGTCCACTGGCGGGACGTGATGCAGGAAAACAAATGGGATTTCCTTCTGATATGAAACAGCACCCTTCTCTCTTCAATCAAAGTCCATTGGGGAAAAAAAAGAGGATTTGCAACTCTTGATGGTGCAGGGCCCCCGCTTGGTCTTGATGACCGGGCTACCCCCTGCCGAGATGCAAAATACTCTTGAACACGGGCTGCGAGAGAGAGGCCGTTCATACCGGGAGGAAGAACGACGTTCGTTTCAAAACCACCACCACCACAAACCAACTTGACGTTAATTGTCCTTTATCAAGCGACAACTAATCTCTTCCGCTCATTTTTTCAATGACGACCACCACCACACGCCTATTTTTCTCTTTCTTTTTGGAAAAGAAAAAGAAAAAACTCACTCCCATGAAATCTTTTCTGGCAAAGGATTAATATCTCACACACTGCATCCTGGTCTGGAAACAAAAACATGACCCAACTCCACAAAAGTTATTTGTATTTCCTCGGGCAACCAACAGCAGCAGCGACGACGACGACGACGACGACGAAGAAGAAGAAGAGGAAGAATCGAGGTGGCGTTTTCCCCATCTCTGGACCTCAAACTGGTTTTTTTTTCTGGCTCCAGGCATGAGCGCTGGCGCAGGGGCGCGAGGTTTACATGCATACGCGGGCAGGCAAGACCCGCAATCTTACTACAAACTAACAGCAGATCTAACGGCCAGGGACCATATCACAGGACATATCCTTCTTTCCCCCGTTCTGGGATGAGTGAGGGGTCCTAACTTCGTCATCCTAGACAGGGAGGGAGAGACAAGGCTGGGAAAAAAGGGGATATCATTTTTTGTTCTATTTCTCTTTCCTTGACATTAGCTTATACTTAGTTTTACTTACTGGCTTATGATACCCCCTCCATTGCGTGGAGTCCCACAAAGCCCCTCCACCCCTTACATATATTTCCGACGAATCTCTTTTTCCACACCTCTGAAGTTTTTTGGGGAGAGCTTTTGAGTTCTTTTTTGGAGGCTTTGGCGCCACGGGCACGCACGGACGGGAGTTTGAAAGGGAAGGGTGAAGGAAAGGCTGGTTGATTGGAGGGCTGGGATGGCATCGCTTTGGCCTCGCACTCCACATATCTGGATTTTCTGCATTGGTTTTCGCGCGCAACGAAGAGGTTGGGGTGATGAACACGCAGCAGCAGCAGGAACCCAAGCCAGGGGAAGGGGTGATGGGAACTGGACTGATCGATAGGAGGGTTGCTTGTAAAGAGTGCCGCTCTCTCTTCCCTCCTTTCTCTCTCGCTCTCGCTCTGTGTGAGGGCCCCTAGTCATTGCCGTTGCGATGACAAACATCGAAACCGGGTCACATCATACGTCGGGCTGTATGTATGTCCAGCTGGCCGAGGAAGGGACAGACGCAATCCGAACCACGAAAACATCAAGAGCGAATTAAAAAAGAAACGGAGATACGGCTACCGTCAGAGCAAGACGCAATGAGCGAGGCAAACCAATGCCTGCATGATAGTCCGTGCCGCAGAGAGGGGATGAGAGGAGGGAGAGCGGCCAGGGGTAGAACACAACACAAGACGCATTTTGCGCACGAAAGGCACGCATAATAGGCAAGCAATCTGAGGCAAATGTTCGACGCACGCACTTGAGAGAGGCGAGTGCGGTATCGATGCGAGGATAGATTGGACAGGCACGCAATCTGGAGGAAATCCCTCCTCTCCAACAACCCCCTTCCCTCTGGGGAAATGACTTAGGAAGAACTGGCTGGGGCAATGAGGTTTTGAGGTGCGAAAAGACCAGAGAAAGAGAAGGGGCAGGCGAGAACAAGGCATGCTGGGCGTTTTGTTTGCATGCATGCATGAATGGATGAATGGAGATAGACGGATTTTGATCACCCATGAAAGATTCAGAGATGCCGAAAGACGCAAGAGAGGGAGAGAGAGGGAGACAGAGAAAGCCAAGAAAAAAAGGTCAAAGTTCTATTCCGTCCCTTTTCCTTTTCTTTTCCCCTTCCCTTTCCCTTCCCTTTCCCTTTCCCGTTCCTTGTTTTTTCTTGAACCGTGAGATTCGAAAGGGGAGGCAAGGCATTGCAAGGTTGCGGACAAATGAGGCAGCCACTGAGCGCAGTTGCTGACCCACTACTCTCTGTCTGTCGTTGCCATAGGTAGTGGTTTCGATCCACGGTACGAGCTGGATTCCGATGGAATCGGCCCCTCAGGTACCAGGGATGTCAAGGTCGTGGTTCCCTGTTCACAGAGGGCGTCATTGTGTCACGCTGGAATTCCAGATGCGCGATTTTTGCTCCAACCCCGCTTATCTTCTTTGGACCTGACCCCGGATCTCGAGACCGCAAGGCTATCGCCAACATGGGATTTTGGGCACCTAAATTCGGCCCAGCCCGAGGAATCTCTTCAAGGATGTACCGGGCATGTGGCGAGTCAGACGAACCACAATCCGACGAATGCGGGTTTCGACTCACGCTTCCTTGTAGCAGGGTTCCCAGGGTTCTCGCTCGCGATTGGCCCTTGGGTTTTTCATTGCGAGAGTCCAGCATCGCGTACCTGAGTCTAGGATCGCGTACCTAAGTCCAGCACCGCGTGTCTCGAGGCCAGCACTGTATGCTTTGGCAGCAAGCACGCCCCCAAAACCCCGGGTTGTCTGTCCGACACGAGAGCTTCCAAGAGATTGATTCGCCAGTGCGCAAAAGGTTTAGACAAATGGGTCCTGGAACATCTAGAACTCCCTCAGCCACGTCACGTTCGCAAGCGCCTGTGACAAAGCTCCAACACCTGCCGGCCTCGAGCGAAATCGTTGCCCGCCTGCTCTCAGAACTATACGGCAATCTGCTGCCCAAATCCGATCTATGTGAAATCGTAAGGTGATTGAGCCGTCAGCCTCTCCCCACGGATATCGTCAATGCCGTGAGATAATAGACCGGGATAACCAACAGGGTAGCAATCCCACATTCTGCCTGTTGGCACAGGTTACGCCAGGTTTTGTGGCTGCATGTCAAGTATGCGCACAATCATTAGGCTCGTCCGTTTATACGCAAAAATAGTAGAGACTGCGCAGATTTTGCGGCTGTTTAGCCTTGGATGTATGTCCCTTTCTCTTTCGTTACCCTAGTACCTTCTAATCTGTTTCTTGTAATTGATCCACCTGTCGCTTGACGCTTTTTTTGTGAGTTATGTGGATTCGAGGCTTACCTGGCATGTAATTTATGCAACAAGCTCGGCCAACCATAGCATGGGCCGACTGGACTTCAGAACCTTTGACCAGCTCTGTGAGGAAAAGAAAAAGCAGGGAATCGCTCAACCACATCCCAACATGAATCCAGGCGCCACTGTTAAATTCGAAGGCGACCGATATATGGAGAGGCGGACTCGGTATATAACTTCAAGGTCAGCACTGGAATCTCGCACCAGGTACATCTGTCTTTTTCATACTTGCTGCGTGCTTGGATCGGCCATTCTCTGTCCGGCTTCTCATCGTTTCCTACCCCTTGGATTTTCAGGTACGAGTGGTGTGGTGTAGCTTTAAAGTTTCTTGAAGTCTCCTTTAACAGGATGCCTGCAGCTTGATTGAGAAGGGACCAACTCCCTCGCCACGATATCATAAACACCAGAGCAGAGTAGGGGTTGCTTCTGATTCCTGCACTCCCGTATAGCTGCGGGCACACTTCTCAAGGGGCCGGTTGGGAGCAGAGTCTTAAACACCCCCCTTTCGACAGCTACCACGTGACTTCCACACTCAGCCTTGTGCCTCGCCGCAGAGCGTTTCAGGCCTTTCAGAGCTCTTCTGGCAGAGCTGCATCAACGCGAATTCAGAATGTCCCCGTCAAAGGGAATGCTCGACGGTTACATTTATTCCAACACCGGGCTCGTCGACCGCCTGGTGGAAGCTCGCGACCGAACATCCAGGAGCAGTAGGGACGCGAAAAAGAGCCAAATCGCTTTGGAAGATCCAAAGGGGAAAGAGAAGAAAGACGAAGCTGTCGTACGCAGACTTGAGGGAGAGATGGACAAACTTACCGATCTAGTGCTCCTGCACGATGCTCAAGAATATCAAAAAGGTAAGTGGCATCGGGCGTCGCTGACATTCAGAGGAAACACTCACATTCTGCAGATGTCAAGGACGGCACCCGCTCATTCATGCATTAACAGTATCCAACATTGATCCTCGGGGGGAGAGAAAGAGGGCCGACCACGATCGATCATCATTGCTACAAGGTTGCTGGGGCAAGGCGGCAGCGTATCGGAAATCTGCGTGTTCATGGAGGTTCCTTCATTGGATTTGCTGGGCCATCTGTCTAAGCATGTCATAGTAATGTCAGTCAAGAAGAGGAAGTCAAAGGGGGAGACGGATGTAAGGCTCGCAAAGAGTGGGCTGGGCTGTATTGGCTGTAGTGGAAACCTGGGGAAACAACGATGTCGATCGGGTTAACTTCGGTGGCTGTCCATGTCCGGAATAGTCATTCCGGTGATCGGAGGATTTGTTTTTCCGAAGACTGAACGTACTTTTTTGAGCTGTGCTTGCTAGTACTATTAATAATACTCACCTTCCTTTGGGGCTTGATTTAGTGACTTGAACGGTTGCTCTTGCCTATCGTAGTGAAGATCCCTTCCAAAGGCAGTTTGACCTCACCTCCATCAGCCATAATCCCCAAGAGAGCCTCCTTCAGCTGCATCCTGCGAGTTTCCATCAGCGAGGCGGATCACCGAGGCAAATTCAGTCAGATAATACTCTCGCCAACCGAGTGCTTCTGGGGGACCCAAGCTATGTGCGCTGGCAGACATCGTGCCTCCCGCTCGAACGGGGACGATAAAATGATTAAAGAGCTCGTGGGGTGAAGTAAGACACCCCGGACTTGATCAGGTCTTTGATTTGGTTGCCCGGCGTGGGGGCTTTGAGCCTTGCCTCAAAATGTCCCGTTGTTGACGTCGTTGTACAACCAGCTCACGCTCCCTACCACTAAGATTTCGCTCCGTCGCAACCATCGATAATATCGCTCAAGGCGTCGTGAACTTGTTTTTCCAACTAGGCCATGAAAGCTTGCTCGCAACGGAAGATACTTTGCGTCCAACTTTCGCTAGTCGTGTTTTGCGTCGCACGAGGGTCTGTCGCCTGATTGGGCGACGTCGGAAGAAGTCGGCTTATCGATTGCGCCTTGCTTGTTCTCTAACAGAGTGGTCCGGGGTAATGTCTGGGGGGATATCCGGGGCCCCTAGGCTGACGGGATGCCCTTCCCACTCTTGAGTTCGCTCAAATGTTCGCTCAAACGTGTCCCGGCCAGCAGAAACAGCTCCCGATATGTTTCAGTGGGATCGGGGGACTCGATCGTGCTGATGATGGAGAACCGATCAGACGGGCTGAAATGCCCAGGATGAGGGCGGTTGGGTGGAGCTACGCATCGAATGAGTATTCTTGGCTTCGTACACGTCTGCAATCAATCCGAGGGAGCATCGTTCTTGAAGAGATGTCTGCTCAGGCTGAATTAGACCATGTACATGTCTCGGCTGACTCATCTGATGGACCATTGGCGTCCACCGAGTGCCCAGCACCTTCGCCAGGCCCATGTAAGGCCTTGATCAAGATTGCTTTCCGCAGAGCTTGCGTGATGGAACCTCGTAAAGATGTCCTTGTAACGCAGATGTAACATTTTGCCCCGCACGGTGACTACGAACTGTCGCCTGACTTGGACTGAGCCTGCACTGACGGGATGACTTTGTGCATTCCAGACGAATCAGAGTCTGACGCAGATGAAGCGATTTGCCAGCCTTCCTCCCGGGCACAAGGCTTCCGCCCACGTACTGGGTAACGCCCACTCAACGCCCACCTTGCGTGGGGTGAAATCAAACAGGTCACTTGGGAAAGACCCTCTGTCCCTTTCAGCGAAGACACAGACTTCTTGTGCCAATAGATTGCCCTTCTGCATGATTTAAGGCCCCTTGAAGAGGATGCGAAAGCTGAAAAGTGTATGGCGGCGGAGGCGAAGCCTACAACACCCGGAAACGTATAAATACCTGGGTGGGAGGGATGCGGTTCCCGGTTTTCCAAGAGATTCCAACATATGTGCCTAACATGAACCACACGCAAGCGACATCTGGGTTCGATACCTAACTCCAGCACAACGATAATACGTAAATTCGCTACCTTTCGTATTCAAATCATGGCGCAGACATTGAGGCAAGCTCGGAGATGATGGATAGACTCACAGGAGAACTGACAGGATACAGAATCAACCGGATCGACTCGAAAAGCTCCTGTACCGGAAAGGCTCGAGAAGGAGGAGACATGGTGGACGTCTTCCTCTACGGAAGCTCTAGCAACGTCATGGACTTCATTTTGCTCGGGCGCAGGTCAACAGTCCAGGCCGTCCTCAGGCGGATCCCAGCCAAGAACAAATTCGGAGATAGTATCGGGCGTTGCGACAGCTCAGAAGACACGATGGCGGGGCTGCTGAGATACATGGATGAAGTAACAGATGCAAAGATTATTCGGGAGGCAGAGGTATACCGCATGACGCTGGTTGGCTGTGAGTAACTACAGTATACGACAGGGCAAGAAGATGAGTGGAGAGGAAAAAGGACAAAGCAGTAGGGCAAAGGTTGAAGCTCAGGAGGAGTAAGGAGCAAGGAGGAAGGAGGAAGGAGGAGGGTGAGACTCGACCACGCGTTAGGATGTCGCGTGGACGGGGTGTTGGACCGAGAACCTGCAAGGTACCTACTCCGTGCCTAGCGAGGCTACAAGGCGAAAAGGGGATAATTCCGCGCGGAGGGAGCGGGTGGCCCCGGAACGGTACTCCAGCCACTGGCGAGGCTGGACGAGGCTGCTTCTAATAGGCTGGGCAACATTCTCGACGCACTGTACCTACCAAGTACATAAGTTCTTATTTGTTTTATCCTTCAGCAACGCAGGACGGGATCAAAAGAACTGACGGCAATCTACCTCAAAAGCAAACGATATCTATCATCTATGACTCATCTTCTGTCAGTTCTAAATCTATTGGTCTCTCGTCTTTCCCTGCAATCTTCTGAGAGGCTCCCAGTCCATTGGATACAATGCAACGCAGGAATCTGTGATGCCTGGTGGTGGCTCACTCTTCAATCCGTCCTTTGCCAAAAATCCATGATTTGGGCGACTATCTGGTCGCCTTTCGTGACCGGGACTTCGTGTCCTGCGTCGAAGACGGCAAATTCTACATTGCCCGAAAGCACTTCCGTTGCATCTTCCTCGACCTCTTTTTGGATGATGATGGGGTCGTTGGCACCCAATACAACTAGCACCTTCTTCTGCGTGCCCTTCTCTTCGTTCTCGCGGCTCAAATGCTCCCCAACGATTCGCCAACGGTCATGTTGATACCGCACAGGGCCATAACGAATGCTGGACATAAATGCAGCGACGAAGCTGGGATAGTTGTCCAATTGATAGATGACTGTCTTTTCAACAGTGACATGAGGACGGATCTTTGAGAGAACGGCTTGAGAATTGGCTTCAAGGTTGACTTCAGCCGCCACTGCCTCTGTTGCGTCAACCATGTTGTCTTTGTCTACTGGCTTCTTCAAGGGTGTGGCCATCGGCCTTCGCAGCCGCTTTCTGACCAGACGCTGTAACAGCGACTCCGGGATAAGGCCCTCGGAATAGATGATGTGACTCGTCCTGCTAATATGATAAGGTCTCAAGATTCCCGCCGGCGCAAATAGGATCAAGCTGTCGATCAAGTTGGGGAAGTATGATGCGAATGTCGTAGCAATCCCGCCGCCAAGGGAGTAGCCGATCAAAGAGAATTTGCCAGAGTCCTTGCCCGTCCAAGACAAGGCAGACGAGGCCAGCACAAGCAGTATTTGAGTCGTGAAGAGTCGAATGTCGTGAGGCAAGTCTTCAGGGTTGTCGGAATAACCTCGCCCGAAAAGGTCGAAGAGCATGACACGACATCCGTTGTCCACTAGGGCGTGGGCAACAGCTCCCAGCGCGATCGCAGGAGTGCTGATGCCATGAACCAGAAGGACTTTTCGCCCATCCTCCGGGCCGAACTCGTACACCCTGATCGAGCCGTAAGGCGAATCGACATCGCGTGCCCCAGGGAGCACATCTGGAGGATACGGGATTGATGCAATCTCCTCTGGTGACAGTTTGGGCAGTACTGTGACTCTCGGCGATCGCGCTGTAGAAGCTTTCTTCTTGTTCCAGAGCCCTCCCGCAATAACTCCGACCGAGAAGAGGCAGGTGCCCGCGAGCACGAGCCTCCACTCGAGGGCACCTGGAAGTAAAGATGACCTGGATGTCATTTGGCGATGTGTGACAAGCCCTAGACAGGGACCGGAACGAATTATCTATACTAAGGGGCGGATGAGAAAAACAATTCGGGCGAAGCTCGATCTTTATCGGGAACGTGTCCAATTGATGACGAATCCGTGATCTGCCTCGGCTAAGGGCGACGAGGCTGAATGGCCCGATTTGGGCTAGCCCTCATCATCTGTCGAGCCTCGTGGCTCCCAATCCTACTATGCTTCTCATAGTACCTTATATACCTAGGTATGCAATTTATCTCGACTCAAGACCGCATGATAGAGTATCCCAAATAGCTGAAGCATGATCATCACTTTTTTCCGACCCATATCGACTTGCAGTATCGATACATGCAATCCGTCGCTCCAAGCAACAACTCCAGACTTGAGCAAAGCTTTCCTTCTGGGTGTGATAGTACCATAACTTGAGGTATCAGTACACATCTCGCCGAACGCCATTGCCCTTTTTGTGTTTGATCCAAGCCTTCGTCATAGAGAGAAGTCCAACGCCTTGCCCCCGGATTTATCCTTTCCCTTGTTTCTCTTTCTCTTTTTTCGCTTCGGCTTTGACTGACCGTCCTCATCGCTGCTTTCATCTGAATCGGATTCATCGACATCGTCGTCAGAGGAGGACATCCCATGCTTCGCCGCAGCACTCCGTCCACCACCCGGAAGCCCTTTTGCCTCTGTCCACACTTTAACAGTCTGGCCCCCGCTAGTAACCATTCGCCCTTCAATATCGAAGCCAACAGCCACAACACCGTCGATTTCATCGTGTTTGGCGTCCATTTTGGTCAAGACCCCGTTGCGACCGATTCTCATGAATCGAACCCGGCCATCCTCAAGGCCCACGGCGACAAGCTTTTCGTTCATCTTCAGTTTCCCTCCTCCAAAGCCGAAAGGCACTTCAGCCAAACTATCCACGCTGAGCCCGGCTCGTTCAACCACAATTCTTTCGTCGAGATCCCCCCATACCCCTCTCTCCCATAAACTTACAACACCATCACTTTGACCAACGAGGACTTTCTCGCCCACGCTGGTCCCCCCCTTTTTGAGGCCACGGACCATGGCCAGACTCGTCAATTCGATCTCCTGATCTTCACTTGTTGCGATAGTTCCCTTACGAAGATCTGTCACTGCAAGTGTAGTCCCACCTACACTAACCCACTGTTTGGAGAATCCACTTGTGCTGGTCTCACTCACGGGCAACGGAACAAGGGCATTTATATGTTCGTCGCCGTGAGGTGTCCATGTTTGGCTGCATTGGGACACAATTTCCTTTCCGTCTTGTCTCAGGTCTTGTAGGTATAATTTCCCAGAATCAGTGCCTAGCAGCAGGGCTTGCGGTGACAGGGCGTGCAGGACCGTCGGCCCATCAACATCTTCCAGTCCAACGCTTTGAGGTATTGTAATTTTGCTGATAACCTTGCCCGTGTCTGTATAAAATGCTTTTACCAGACCGTCCATCCCTGCCGAATAGCATATTTCTCCATCATGGCTGAATGCAAGACATCGACATGACCCTTTGTGTCTCCTGGTGGTCCACAATGTATCGATTGAGCCGAGGCCGCTCTCGGAGAGGCTGGCAGTAGAAGCTCTGCGTAAGGAAGGTACTATTGAGCCATTGACAGAATTCGTCGTTTGGAGAGGCGGCGAGGTACTGTCCTCGGAGGTATCCTCAATGACTTCGGAGTCGGAGGGGAGCTTGTATGCGTGCACATGCCCCGAAGACAAGCCGATCGCGAACAATGGCTGGGTGGGATGAACGACTTGAGCAAAGATGTCGGACTGGACAGGGAGTGTACAAATGGTGTCGAACATGGTTTGAGTGACAATCAAGGCATGGCCGGGAAGGTGTTTCCCCCTTGTCGTTGCGTACAACTGCGTTGACTGAAGCTTTCTTCAGTGACAGCGTCGAATTGGAGACTGAAAAGTTGGAGAGAGCTGTGTCACTGTGTGGACAAATCTCCCGGGCGCAGTTGGCCCATTGGAGGGTGTAGAGGGTGCTTAAGGGGGCTTAGGCGCCTCTGGGGCAACAGGGTTTAGGCAGGTGGGCAGGTTTAGGCAGGTTTGGGGCATGTTTACCGAGAACCCTAATTAAACAGCGTCTCTAGTGGGCGCCGCGGCACCTCACGACCCCGTGTCCTCCATCTGACACCAATCAATCAACAGACAAGAATATTTCGGCAATGGTCGATCGTTTGGTACGGAGTATATTCGAATAGGTATATCATCTTCTACTCTTCTAGGCGTTCTTTACATCCATTATGCCCGCGGCAGACATCACTCAAGACAACACCGACGCTCGAGTCGACGAAACAACCGCCTTACTTGCTCCGTCAGCTGACCAACCTACTTCCCGTGAGGACGACGATGATGACCACGAGAATCAAGTCGCCAATGGCGCCAACGGCAAGGGAGAAGACAGGCCGCTGCCCAAGGATCAAATCCTCCTCCTCTGCTTCGCGCGCCTGGTCGAACCCGTCGCCTTCTTCTGCATCTTTCCTTTCGTCAATCAGATGATATGGGACACTGGAGAAGTTGCTGAGACGGATGTTGGGTTCTACAGTGGATTGATCGTGGGTCCATACCGTTTTCTGGATAACTCGCGAGTGCAATTGATTGACATATGCACACAGGAGTCGTTGTTTTCACTGACGCAAATGCTGCTTATGATTCCCTGGGGCAAAGCCGCCGACCATTTTGGAAGAAAACCAGTTCTGGTCGGCTCGTTGGGCGGCGTGGCTGTGGCAACCGCCGTCTTCGGACTGAGCAAGACGATATGGCAGATGATCGTGTTTCGATGCTTCGCCGGCCTCTTCGCCGGGACGATTGTGTAAGTTCATTCCGTCATGTCTTCTAAGCACCTGTCACTAAAGGCATGTGTGCAGGACCATTCGAACGATGATCACCGAGAACAGCACACACAAAACCCAGGCTAGAGCATTCAGCTTCTTCGCCTTCACAGGAAACCTAGGCATCTTTCTCGGTCCCTTGCTCGGTATGCTGCCCTCGTTACATGAAAGTCCAACCCTCCGCGGGCCTACTGACAACCCTGCCCAGGAGGCGCGCTCGCTAGTCCAGCGACGGAATATCCGTCTGTGTTTGGACACATCAAGTTCTTCCGCGAGTACCCATATGCACTACCCACGTTTGTGACAGGCTCAATCGGCCTGGTGGCAACGGTCACCAGCGCAATGGGTGTCAAAGAAGTGAGCTGACTTTCGTCTCTTTTAACATTATTCCTCCGCCTGGCGTGGCCAAAAGCTCACGATAAGTTCTTTGCTCCTAGACACTCGTGCGCTCCCCGAAGAAGGCGTCTAGCGACTCCGGAAAAGAAATGTCTATCCTAACCCTCCTCCGCTCCCCGAACGTGCCGATAACTCTGTACATCTACGCGCACATCATGCTTCTGGCCTTCTCCTATACGGCCATCATCCCAGTGTTTTTCTTCACTCCGGTTCACCTAGGCGGGTTTGGCTTCTCGCCCTTCCTCATCTCGCTCTTCATGGGTCTTGGCGGCCTGTCCCAGTCGCTCTGGCTGCTCATCGCATTCCCATGGCTCCAGGCCCGCTGGGGCACGAAGAGGGTCATGGTCCTCTGCGCGACCGCCTACCCCTTCTTCTTCGCCTTATACCCCGTCTGCAACCTGCTGCTGCGGTACCGCGTGATGGCGGCGTTCTGGACCGTGGCCCCCATCTCCCTCACCATTGGATCCGGCGTCGCCATGTCCTTCACCGCCATCCAGCTCGTCTTAAACGACGTCTCCCCCGGCCCCGAGGTGCTCGGAACCCTCAACGCCGTGGCGCTGACGCTGGTGAGCGGGATAAGGGCCTTCTCTCCCGCGCTGTTTGCCAGTCTGTTCGCGGCGAGCGTGCGGAGCCGCGTGCTCGGCGGCCATGTGATTTGGATCTTGATGGTGCTGTTGGCGCTAGGCTTTACGGTTATCAGCCGCTGGATCCCCGAGCCGGGAAAAGAGGAGCAAGAGAGAAGGAAGCATGTAGTTGGGCACGGGAATGGGAATGTTCATGGCAATGGGATCGTCAACGCAGCAGCGGAGGAGTGAGCAGCGCTAATGGATGGATGCGAGGAAGACATGGAAGAGCCAAAAAAAAGTGGTGTGTCTAAGGCTCCATATACCGCAGCGGTGGGGACGGGTCCGCGCCCACCGCGTCGCATCGCATGGTGCTGGAGGTTTTTGTTTGGGAGCGGGCTATAGACAAAAAGGTACGGTTGCGACACGAAGATTGAGATCATCCACCCCAAAATGGCATGGACCTGTCACACATGGGTCGGTAGTACAGTTGATCTAACAGGGAACAGATGGCTGGATGGGTGAATGTATGGCACGCTCGGAATATTCCGAAGGATGGAACAAACATGACATGAGCATAGACGAGGCCGGGTCACAATATGCACACACATAGATACTTTGGGGCTTAGACATCGGCCATTTTATATGTAGTCTGCCAAACTCACGACTGCAGCCGCAACCACCACATTGGATCCATTCGCTTTCTCTATAAATCCGCCCTGGCCGGCTCCCCGGCCCACGCTCGCCTGATCAGCTCTCTAATCGGCTCCTTTTCCACCTTCCTCGGGTTAGGATACTGATTGCTCACCGCAATCTCAGCGGCCTTGTCAATATCCTCCTCCTTCATGCCGAAATCCTTCAGGGCGCGCTTCACCTGCAACTTCTCAAGCAGGATGTTCAGCCCTTTGATGGCGTCGCCTTCGCTGCCGGGGAGTGCGGCGGCGAGTTTCTCCATGGCGTCCGGGATAGCGGGGGCGTTGTAGGACAGGGCGTGGGGAAGGACGATCGTGTGGGTTTCGGCGTGAGGGAGATTGAAGGAGCCGCCGAGCGTGTGGCAGAGTTTATGGTGCAGGGCCATTGAGGAGGAGCCGAGACAGACGCCGCATAGCCAGGCGCCGTACTGTGCCTTTTCACGAGCGGGCTGGGACTGAGGGTTCTGGATGATTTCCGGGAGGGATTCGGCGAGGGCCTTGGTGCCCTCGAGGGCGAGGAGGGAGATGATTGGGTTTTTATTCTTTGCGTAGAGCGCTTCGACGGCGTGGGCGATAGCGTTGACTCCTGACGTGGCGCTGAGAGACGCCGGGAGGGTCATGGTCAAATCGACATCGTAGATGACCGTGCCAGGGAGGATCTTGGGGTCTGTCCGCGTGGCTTTGCGACCATCCTGCGTTTCGCCCAGGATGGGTGTCATTTCACTTCCGGCGTAGGTGGTTGGAATGCAAATATGGTGTAGACCGGTGCGGACTGAGATCGCCTTGCCCAGTCCTGTTGTTGATCCTCCTCCTATTGAGACGACACAGTCTGCGGCCTTGGATTGAATATAAGCCATGGCTTCTTCCGTGATGTGGGAAGGAGTGTGCATGGTAGCGTTCGTGTAAGTGCCGGCGGGCTCAATCGACGCGGCGGTAAGGATCTTGGCCAGGTCTTCTGCCTGACTGACTTGCTGGGGAGTAGAGAGGATGAGTGGTGACTTGAAGCCCAGACGTCTGATTTCATCTGGGAGCTTTTGGATACTGCCTTTCCCAAAAACCACGCGGCCTGGGTTGGCGTTATACTCGAAAGGATCCATTGAGGTCTGATTGAGATGAGAGTCGATTGCGTTAGACACAAAAAGTCCGCAGAGTCAATTGTCAGTGAGGCTCGAGGGCGGCAACCCAAAGTTACAGGGAGGTCTGATGGGGAGGGAGTTGAAGCGAGTAGGTTTTGTTAGAAATAGGCCCCGCAGCGCGGAGTATTTTGTCCGCAGTGAGCGCAACGGAATCAACCGCGTCTCATATGCGTAGGCATCGGAAAAGGGATCTTGCTGCTCAAGCTTTCGTGGGGCAATGCCGGGAGATACACCCAAATTTCAACCCTGTGCCCAATTACCCCACCGTCTGGAGGAGCCCAAAGGGCTGGCGAGCAGTCGCGTCTAGGCCTTTATCCGAAGGGCCTGCAGGATGAGTTCATCAAGCTGACAAACCCTCATACCAGAGCTGAGAGATGAGATCCCGCTTCTTGTCAGTACATAATTGCTCGGAACAGATATATCACCGTCGATGCTGCCCAGCTCACCATCAATACCCCTAGAGCTTGCAACATCTGCCGCGTTGATCTGATTCCTTCATTGTATCGGGATGCTAGGGGTACTGTGGCTCTGCTACGCCAGAAATTCCCAATGTGGTTGTATGCCAGGAAAAGGCCGCCGGCATTGGCGGCACTGAGCAAGAATGGCTTGGTGTTCCGACCGGATGATACGGCGACAACGAGAATTACCGACGACACCAACGAGGATAGAGTCTGAGCCCATCCCTATCAGTGTCTGACATGGCAGGAGAGTGGGATTTCTTCAGCAACTTACAGCTAGCACACCACTAGCCTGTGTGGTTCTGGTTTTGTGAAGCTGTCGCGTAGCCGTGTTCGAGTAGCGTGATGCGCTTTCAGTTTGTGGCTCCCATTGACGGAGGTTGTAGATTGCAATGGCAGATAGCAAGGCCAGATAGACGCTGGCGCATGCTTGAGTAGCATGGTACATTTCAAGAAGGACAGACATGGTGGATGCGAGCAGCCGTTGAATGGCAGAGTGGTGGGAGTTTTGTCGAGAGATCCCAAAGAAAGCTTCGAAAATCGATGGCATCAGGTGCTGATGACTAAGCAAATATAGTGCCAAGACATTTCTGAAGTTGCATACTTTGCACTTGTGAGAAAGGGTTTCAAAGCCATTCTCCACTATATTCTATTATCAATGAAGGCAATTACAGACTGGCTACCAGGACCTTGCAAGACATGGCTTTGACGAGGCTGCTAACCCTGAACCACTGCCAAGGTTTAGGCTGACAATTCGTAAAAGCGGCACGGTCGGCACACTCGACACCAAGCTAGCTTCGTTTCTCCGCGAGGTTTTCTTCTCGCGCCTTTCCCCCTGGCAGTCACACTCTGTATCCTTGTCAACTATTAAATCCAACGATCCTAAGGTGTTTCCCTGTGGTAGGTACGGCAATACGGCGAGCTTGCCGCCTCGGCAGGATGGCGGATGAACTTACGGCGCCGCCTGTACTCTCTACGCCCGACACACATATCCTAGATGAGCCTCTTCCGGAATCTGCACGGCGTCCACTAGAGAATTTGTCCGACGAGCAATTCAAGACAAGGTACGAGATTAAAAGGACGATCAACGAAATCAAGCAGCGAAGATGGAGGCGTGTGGCACTGCAATTTCCTGACCAGATGCTCCCCCATTCAGCAAGAGTCTACCAACTTTTGGCCAGGGGACTGCAAGAACAGGCAAGGACACCAGCTGGAATGCACACAAATGGCACAAGCAATGGAACTCCAACTCCAGAGGATCCCGATTTGTCTGGACTTTCTATCAACACGAAATCGGTCATGCTCACTATACTGGGCGATACCTCCTATGGCTCCTGCTGTGTGGATGAGATTGCTGCTGAGCATGTCGACGCAGACGCCGTCGTCCACTATGGCAGGGCTTGTTTATCGCCAACTGCAAGATTACCTGTATTGCACATCTTCACTACGATGGATCTAGAAGCGGACGATGTGGTCACGTCTTTCCAGACAGCGTTTCCGGATCAGGAGGCAAAGGTGGCTTTAACAGCTGACGTCCCTTACGCTGCGCATGTACAGCCACTCTTCGAAAAGCTACAAAAAGCGGGTTACTCGAACTTATTTGCTGCTTCAATTGTCCACGATCCGTCTTCATTAATCCCGAATCGGACAGTTCCACCTTCGGTGATAGAAAACCCTTCATCCTTGTCAGAATGGAGTCTCTTCCATATCTCCGACCCACCTACGTCCCTGCTCTTGACACTCCAATCCCGTATGGCCAGCATAAGAGTCTATCCCACCAACACCATACACTCCCCTTCGAATTTTACAGCTAGCTCTTCCGCTGTGGAGACGTCAACGGCTCAACTTCTCCGCCGCCGCTACGCCCTCGTGACCTCCCTTACCACCGTCCCGACTTGGGGGATCCTAGTCAACACGCTGTCTGTCAAGAATTACCTGTCCGTTCTGTCCCACATTCAATCCCTCATCTCCAACGCGGGCAAAAAGTCGTACCTCTTTGTTGTCGGCAAACTTAATCCCTCAAAACTCGCAAATTTCTCCGAGATCGGAGGGTGGGTGGTGATTGGGTGCTGGGAGAGTTCGCTGGTGGACAGTAAGGAGTTTTATAGACCGATTATTACGCCATTCGAGTTGGAGATGGTTTTGAAGGGGGATGAGCAGAGGGTATGGACTGGGCAGTGGAGGGGTGACTTCCAGGGGGTGTTGGAGGATGTAGAGAGGCGGAAGGAGAATGAAGATGGACAGGCTGAAACTTCGAATGGATATGCCGATGCAAACGAGAACCGCGAAGGCGAGCTTGACCCGGATTCCGAATCAGAGTCCGAGCCGCCCGAGTTCGACCTTCGAACGGGCAGATATGTCTCCCGCACACGGCCGATGCAGAGATCTCGACGGCCAATTTCGTCCATGTCTAACCCGGACTCCAATTCCAACGCTTTGCGGCCTTCGACTGCACTGACCAAACGATCGAGCGGCGCCATGATTACTGTGGGCGGTGTCGCCTCCCCGGCCGCTGAATATCTCGCGCAGAAACGTACTTGGCGCGGCTTGGGCAGCGATTTTGAGGTCAAATACGAGGAAGATGAGGCAGAGGCGGGCAGCGTCATTGAGGAAGGAAGGACGGGTGTTGCGAGAGGGTACACGGTTGGAGAAGAGTCTGGGAAAACTTGAATTGTGCCAACGTGGGCTGTCACCGTGATCAAGATCTAGGGAAGGGAGTTCTACATTTACCATCCGCCCCCTGCCGCCCCCTTCTGTTCTCCCAGCTCGATACCTACCCTTTCTCCTTCCGTGCTCATCTCTACCATATGAAAGACGTCTAACGACAGACTTGGTACTTTATATTGTAATAGTCCAGAGGTTTGATCAATTGCCGTCCAGTCTTTTCTATTATATTCCGAGGTGCGTCTGCTGCACAAGACTGGCTTCCCTTTCGTTTCCGTTGACCCGAATGTCCAGTGCCTTAAGCCACCCCTGTAAACACGGGTCAAACTTGACTTTTCCAAGTTATTCTGACATTTTGCCGCTCATAGAGAATTCTATCATGATACACGGTGCTCGATTGAGATGTCAAGGTACGGTTCAGGACGAGCCTTGCGTCATGCCTCCGGATATCACGTCCGATCATTGGCCTGTAGTCCGTTTAGGAAACGATGGTCCTCTTTACCGGTACCTTTATGGTCTGCCATCGGTCTCAGGAGTGGGAGAGTTGCGTGGTAAGTACCGGGTTCGACATGACCCTGATGTCAATGGATCCCTAAGCCTCCAGCGAGATGGGCTCACTGTGGACAAGAATGACAGCACTTAACTCCCTTCAGCCACGAGAATTCAACTTTCGGGCAAACTTCACATCGACAGACGCCTATATGTTCCGGTAAGAAAATCGAGTGGAAGCCCATTTCTAACTCTCACAATGGCAACGAAGAGCGTGACGAGATTGCTCCCAAAAGCTACTAGACCGGCCCTGTTGCTCCCACAGGCACCACAAGCTCACCGCCTACTGTCTACGTGTCCGGTTCAAGAGTCAGGTGCAAACGCTACCTCAAGACAAAGAGAATGGATTTGGTTTCATACGGCACAACCCCCGCACGCCCAAGCCTCGCAATAAAGGCGTGACTGAGATACGGGGCCCATACTACTCGTCGTATGGAAAGCGTCATCTGCAGGATGTGCTGGAAACCATGGGATACCATGTTGATGGACTCAAATTCGCCGGAGCGAGCTTCTCGATGATGCCTGAGGAGAGAGTGCGAGAGCTGATTGACCTCGCCCACGAACATGATGTGTATGTCAGCACAGGCGGGTGGATGGAGCACATCTTGACCCAGCCCGACTCCAACACCACGGTAGAGAAGTACCTGCGGAAATGCAAGGATCTGGGATTCGGCGTGATTGAGATCTCGTCGGGGTTCCTGTCCTTCCCGCCTGACAACTGGCTACGGCTGGTTGACAAGGTGCATAGCATGGGCATGAAGGGGAAGCCTGAATTAGGCATCCAGTTTGGGGCAGGTGGTGACACGGCAGTAGAAGATCTGGAAGCCACGGGCACATCCGACCCCAGTAAAGTGATCAATCTAGGCAAGAAGTTCATCGAAGCGGGCGTCGAGAGGATGATGATTGAGAGCGAGGGCATCACTGAGAACGTCAAGAGCTGGCGAACGGACGTGATCCAGGCAATCTTGCGCGACCTGCCCCAGGAGAAGGTCATGTTTGAGGCCGCGGATCCTCCGGTCTTCAACTGGTATGTCCGCGAATTCGGCATTGATGTCAACCAGTTTGTGGACCACTCGCAGATTGTGCAGTTGACCTGTCTGCGATCGGGCATCTGGGGCATGGCCGACACGTTTGGTAAGATTGTGAGCTACAGGGAGTGAAGACGAGATACTTGTACGCTGGGGCTCATATGCTGCTTAATACTCACTGTTTTATGCGACAGCTATGAGGTAGCATAAATCATTGTTGCGTTATTACCTCGTACTTGGTATCAGGGTTGCCTGATGGAGTGCCGCCAGTACTATTTCCATAAGGATCTCGCGTGTCAGCCGCTAAGAATAAGCCTATTATCAAGTCTATCGGTGCCCCCCAGCGCCCCCTGTTTAGGTGCCTTACCGCCTGCAGGCCCTTAAGAGGGAAACTAGTTAGGCCCCCCAAGGCACTGTCAGCCACTGCGCTCGCTTATTCTAGCTAGTGTGGCGGGCACGCAACTCACCCTCCCTGCTCCTCCTTGTCTTGCTGCGATTACTCCATCAGGCTTCTGTTGCGTTCTCTTTTCATTGCTTCCATAAACACCGGCCCGAAAACAAACATCATCGTCTGCCCTGCATGACGGATCGCCCGGATGGACAAGAGCTCAGCACTCGGCCTTGTCCTTGGCCGAGGGAGGCGACTGGTCATCAATCCCACAATCCTCCAACACTTGTGGCAGTGAAGCTGCGTGATTTGTTCTGGAGGCTTGACATCATGGTCTGATTCCTGCCAAACACGAAAGACACATCAAGGTTCCCGCCTGGCAAAAATGTGGAAATACCTTCAGCTCGCCATCATTGCTCCCTTCATTCACTCACCACTAATACTACTAATATGCTCCTATTAAGCCTATGTGGTGATATGGTATGACATTTCCCCAAGAGCGTCGCCATCCATCCTGGTGACTCGCCCTGTATCAAGGTGAAATCGGTCGCGTCTTCCTATCCTCATTTTCCTTTGTATCCCACTGTCTTTTGTGTGTCGTGTGCGCCTCGGACTGGGCCCACTTATCATCATGAAGTTTGCTCTACTGGCGGTCATTGCCAGCACTGTGGCGGCCGGTGTGAACGGTGAGTATGAGAGACGTTCGAGTTCTGCTCCCGGCCACTAACGTTTGACGCAGCACACGCCATCCCTCTGGAAAATGCCTATGTTGACACCTCAGTGACGGTCGAGAACCTGCGACGGTCCCTGCCGAACTCTCCCAAAGGATACACTCCCACCTACCAGAATTGTCCTCAGAATGCTCCTGTGGTTCGAAGCGCCGCTTCGCTCTCGCCGAATGAGACGCGGTGGCTGCAGAAGCGGAGAAATAGCACCATTGCCCCAATGCGCAATCTGTTGAGTCGATTGAACATCCAAAACTTTAATGCGACGCAATACATTGATCGTGTGGCCAGCAACGCCTCTGCTCTACCCAACATTGGCATTGCCGTGTCGGGAGGCGGCTGGCGAGCACTCATGAATGGGGCTGGAGCACTGAAGGCATTCGACTCCCGCACCGCCAACAGCACTGCTAAGGGCAAACTTGGGGGTCTGCTCCAGTCTGCGACGTACCTGTCTGGCTTGAGTGGAGGGTCATGGTTGGTTGGGTCGCTATACATCAATAACTTTACGACCGTCGGGGCCCTACAGGCAGAAACGAGTGGTTCGGTCTGGGAATTCGGCAACAGTGTCATTGAAGGTCCCGAGAAAAGCGGAATCCAAATCTTCAACACGGCCGAGTATTACGCCAACCTAGTGAGTGATGTTGATGGAAAAGCAAACGCCGGATTTAACACTTCTCTTACGGATCTTTGGGGTCGTGCGCTTTCCTACCAACTAATCAATGCCAGCGAAGGTGGCCCGGCTTACACCTGGTCCTCCATCGGCATCTCGGCGCCCTTTTTGAATGCTGATGCTCCCTACCCTATCATCATTGCCGATTCACGAGCGCCGGGAGAAAAACTGATCTCATCCAACACGACCATTTATGAATTTAACCCCTATGAGATGGGTTCCTGGGATCCCACCTCTTTTGGCTTCGTCCCCATGAATCATTTGGGCACCAACTGGACAGCAGGTCGGGTACCGGCCAATGAGAAATGTGTGGTAGGCTTCGACAATGCTGGTTTTCTCATGGGAACATCGTCTACATTGTTCAACCAATTGATCCTACAACTCAATGACACCGGGATTCCCGACGCCCTGCGGAATCTCGTCGCGGATTTACTGACAGGTTTGGGTGATGACAACAACGATATTGCCGATTATACACCCAACCCCTTCTATCGGTATAACCCGCAGACCAACCCTTCCGCCAATTCGACGCGGCTAACTCTTGTTGATGGTGGTGAAGACTTGGAAAACATTCCTCTTCACCCACTTATCCAACCCAATCGTCACGTGGATGTCATCTTTGCGGTCGACTCCTCGGCCGACACCGCCTTCCACTGGCCGAATGGGACTTCGATTGTGGCCACGTACGAACGGTCGCTGAGCGCCATAGCGAATGGCACCGACTTCCCCAGTATTCCCGACGTGAACACAATCGTCAATTTGGGTCTCAACACGCGTCCCACTTTCTTTGGCTGTGACACGTCGAATTTCACCGGTGGCACCACCATTCCTCCCTTGGTCGTCTACATCCCGAACTCGCCATACACGACATTCAGTAATGTCTCGACTTTCCAGCTAGAGACCAACAACACTCAGCGGGACGCCATCATCCTCAACGGATTGAATGTTGCAACCATGGCCAATGGCACCCGCGACACGACTTGGCCGACCTGTGTGGCTTGCGCGATCTTGAGCCGCAGTTTGGAACGCACCAACACCGAGGTGCCTCAGGCTTGCACGAGCTGCTTCAACCGCTTCTGCTGGGATGGTACGCTCAATTCGACAAAACCTGCCAACTACAACCCTATGCCGGTTCTCCAAACGGTGAACCTTCAGAGCGGAGGCTCCAAGCTCTTACCAAGGTGGGCGGTTGCTGCGGCTGCGGCGGCATTGGGCTACCATGCTATGTAAATTATTCTCGGATTGTCTAGAGTGGTGGTGCATTATCACTGGATATTACTATGGTTGGATTCCAGGAATGGGATAAGGATCAGTCATTGGGTAGGCCCTCGAGGGCCAGGAGACACACAAAAAGCGGGGCTCATGTGAGCCTTCCCTTCATATAATGATAGGATTGATGAAGCAAAACGGGAGGGCATCTGTACATGAATGATGATCATTGCGACGTGGTTTATAATAATTGAGGCTGGGCTGATGGCCTTTTTATGACCCCGAGGCGATATGCTGACTGTTCTTTTGATAACACCGAGGTACAATTCCAGCCTTGGAGGTTGGAGCGACCAGCTCTGGGCTCTGAGTTCATGTGCGGTAATGACTAGACAGTGTTGGGAGGGAGCTAAACGAAATAGCGTCGGCGAAGGGCGCGTTGGTGCGTGCGTTAAAATTGATAGGGCTACTCATGCCACCTCGGCCTGGCTCACCTTCACCACAAGGCCTATCTTCCCCTCGAACTGAACCCGCCGCTTAGGCATTGATGATCCCTTTCCGCGGTACCACCAGCATCTCTTTTGTGTTCCCAAGGCAGCTATGATACCCCTTTCCCCTCCGGATGTGGAGAGGGGCGAGAGCCATTTGGTGCCATGATAGCACGGCTATGTTGGAATCCTCGACTGCGGCCATATCTCGGGAACAGCTCATCCCACGCCCTTTTCATCCCGCGTTACCGAATCCATGGAGGCATCAGCGCGACGATCCAGGGGGAAATCCCCATCTGACCGGGAACTGATGCAACCGGGATGCAGAACCGAGTCCCCCCAATCATGCAGATTCACGCCCTCGACTCGACCCATGTGTGCGTTCGGCCAACACTCCGCTTCCCACCACGCTCGCTAAGTGGCTCAATCGGCTCCAGCAGACTGAGGTAGGTAGAAAACTTTTTTTTTGCTTTGACCCTCTCAGGGCAGGATGCTCGTTCGATATGCTTCCATCATCTGTCTCGGTAGCACATCACGTTCCCGCGGTGGGCAGTTGCCGCTGCCATCATCCGGTCGGTGACGATGGCTCTGGTCGGTGGACACCCAGCACCATGGGCAAGAGGCGATATCCTGTTGGAGAAAAGGAAACACCGAGCAAGTCGCTGTCGGCTCTTTTTTTTTTTTTGGCACCCTTCTAGGTACGCTCCTGACCTGGCCCGGTTTGTCATTCTCCTCTTTCCCCCCCAGCGTACCCATCTCGTCTCCAAGACTCCAAGTCATAAGTAACAGGGAGCGAGCCAAAAACAATGTGGGTGAATCCTTGAAGTTGCTCTTGGTGCAAACAAGCCCAATATGGGGGAAATCATCGTCCAAGAATCGAGGCCCTCGCCGCCAGCGGGAGCCATTGATAAGGTCGACACCACCCCAGACACCGACAGCCTAGCATCCTCCGAAGAACCCGTTCCGATCTTGGAGCCTCCTCCTCGTCACTCGAGCGCGAATCCTCCCGATTCACTGACTGAAGATGGAACCACATATGTCTACCTGGCATTTGACACTGACATCCCATTCGACGACTTCTCGTCTGGCGCATCTTCGATACCTCCGCCGAATCTCAAACAATATGAATCACCACTCACCTGGTCCACCACGCACAAGACCATCATCTTGATATTGTCGTGTGGCTGTACCTTTCTTGCCGCGTACAGTGCTGGTTCCTATTCCATCGCAGCGGATCCTCAACGAGAGAAATGGAATCTGTCTGAAGTCGCCTTCAACACCGGTGTCACGACATGGGCCACAGGCTTCGCCGTCTCCCCCATGTTCCTTGCGCCATTCTCCGAAATCAACGGTCGGCGACCCGTCTTCATTGGTTCCGCAGTCATGTTTCTGGCGGGTCTCATCGCCTGTGCAACCACTCCGTCCTTTGGCGGAATGCTTGCAGCTCGATTCTTCGTCGGGGCTGGGGCCAGCACCTTTGCGACCATGGTTGGAGGAGTCATGTCAGACTTGTATCATGCTGAACATCGGAACACGCCAATGGCCATCTACAGTGGCTCCGCACTGGCAGGCACTGGTCTGGGACCACTTGTCTCCGGCTTCATCGTCGGTCGCGCCAATTTCCGCTGGGTCTACTATCATCAGATCATAGCCCTGGGACTCATGTTGGCCGTGGTGTATCTCTTCTTCAAAGAAACTCGCGGTTCGGTGCTCCTCAGCCGCAGAGCCAACGTCTTGAATGCGTACCTCGATAAGATCGAGAATGGGTCGGCCAACTCTTGTGGCGAGAAGTCGAGCACACCAGCCCGTATTCGCTACAAAGTTGCAGCAGATGAGAGTCGATCGTCGCTTGGCCGCATGTTGTACCTGTCACTAACAATTCCTTTCAAGCTTCTCACCACCGAACCTGTCGTCTTTTTCTTCTCGCTGTGGGTTTCCTTTGCATGGGCTCTGCTGTACATGACATTCTCCGTTATCCCTTTGGTGTTCCAAACCCGCCACAACTTCAACGTCGAGCAGAGTGGAGGGGTCTTCGCGGCCATTTCTATTGGCTCCATTCTGGCGACCTTGTTGTCGATATACCAGGAAAAGTTGGCCAAGAAGAGATGGCCCAAACTCAACAGCAGTCCAGAAGGAAGATTGTATTTCCCTTGTCTGGAAGGGGCGCTTCTGCCGATCGGCCTGTTCTGGTTCGGATGGACGACATATTCCTCCATTCCCTGGATATCACCGGTGCTTGCCATTGGATGTGCACAAATGGGTATCTTCGTCATCTACCTGGCCGTCTTCAACTATCTGGCTGACGTCTACCATCGTTACGCTTCGTCGGCATTGGCGGCCCAAAGTTTCATGCGGAACATTTTTGCCGCCGTCTTCCCGCTCTTCACCAACCAAATGTTCAACAATCTGGATTACCCGCCGGCTGCCAGTTTGTTGGGAGGAATCGCCGCCTTGTTGACGCTGGTGCCCTGGGTGCTACTTTTCAACGGTGAGAAGATTCGCGCACGCAGTAAGATTGCGAGGCAGATCATGTCGACGCACGGGAATTGAGAAGAAGCATCGCTACCAGACTTTGTTGGATGATGGTTCGAGTTCAACAAGCACAGGATTGAGTATCGGAGTATATCGCAAGCATTGAGCGTCGGAGTTTGTCTCTTGGGGGACCGAGTTATGGCAAATAGGACCAGTGTATTGTCGAGCGTCGCTGTTCTAGCACCATCAGATGTCATTGCAGGATTCAACAGCACTAAGCACCGACATCCAACAAAGGGTTATACATTTTGAGACCGATGGTCTAACCTAGCTGACAGATAATATGAGAGTGAATATGTTTAAGCGAGGGCCATTGCTCATAGGCGTTTACGAGGTCGACTTGTGATAGTGACTCCTGCGTCTTTTAGGAGAGAGGTAGGAATTTTTTGCGCCTTTGTTTCAGGCGCTCATTAAATCAGCCTTACAGCATAGCGCAGGGAGAGTACATCGTAGTACTCCAGGAGGGAAGCAAGGCCAAATGGATGGGCGGGTAGGTTGGGTGGGCGCGTGAGATCCTACGTAAGGAGGTATGTATATTCCTGAGTATTGTATATATCTGAATTGGTTGGTGGGCTTTAACCCCCCCCTTTCGACCCCAACTCGGGGAATCTTGTGCATACATAGGCTATGCGTATGCATGCATGTGCATATATGTACATGTGCGTAGCGGACTTCTCACGCATAAATGTAATCAGGGACGCTATTCATCGAGTTGTACGGAGTGTTAGAGGAGGGGAATGGAGGACTGGGTAGAGCAAGGACATCGGACATAACACCTACCTACTAGATGTTGCTGCACGATGTGTAGGGCTAAAATTCGATGGATGGACATTTTGTATGCGTGTCCCAGGAGAGATGATGGACTGAGACACAATTCTCGCTGGGGGACGAGTGTCCCCAGCTTCCCACTTTCAGGCACCGTAACCCCGCCCCCCGGCCCCCCCAAATCGACTATTCTAGGCAAGGTTCACGTCTTTTCCGCTCGCTTCCGTTTCGCTTTTTTCTTTGCATCGGCTTCGTTTTCTGCTTGACCTATAGAAGGCTGCACCCCCCCTAAGTTTCATTGTTAACTTCGATAAAGAGACTGCTGAGGTATAGTGAGGGAGGGGCAAAGCGCGAAGGTCGGTGAACCCGTCTGAACGTCCCTTGCCCGTTGGAGCGCAACATGACCAACTGACTATGAGCGAACGGCGCCGTTCTGAACTAGTGTAATCATCGCGGCATTGATCAGAACAGATCAAATTCCCAAAGCGAAACAGGCGTCTGGAGTTCTGTCTAGCTTCAATTCCCGTTCTTAGATCTTCTAGACTCCCAGTGTTGACCGAGCCTTCATACCTAGCGTGGATCAGTACTCTGGAGAAGTGCTTGGTTACACAGCAGATGATGGCTTCCGGGCAATCCTTTGAATGGTACAATGACTCAAGCGATATATCAGCCCCGTTCTAGTAATGTGTGGATGTGAAACCCTCCACAAATCGCAAAGTGCAACTACTAGAGATGATACCCCCCCATCATCAGCTGGCCAGGACCGAGCAACAACCAAGGGGTGCCAAGTCGACCGAGGATGGAGACCAGATGACGTTCTGTTGTCTGGTAAGTCAAGTTGCTGGGAGAGATATTGAAACTGGAAATCAGTCGATCGGGTGTTGTGACAATGTTACGTGCAAGAGCAATAACAGAGTCGAGGTAGTTGACCTTCGACCTCGACACACCGTGCAGACACCACGCTTGCTGCCCGTCCTGCCCGTCCTGCCCTCAATGATAACCCCCGTCCAAGTAGGTCTGGCTGAAAATTAGGCCATATGTCCTCCCCCCGAAGCCATGTAGGTGACGCAAGTTGCTGTCACCCAAGTGAAATATCGCACTCCGAATGCCGAGGAGACTCGCTGTCTTGAAGCCCAATAAGGCCGGATCTTCACCCTTACAGAACAGTACGACATCCAAGAGTAGGTCCCATTTAGACTTGGAGTAATCGACTTTCAGAGTATGAGCTCCCTGATGATCTGCAGCAATGCCTAAAAGGGCGTACGTTTTGTCGCGAGGCTCCGTGCACTGTGATTCTCCATAGGCGAACAACAAAGTGCGCCGAGCTTAGAGAGGTGGCTTCTTGTCTCTGTTGGCACAATTGTTGTAGCTGGTCTGTCGATAAGGAGCTTCATGGGCAGCCTGTCTCCGGGCCGTAGCATCTGTGATCCTGCTACCCTGACTGAGGGATAACAATGCAGTGTGAAGTGCATACTTGAACTTTGTCTATGAAGCCGACTTGCCGCCACAAAGCACTTGAACTTCTCTGGCGAGAATGAGTTCCTGCAGAACCCATGTCCTGCTCCAGTAGCTTCGCCTCTCTATGTCTGCCATACTAACCACTGCTGCGTTGAATTAGTCGGGATTCGATTTCGGTGTCATACTGTATCTGATTCTAGGACATCGAACAACGTGTTGGTGCATGGTGTCCCATTCCCCAACCAGCAAAGCACACGTGTTGCGGATCGATAAATTTTGCCCATAAGCTGCACCTGATGATTGCATTTGGCAGTGTGTGACTGATCAACGCAGCGCGCATCGAAATCGCGGATCGAGGCTGGCAGGTCGCTGAAACGGCCCAAATGCACGCCGGATGCTCGACACCACCTGACTTCGCATCACCCGCTGATCGCCTTTCAGTCGTAAAGCGATTGCGACCAAGCCTGCTGCACCTACAAGTATATAGCGCAACCCTCTCCGGCTTCAGAATTCAGTGGAAACTCCAGCTCACCAAATCTTCTTGTTTGATTATCATGTGCTCAGCTTTGGTACTGTAGTGTCATAGCCGTATCAAAAAATTGCTGGCGAATGTATATACTCGCCGATATCTGAGGAAAGAGTTTCCGGCTTCTCCGACTCCATCCCGCGAACGACGAACTGCTCCGACGTGAGTTGGTAACCGACGCTCTTGTCGATGGACACCCAACTCATGAGGCGCTGTCCTATGTTTTGGGGCTCCAGTGGCTCACTAAACCATATTATTTGCCATTGACAGACACCTTCTATCACAGTCAATTGCCGAGCTGCCTTTCTGTAGCTCAGACATCGGAGAAAACCTCGTCTGCTGTGGTTTGATGCAATCTGCATCTAGGAATGTCCTTCCTACCGACAATGTCCTGCGAAAGAGGTGCGCATCTGCCGCCAAAAACAATGGGTTCACGAGGACATACTTTTGGCCACATTTAGAGCAACCCCTTTCGGGCATAGTCGCCACGTCTTGGCAGGTCGCTGCTTTTGACTTCGCAATCAGAGATGCCCTACCATGCTTTATATAGCACGTTCTACCCTTACCTTTTTATATTAATTTCTAGAGAGCATGATTTTAAGGAATATTTAAGGTGGGTCTAAAGTACACATGCCGTCACATTAGTCGACGTATCACTACTTACGTCTGTCGGGAAGCGCTACCTGGGGCATTTCTCCAGGAACAATGCCTCTCAGGCAAATGCTGGCTCTGACAGTGGTTCCATTCCCAACGTCAAATTTCTGCTGAAGGATCTTATCCGGTGCATCCGCCACACTCGCAAAAGGTATATCAACGCCTCCGATCTCTTTCTCGCCGTCCAGAAGCGCAATACGGAACTTGTCCGGACTGCTCCCCACCAAATCTGTTGTAATGGGCAGCCGGAACGCCTGGTCGAATGCAGGATTGCTGATGTCGGTACCGGGAGCATCAGTCTTGATGGCGGTCTGGAATCGTTGAGTCTTGCCCCAAGTCACTACTACGCTTGGCTTCAGGTCTTCGCGCTGGCCCTTGATGTCGAATGCACTTGCGACTAGGATGGTAGCGATGCCGGAGAGGCGACCATCGCCTTTGTGGTCGGAAGCAGTGAGGCTGCCGGCATCGGCCACGTACTTGAAGAATTGGCATGAGATCGATACTCTGCCTTCCGTTTCCTCGCCTTTGTGAACCAATGGCAGTTCTTGGCTACCTCCAGCCACCAAAATCTCTCGAACCGTTGTCACCGCAAGGCCGACTTCATCATCTCCGTTGACATCTTCATCTTCGACGTCCACTTTAATGCACTGATCGAAATCACTCACCACAAAGTCATGCGTCTCGTTCCACGTCGGCCTGTTCGTGTTGTTCTTCGTGGTTGTCTTCCACGATTCCTCTCCACCGACGTCGACCTTGGCATAGCAGTCTGGAGCGGCGCGAGTTAACTTGTTGAACAACTTTCTCGTGGATGACTTAGCCTCCTCTCCAAAGCCCCATGCCTTCTCCACCGTCACTCGCACCATGCCAAGCGGGTAATGGTAGGTTTTGAAGTAGTCGGCGTTGGCGTCAAGCTTGAGCAGGAATCGGTTGGGAAGGGTGAACATGGAGTTGATAATGCCAAGAATCACCTTGCGGACGGTGTCGTCAATGACCGAGAAATCAGCCACGTTAGCAGCGCCAGTGAAATCAAGCTTCAGGACTGGTGGGTTGATGAATGATATCTGGGCGGCTCCGATCTGCATCGAGTGTCAATGGGGAGGACGCCGGTGGCAGAATATTTGCATACCAGCGGGATGACGTTTGTTAGAGGGCATAGCAATATGGAAAGCCGGCCATGAAGCTGCACGCTTTCGACGCCCTACAATCACGAATCAATGGCATTCACTTGGTTGGCAGAAGACAGCCACTCACCAGGGCGGGTATCATGTCTGCATCCAGTTCGATGTCGGCTTTGCCCACCCAGTCAACGTTCAGGTCGAGTTTGATGCCATCTAATTCACTCTTTGTTGTCTTTGCGTTTGATAGCCGCAGAGGTACAGGCCCGAGATCGATCTTGGTGAAGTGCAGCGTGGCCAGTGGGCCAGGAAGCATAGTCTTGAACATGGGCTCCACGATCTCCTTGACCATTTTGCTGCCGGCCGCATTGATGTTGGGCCATAACTCCTTCACGATGTCGTTTAAGAACTCTGTCTGGCTTAGGACTAGGTCAGAAAACAACATGCATCATATGCTCTTACCTGCTGATTCACCGCTCCCTTCGGCAGTCAGCTTTTCGACGATTCCTGACATAATGATTGCAACTGCGTTATATGACGGTTAGACACTCAATTGAAAATCGCCAATCAGTACCATGCTGTGTAGAAAGGAGGAGCTCACTGCTTCGCAGCGTGAAGCAAACGCGATAGTTGGAACATGACGCAATCAAGCTTGCTGCCAACTGTTCTGGACCACTGCGGGGGTGCAGGCAGCTGTGACGTCACCCAAGGCTGTCGGGCTGCGAGGCAGGTACCTGGTATAGCCGGTCACTGGAGGCGCTCGATTAGGCTCCCTTGCAACGCAGCGCCAAGATACGAACAAATACGAGAAAATCAGCTCCCTCACAAATCAGAGGTCCAAACCTCAAGTTTCTACAGTCCAGTGTTTCATGCGGGATCGATCAGAATAAATGCATACGGAATGAACCCGACGAGTGGATCTTCCAGGTCGAGTTGATGGCTGGCTCTTAACCCGTGTTGGCCAGGACACCAATCATGCCAATCCCACTATTCATCCTTGCACGGCCTGATGATGGGCACGGCGAGACCTCGCTGTCTCCTCCTGAAAGCGAAGTAGCTTTGAGTGTTCCGGTAGGCTTCAACACGCCTCATTTTAGCACCACAGTTTCAGTTTGAGACAGGAGACGGCCCAAACCCGGTCTCTTTCCTTTCTTTCGTCTTTTCGTACCGTTCAGGGGTATATACAGAAGCTCTATATAAGCGTTTGTCTGGCATTGTTTTGCAATAGACAGAGGCCGCAATTCACTCATTTGGACAATATGGAACTCCAAGTTAGGAGAGTTTTGGGCTGAAAGAGAGGGACTGGGGTTCCTATCGGGTAATCCAGCAAGCACAAGGCATACAACCAACTTTCTCACAAAACAGGAGGTTCGAACTTCACGTTTCTTCTGTATTTGGTTCGATTTCGATCAGAAAACACGCATACCGAATCGACACGGAAACGAAATCAATATTTGCCCAGACAAAATGTAGCAAGTCCCTACCAAGGCGCTCAGACACTTCTCTCAGCTCATTCGCTCTCGGTCTGTGTGCGTGCATCTCCTCATCGCAAACACATCGACCCCAAGACCCATGATGCTAACTCCACCGGTGCCGGGCCCCTTCACATTACTAGATCGAGCACCAGAGGCTTTTCAGCTGAGAGGATGGAAGTGGGAATGGGCAAGGATGCCTCCAGGTGCTGCCATCGGTAGCGCAACCAGGCACAAATTCTGGCAGCCTTTTTAGGCTTCTCGCCAGAAATTTCCTTCCTGCTACCCATACTTCTTGCTTACAGTTCAGTCGACCTCATCTTCTACCGCCTGCACCCCAAATCGCCTCCCCCTACCTGTTGCTCGTCCCCTCCCTCGAAAGACCCTCTGTTTAGCAATGAAAATTGCAAGAATCCAAATCAAACTCGCGGCCAATACTCGAATATGGGAGCATCTACAGAAAAGTCGGTACATCCACTGTTGTCGCAGAACAAGACCGAGTACAGAAAATGAAATCTTTCAGTGGATTGTTTCCGTGCTGAAGAGTTTGGCATGGTTATTGAGGGGATGAGTGAACAATTCTTGTTGTGGGTGTTTCCTCAAAAATAACACATACCTGTCCATCTGGAAGCAACTACTCAAGGATCCAGTATTTTTATTTCAACACCGCACCTTAGATGCATATTAGCACTTGATCGAATCGAACCTAACTCTCAGGTCGATACTCGATACTTTCATGATATTCGTATTACGCGCCCTCCCTTATGATCTGCTCGTTAGACCGGTGAGCAAAGTAGTTCGAGAGCTCATCGAACAGGATGTTATAAGCAACGAAGTCCTAGCACTCCTCATCTTAGCAACGGAACTTCAGACGGAAAAAGCCAGTGACCGCTCCAAGTCTAACAGCGTTCGAGCTGAAATCCCGGGGTTTTGGTTTTGTCTCGAAGCGAAAAACCTGAGCAAAGAGGAGCAAAGGGCGTGCTATAGGGAGCACACAGCACACACTTTTAACTCCAAAGCCAACGCATGGTGCGTTGTCCAAGGGAACACTATTTTGCGGTACGCGGCGTGGGTCATTCGGGGGGTCATGTAAACGTGGTCACACCGCTGAGCCCTTACCTCGTACAAATAGTGCAACAGTCTTTCCGAGCCGGGGGAAACCTGCAAGAGCGTTTGAAGAAGACAACAGGGTAAATGGCGACGCCATATGTACATCCGGAGCCTTTCAATATTCTCCGCCAGAATGACAGCATCCTGGTACACTATTCGTCGCATTCATCCGCTCCTAAGCCACCCCATAGTCCAAGGTTCGCGTCGACTCCAGAGACCGCAAGGCCGAAGAGGTCCATAATGTCCGTGCCCATTGGGATATCATCCTGCCCGTAGTTCGAATCGCTATTGATTGGGTATGTCAAGTGTTCCATGGCTCCTGACGAGGTATTTGCAGAATCTTGTAGGATCGGGAGCTGTTGAAACGCCTGTAATGTAGACATTAATTAACGAGATCCACCGTGAGAGGGCAGCTTACCAGTGAAAGGGGCGAGACACTCACTTGGTCTAGGTTATCCTGTACTTGAGAGGAAGAGACCATTGGACCAACCAGGTGGGCATTGTTATAACTGGCGGGGATTGGGCCTGAATTCAAGGGTAGAACTGGCCAGCTGAGAGCCGAAGATAGCGTGTTTGGCTGCTTGAGAGAGGATTCGCTTTTGGAGCCACGATTTTGAACGTCTCTCGTGTATTCTGCTGCAATAAAGGCAAATTCAGTTATCATTGAACCGGGTAGAACGCCGCCACTTGCGTAGTCGATCTGACTAAAATGACCACCCGCGACGTGCAAAAGTGCCAGGTTGCTTGCTGTTTCTGGATGGTTGGGATTGTGAACGATGAAATCGAAAAGCACAAACAGCGCGGCAATCGGTATGCCTACCAGAACCCTAGTAACTCAGCTGCTATCAGAGACTTTGTTCAAGCGGGAGTGCATCACCTCTATACGAGAGCCAGGACTTACCACATCGGTGTATGCGGTTCAACATCTATGAACCTGCTCAACTCAAGGATGGATCTTGAAGCCTTGATGATGGCTATGTTGCTGTCAAACTGTCGGGTGGGGGTGGCAGCTTCTTCAGGTCGACTTTCGAGATGCAATCTTGCACGGGAAAGAGCTAGAAGAAGTCCATAATAAAGATAGTGAGTCCAGAGAGCCGCAACTCTCGTCAAGGGGCCGGGCAGGTAATTGTCCCAAAAAGGTGCCCCGGGTCGAATGAATTCCGGGATTGACATGCGCCATTGTTGCAGTTCAGTTTCTAACTGATCAATGACAGCACAGAAGTATTCTCGTGAGTTCCCTGTCACACCAATGGAGAACAGAGAGCTATAAGCCCGAGAAAGCAAACGTGCATGTCTCGACCAAGCCAAAAACCAATTGTACTCGCCGAAAGATGGCTCCGACACCGTCGGAACACAGTGGCCGATATCTGTGTCGTTGAAAAACTGAATACGTAAGCATGCGGCAACAGTGAGAACCGAATTCTGCAGCGGTAAGGCTGAGTATCGAACTTACAGAACCCCTCCCATAGTAGAAGCTCGATGTTTTTTCAATGCTGTACAAGACCCAAAATGTCCGTGCGTAAGACTTAACAACTCCGTCTTTCTGTCTGCTGAGCGGAATCTTCTGCACTCTTCTGGAACTTTCGGTAAGAATGATGTGCTCGATTTGGAGACAGGACAACGAAAGTGCGAAGACGGTCATGGCTGTAAGTGCCTGCAGAAGCAAAAGAGAGTCAGGAAGAGTCAGGAGGTCGGGGAACGCGGCTAGTGCCACTGAAAATAGCAGCCAAGACCTCGATTTCCCTGGTTCAAAACTTCCGTGCCCGGAGTGTTGGCAGCCAAGGGCCAGAACGGCATGATATAAAGCTGACAATGCCTTGTTGGTGATCATTTCCTGAGAGAAGTTAGGGTTGGAAATGGTCTGTTCAAATGTGGCGCGGTCGAGGAATGGGTAGAATGGGTGGATTCTCTCAAAGTAGCCTGTCCACAGTCAACAAAACACTGAAGCCTACCTTGAACTGTAGAACAAGGAGGCAGCACAGGTACATACATTTCACGTAGGTAGACGCAACTTCCCAGTCGAGAATGACCTCCTGAGTATTTGATCTTCGGAGGAAGGTGCCATTCGGCGATGGCGGACCGCCGCGAACTCGTCCATTGATCACCTCAGCCGCTCTTCGTAACAAGTCATTCAGCTTGTTGTTTTGGAGGCGTGCTGACAAGGCCGTCATTCTCGATTCAGAGAAAAAGCTGAGGCTGTAGTTTCCGCCTGCACCGCCGGTTAGATAGTAACTGCACGGCCAGCCGGCGACGTACTGAAAATTCCATTTCCCTGGTGCACAAGCATCAGCAGCGTAGTACACCTTTGGAAGTTTCTGAACATACTTTGAACGGGAAAAACTTCCCTTGTGAAGAACCGGCAGGCCAGGACTGCGCAAGGAGACGATCGACATAAAGCTGGGGAAGCACTTCAGGTATCTGGGGGAATCCTCTGTGATTGAAATTGCGAATAACAGACTGCTCGGTGTCCTACCCTGCATCAGCCTCTGTGTAGACCCCGGCATTCTTCTCACGAAAGGAATCGGTGTTGGACGGGAGAACACACGGCGTTCTGTTGGTTCAAATGCTCCAGCACACTTGGCACTGGTGGCTCGTTGGTCGCTTATCACAGAGAGGTTAGTATGCTCCGTTCAAATTGGACAGGTCCAGTTGAATCCCACGCACAGCTCTTTAATTCCGGGCCTTTTGCCCGGCGACGTCGTGACTGTTTGGCCGCACCAAAATAACACGTCTCACCTCGACGCTTCTCGCCTAGTATTAGCCCCGTTTCCAAAGCTCCAAGACATGGAGATTTTATACGGTACAGTTCACACATGAGCCAGATGGTCCTCGGCCTTGGGCTAATCAGCTTGACATGCTCAGAATTAGATTCCTCGGCGGCCATATTTGCTTACCGGAACAACGTACTTTACGATCCTTGCAGGAACCACATGCTTTGAGCATCTTTGCTGTGCCATCTTTCTCAGTTGACATATTGAACACACTGCACACTGACTTCTCGACAGTGAGAATAAAGGTGCAATTTCCTCGCGGGTGGAAGTTTCTTGAACTCTTGGGCTACGTTAATTGCCAATGCTTGTCACACCGAGGACCCCGCTGACGCCCCCTTTAAACCCTCGGTGCCGAATGCATCTCCACTGTGGGCAACAATCCGGCCCTGGGATTGGTATTTCGGATTTTCGGGAATCTTTCAGGATATGATACAACGTGGGCCTTGGCCTGTCCTTAGATCATCAAACGTCTCCTCGGCCGAGGACACACCACGCTCATGACAGATTAATCCCTGAAGACACGGGCGTGTCATTTTGCAAGATTTCCCTTGCATCTCGGACGATTGCAGGATGATCATGCTACATGTCAGCCGAGCCTCGCGGGTATATCAGGGACATGGCTCCCGCATCTCTCGACTTGGTTCTGCTGCAGACTGGGAAGTCGGCTGGTATTTCCGCCACAATCTTACGACGCCATGGACGATCTGTCTCAGAGTATACCTCATTCGATGCTATCCTTGAATACTGTTTCGCCGCCCGACCCTATGCGAGAGGATGAATCAACATCCGATATCGACCCAGAAAAGAGGGGAAAGGCAGCCACATCGGACTCTACCTCCCCACGCTCGCTGCGCAGAGACCACACAGACCAGTTCGCACAGCTTGTGCGAGCGTCCTCTGAAATTGTGCGTGGTATCAATCCCTTCCTCGATCTTGATCAACCTTCTCTGGATCCAAGCTCGCCACAGTTTGATATCAAACTGTGGGCAAAGACGTTCTTCGAAGCAGTCTCGAACGACCCTGAGAGGTATCCTCAACGTTCAGCGGGACTCTCTTACCGTGGTGTCAACGTCTACGGACAATATACACCGATAGACTACCAGTCAGATGTGGTCAATGTGGTGCTAGATATCCCAAAGATGATCATATCCACCATCAGTAAACGAGGGAAAAATGTCCAGATCCTGAAAGATTTCGAAGGCTTGGTCAAGAGCGGCGAAATGCTGCTGGTCCTGGGTCAACCCGGCAGGTGGGTCAGCATGTTTACTTAATTTTGACAGTTTGTTCATCGGTTTGACCTCGAGTAGTGGCGTTTCGACCTTTCTGAAGACGGTGGCGGGCCAAACGCGTGGCTTATGTCTCGACTCGGGATCTGAGATCAGCTATCAAGGTGAGACTCCACAGAACCAAAGCCAACAACAGTGACACGCTGAGCACGGCAAACACAGGTATCCCATGGGGCGTGATGCATGGGCGGTTCCGAGGCGAAATTATCTATCAAGCAGAAACTGATGTCCATTTCCCCCATCTGACCGTGGGTCAAACATTGCTATTTGCTGCTGCAGCAAGGACTCCAAGAAATCGGCTTCCTGGAGTGAGTCGCAAGAGACACGCAGAGATCATCAGAGGCGTCGCGATGGCTGTCTTTGGCATTTCTCATACTATCAATACGAGGGTTGGCGACGACTTTGTCAGAGGCATTAGCGGAGGAGAGAGAAAACGTGTCAGTCTCGCTGAAGTTGCTCTGAATCAAAGTCAAATTCAATGCTGGGACAATAGTACTCGTGGATTGGACAGTGCAACAGCACTCCAATTTATCAAGACTCTCAGATTGTCAACAGAAGTGGCAGGGACGACGACCCTAGTAGCCATTTACCAGGCTTCGGAAGCTGTCTACGATGTAAGTGCATTGCAAGAAGGACTGTGTCAACATGGAAGGGATGAGGTGAAATCTAACAGATATCTCAACCAGGTATTTGACAAGGTTGTCTTGCTTTATGAAGGCAGGCAGATATATTTTGGCAGCACGGAAGACGCGAAGAGATATTTCGTCGACTTGGGCTTCCATTGTCCTGAACGGCAGACAACCGCCGACTTTCTCACTTCGCTCACCAATCCAGCTGAACGGATCGTCCGCCCTGGGTTTGAGAACCTCGTTCCTCGCACGCCGAAGGAATTTGCCCAAACATGGCAAGAAAGCAGCGCGAGAGAGAAATTGCTCCAGGCCATCGCAGCCTTCGAGCAAGAGTATCCAAAGGCTAGTTCCTCTCTCGAAAGATTTAAGAAATCAAGGAAGGCTCAGCAAGGTGCTTTAGTGTTCGACAACCCCGTGGTTTCTCTCGGTCCAGCGAATCTTGACACTGACCAAATCTCTCAGGCCTAGCATGTCTCCTTACACGATCTCAGTACCGATGCAAATCGAACTGTGCACTATCCGCGGATTTCAGAGGTTAATGGGGAACAAGACGTTTTTCCTAATCACGGTTTTTGGGAATTTTGCCATATCACTAGTGCTCGGAAGTGTGTTCTACGACCTACCTTTTTCGGCTGCGAGCATCAGCAGTAGAGGAACCCTCCTTTACTTTGCTATCCTCTTTAATGCACTGAATAGTGCCCTCGAGGTTCGGGCTTTCCGCACTCAAACTCCAAGGTGACATGAACTAATGTGGACAGATTTTTTCCTTATATGAACAGCGGCCTGTAGTCGAGAAGCAAGCAAGATACGCGCTATACCACCCGATCTCAGAAGCAATTGCGTCCGTTATTACTGCGATGCCGAGTAAACTGATCTCCACCTTTGCGTTCAATGTGCCCCTTTATCTCATGTCCAATCTACGCAGAGAAGCCGGGGCCTTCTTCATCTTCTTGCTCTTTGGGTTCACCTGCACTTTAGCCATGTCGATGATATTTCGGACCATTGGACAATCCACACGGACTGTCTACCAGGCACTCACTCCGACGGCATTCTTTGTTCTGGCCATGGTGATCTACACTGGATACATCTTGCCTACGGCAAAGATGCAAGGTTGGTTGAGGTGGATCCACTGGATTGATCCAATCTATTATCCATACGAAAGTATTATGATCAACGAGTTTAATGGACGCCAATTTCCGTGCTCTCAATACCTTCCGTCAGGGCCAGGCTACGAAAATTCAACAGGATTGGAGCGAGCTTGCTCGGCTGCTGGGGCTCTTCCAGGAGCCGATTACGTGGATGGAGGTTATTACATAGCTGCCGCATTCGGGTACGATCATTCCCATCTCTGGAGGTAAGTTTGTGGATTTCTCCCGGAAGTCTTGTCAAGGATATGCGCTGAACTGTGGTAGAAACTTTGGAATCCTCATTGCATACATCATCTTCTTCACCATTACCTATTTTCTCGCTGCTAGCTATGTCCACACTGACCGATCCAAAGGTGAGGTATTAGTGTTTCGACGTGGCCGCAAGCCGATAACAGCTCTCAATTCTGCACAAGACGAGGAATCAAACAACGGCCATCTTGCCGATGAAACCAACAAGCTCCGGCAGGTGGCGGCCGATTCGGCAGAACATCAACATACAACCATTCAGATGCACGGTTCCACTTTCCACTGGAGAGATGTAGCATATGAAATCTCAATCAAGGGGAAACCCAGAAAGATTCTGTGTGATGTCGACGGCTGGATAAAGCCAGGAACATTGACCGCTTTGATGGTAATCCCACAACACCCAATGACTTCCCGTACATCCTAACTTTGAGGACAGGGTGCAACTGGTGCTGGGAAGACAACCTTGCTCGATGTTCTTGCGGGTCGAGTAACCATGGGCATTGTCAATGGTCATATGTTTGTGGATGGCAATCCCCTCGATCAGTCTTTTCAAAGGAAGACCGGCTACATTCAGCAACAGGATTTACACCTGGAGACATCGACGGTTCGAGAGTCATTAAGGTTTTCTGCCGTTCTTCGTCAGCCCCCCACTACTAGCAAAGAGGACAAGTTCGCCTACGTCGAGGAAGTGATAAGGCTGTTGGACATGGAGAGCTACGCAGATGCCATTGTTGGTATTCCTGGGCAAGGTTTGTGTCTCGACTTCTAAGCCATTTTGAGCAAAACTTGACGCTGATGGAAATACACAGGGTTGAACATTGAACAAAGGAAGCGCTTGACTATTGCCGTAGAACTTGCTGCCAAACCAGATTTGCTGCTCTTTCTCGACGAACCAACTTCAGGTCTTGATAGCCAAACAGCCTGGTCTATCATGACGCTGCTCAGGAAACTCTCAAACAACGGCCAAGCAATCTTATGCACGATTCATCAACCATCGGCATTGCTTTTCCAGCAATTTGACCGACTTCTGCTCCTTTCAAAAGGTGGTAAAACTGCCTATTTCGGCGACCTCGGGAATGATTCGAGATCACTTACTGACTACTTTGAACGGTACGGTGCTCGGCCATGTGGGCAGAATGAGAACCCTGCAGAGTGGATGATGGAAGTCATTGGGGCTGCACCAGGCGTAACAGCAATCCGAGACTGGCCTGACACTTGGCGAAGGAGTCCCGAGTACGGTCAAGTGCGACAATTCCTCTCGGAGTTGGAAGAGAGCCATGTTTCTATTACGAAGAATCAAACCCGGAGCTCACTGGTGGCAGCGAAGTATGCTGCTCCATTCGGCACACAGTTTTTCTACTGCACAACAAGAGTCTTCGAACAATACTGGCGTACACCAACGTACATCTATTCCAAGTTATTGTTATGTCTCGCAACGGTAAGCAGGCCAACCTAACCGTATTCGTGTGAAAACAAAACTGAACTAAATCCGTTGACAGAGCATCTTCATCGGCGCTTCATTCTATAGTGCAGAAAACTCGATGCAAGGACTTCAGGACCAAATGTTTGCCATCTTCATGCTGATAGTCATTTTCGCCTTCCTCGTATATCAGACGATGCCAAACTTTGTCGTCCAGCGGTCTCTATACGAAGCTCGAGAACGGCCCTCCAAGACGTATGCCTGGTACATTTTCATGTCCGCCAACCTTGTTGTCGAGCTGACGTGGAACACTGTGGCCGCTCCACTGATATTCTTCCCCTTTTACTACCTCGTTGGGATGGACAAGAACGCTGAAGCGTCCCACGCCGTTGCAGAACGTGGAGGGCTCATGTTCCTCTTGACGTTGTGTTTCACGCTATTCACAGCGACCTTTGCTCTCATGGCCATCGCTGGAGTGGCAACAGCAGAGATAGGGGCCATCCTTTCTCTGGTAGCTTTCGCCTTCTCTCTTATATTTTGTGGGTAAGTTACTGTGGGAGAACGTCCCCTGAGAAGAAGGTCGATCGGCTAATCCTCTCGATGTCTACAGAGTCATGGCTCCGCCTGCCGCGCTCCCGGGATTTTGGATCTTCATGTACAGGATTTCGCCGTTCACTTATCTCATCAGTGCTTTTCTCTCAACTGGTCTAGCCAATTCTGAGGTCCACTGTTCACCCCTTGAGACTGCCAAACTCCAGCCCTTTCCTGGAGAGACTTGCGCTCAGTACATGGCCCCCTATATTCAAGTGGCGGGCGGCGCTCTCTACAATCCTCAGGCCACCGAAAACTGCGAATTCTGTACCATTGCGAACACCAACGTATATCTGGCATCTGTTTCCTCCTTTTATGACGAGAGATGGCGAAACTTTGGGATTCTGTGGGTATACATTATTTTTAATGCTTTTGCCGCAGTATTTTTGTACTGGTTAGCGAGAGTCCCGAAGCGGGAAATCAACGGAGGCCGATCTTTGTTGGCGTCCTGGGACTGGGTTCAACTTTCGTTTGCCCGGGGTTTGGGCCTCAATAGGTCAAGAGCATGAAAGGCTCCTCAGTCGCTGTCTGACATGCAAATATGCTAGGGGAGGACCTTCATCAAGCCCACAATTTCTGTGGACAATCGAATGGAGTAGGGCTGCCTAGAAGCGACCAGTTATTTGACGAAGGCGCCGAAAATGTCAACAAGTACTAGTGGTCGATGGAGGAAGTTTAGGGGAGGGTGTTTCGAAACTTTTTATTGTTTGTTACGGGCGATATATCGGAGGAGGGAAATCTGGGAGGCGCCGAGACTCGGCTGTGAATAGATTGGTAGAACATGGATAGTCAGATTTCGATTCAAAAAATTTTGTCTAGACAACTGCAAATGGGTATTCAATGAGTAGTTGACAGTATCGACAGCCGGTTCAGGAGAGAATATCGCATTCGACAGTCTCTTTTTCTCGACAGCATCTTCGAAGATGTACAATGGAAGCTTCTTGAAAGAACATAGCTGACGAACGCCGCCGTTCTCGAAGTCTACATTCATCAGTGAAATTTACAAGGAGCCCAAATAAGCCCATGTGGGTGTAATGAGGCACGCTGAATACACAAACTAAATCCCTCACAAAATAGAGGTTCAAATCTCAATTTTCTGCGGCACTTAATTGTGGATCGATCGAGATAGATGCAGATCGATCAATCTTGCATGGCCGAAAAAGAAGAAGGAGGTCCTGCTAATGGCTGAGATCTTTGAGGCTGCTCTTGTCTTGTTAGTGCACACTGAGTCGACGCTAGAACGTAACCAACCCTTGACTAGACGAAATGCGGCGAGCATCCCGGCGAGACCTCTCTCGCGTATCCTGCATTTTCTCTCCTCGGTCAGTGTGGACGTAACCCCGCTATTACAAAAACACCGACCCAAGATCCTCTTTCAACCTTTCTCTAGTTGGTCTAAAGCCATCGCTACAACTAAGGACCGCGCATGGTCGCGGGAGGAATTGGTGTTGTTGCTTTAGACGCTGGATTTCGATATCTGCAAGTTACGACATCAATTCGAGAGAAGCGAGAATGAGCCCCTCCTCGAAGCCAATTTGATTAGGAAGAAAACTCGAGCGCCGCACTACTAGCTAAGTAAAGTCCAAACTTCGTCGGCTGTGGATCAATTATGGACCAAATGTCATCAATGAATCGGAGGAAGCCCTAGCGAGAATTTTCGCGCGCCCCAGCTTCGAATCCAAGGAGAACAATGCTTCCATACTCAGCAAGAAGCAAAGGATGCACCACATGAAAGACAAAAGCGGCCAAGCTGTTGTATTCGACCTGGTTAGCGACACAAGAGCCATATTGTTGAGACTTGAAGGTGCGAATATCAAGAAATTCATGCCACCAACCTCCTCCCTTCTCCACACTGATTATCATGGCTTCCAATCTGCCGATCAATGAGCTGCCTACCGTATCCGTAAGAAGACATGGCACGATTTGCACGATGCAAGACATTCCTTACATTCGAGACCAGGATACCAAAGAAAGCAATGAAAGCGCGCACACTATTATTTCCGTCTGCAATGCTGAGTCTGGCAAGGCTAAAGGTAGCCAGCCGCCGATTCGCCGGTCAACTCACTTTAGGACAGTGGTCAACTTCCCAGAACGCATTGATTAACTATCCAGCCTTAGCATCCCGTTTGGGGCCGTGGCTGTCCGTGTGACTCGTTGAAATGCCCGTTGGTCAAAGTCCCCGAAACGCAATTAGCGACCAGCCAGTCGGTGGGGAAACAGTTAGACGCTCCACTACTTAGATTACTCGCGAACGGAGAGCCTGCTTTACCAAATACGGTTTGATCCTAGAGAGTGAGCGAAGACCGCTTTAACTGAACCTTTAACTGAACATCAGCGAGCACTCCCTGAGCAACACGTTGAGAATCTCAGGAGTGGAGCGCAAGAGGTGTGAGGGCGTCCTCCCAAAGAGCTGTTAGTTGCCAACACTGCTCCTAACAGTACCTCATTTCCTAATACGAGAGGATACCTAGATGGTAACGCCTATGAAAACGACATAGACCGCTGCGTAAGCGGCCACAGCTCGCAAGATACTTTCCGGCTGCATATCTGTAAAGAAGGCCAGCCCCGCCGCGAAGAGGAGGGTAGCTACACTCGATACTGCTAGCGTTGTAGCCAAGCCACCACTCAAAACCATTATTAATGTTGGTAGTATGAGCGTCAGGCCCCCTATAATTCCCGTCCCGAGTGCCTTGACGAATAGACGGAGTCTGACAGTCTCGTTGGCGGCTCCTCGAGCTGTGCCCGATAATATATTCCCGCCGCTCTGGACGACTCCTGCTTCGAGAGTGCGCCTAGGTCGGTGGTAAAGGTTGCGTTGGTTGCGTTGGTTGCGTTGAGCAAGTTGATGATCAATTAGTGGTTGGAGGAGATAGAGGCCTAATTCGGTTCGAGCGCTGATTTCGAACGGGTCAGGTTTGCCATTGCGACTAGCCTCGGCTTGTTTCTCGGTCATGTAATCATAGTCCTGCAGAGAATTTGCTTCATCCAAGTATTTATCAGCCCAGATTCTACATATGTGGCTACTGGTCAATACAAGAGTGAATCCTTTTACCAGGGAACTAGAGAGGAGGTTGTACCGAATTTCTGCAGCACATCCTGGGCCCGGTTCATCATTGCTGGGGTTGCCTCCTTATATTTGAGATACAATGCTGGTGAGCTCGGTCTGTTGGGCCAGGAGACACATCCTCTGTAAAGACTGCTAGATGTATCGTGGCGCCTGTGACAACCGACCCATTTCTCGAAGGACCGCTAAAGGAGAGTAGATGTGGCTCGGAAGCCTCATAAAGTCTCTTCGATAGATTGTCATCTGGCTCCCACAGGACGTTGTCTGTGGCGGGTGAACTAAAGGAGTTGGTGGGACCGCTTCTGTAGGCCGCACGTTCTGCGCGGGCGCCGGGATAGACATTTTTTAAAGGGACCGGATCTCGTCTTCCCGTTTGCGCGAAAAGTCGGGCGCTTTTCTGTGTTCACTGTAGGAAGAACACCATCGAAGCCATTGTCATCGGTAGAGAAGGTTAAGATTCCGCTACGGTTCGATGGCCCGCAAAGTTAGTCACTGAGGTTGGTAAGCTGCCGTCCAGCAGGCCTTGCCATTTGTTACATGCCTCCTGTTGACATAAACAACGTTGTCTGAACAAGGTCTCAGTCATCAGAGGTGGTAATGTTCAGTTGCCTGACAGAAAGGCTAGTTCTGAGACAATTGCCTCAATGGCCAGGTCTGGGATAGATGGAATGCTTCAGGGGAGACCTTCTCCCTACAGTACAATGTGTATATGAACAACCAGATGTTCTCTCAGAGAGAACACAGACAGACAGACCAATTCATGATCTCTGCGATCACAGATTACGTAACTGGCTCAACACGTCCCCCATTATTGTCAAAATAATTAATTCGAGGACTGTCGGTATCTCGAACTCCAATACCGCTTCTGAATTGCTTGTAAAGTCTTCTGCACTTTATTCAATGCTCCAGCTTGACCGCTTCATATGTGGTTCTGAGCTTTCTGTCTCTTGGTCTTGGTTTGTTACCGCTAGCGAGTGTGCTTTACACTTCATTGCGGTTTGGTTTGTCACGCTACGCCCAAGCCGTCTACCCTCGATTACCGACCCACCGGACTGACCTCGGCCATCCACATCCTTGAGCCCTACACGCCAAGGCCTTAGATCGCCGTTTGCAGTGGAACAACCCCTTCCACGGCGCAGTCCAGGTGCACCACCGTCTAAACTGCCTCAAGGCCAGCCGACACCATTTCGCAGCTTTGAACTGCGAGGGTAGAACTGCAACACCACCACAACAAGTGACTAATGGACAAGAAGGAGCATCGCATCCTGCAAACAAAGTCCTTCAACTCTCAGAATGGGATCGGGACAAGACGTATGACGAAGGTCAGCCTCGCTATATCCGCTACACGACACAGCGAAAGGTGACACTGAACGGGAAGCGCATCGCCAGAGACACCGAGCCGGACTTTGTACTCGCACCATCATCAGAATCGCCTGGATCTCAGTTCCGATTATGATGGCAGTCTTGCCACCGTCGGTACCGGGTAATGAAGTAGCAATCTGACCCGCCGGTTTTCTGATGGAAGCGAATCCAAGGCAGCTCGAGCGAAGAAGAAATCGAAATCCTCCAAGAGTCCCCTAAATCTGTGGGGGCCGGGGCCTCAGGGGTCAACTGGCAGGCTCCAGTGATTGGTGTACTGGGTACATATCCGTCGGAATAGCAAGGCCCAATCATATTAATCGGACATGCCGTTCACAACAGCGCCAGGAAGTGATAGCCACGGGATTTCCGCGAACCCACCAACCCTGACAACTGGGACATGAGATTAAGCATGATGGACTCGATGCTGGGGTGTTCCGAACACCCTCGAGCTACAACGATGATTGCTACTCGGTATCTCCCGCTTCTCACTCGTGTTGTTAAATTATGGCCGCAAGCATTAAGTCAACATCTGGTCGAGCCAATGCATTTGCTTCACGAAGCTATCTTTACTACTAATTTGCCAGTTGTCTTTTGCCCTGTCAACTCATCCTGAGCGTGCCCAACCTGGTCGATCATGTACTCCTTTTCTATAGGCACAGAGACAATGTTCCTGCTCAGCAGATCGAGTAGTTCCTTTGTCCTTTCGACAAACTCTTCTCTTTCCTGGATATAATTCGCCAATGTTGGGCGGACCAGTTTGATATTCTTCTTGCTGAGCTCCAGGATCTTGAAACTGACCACGGGTCCGCTGCTGTTCCCATAAGAAACAAGAGTGCCCTTTCTTCGGGTGGAAGCAAGATCGGTCGCAAACGTGGACTGACCAATACCGCTCAGCACGGCGTGACAACCCTTGCCGTCAGTAAGCCGCAAAACTTCCGTCAAAACATCTCGTTCTTTGTATATGATGACATGGTCGCAGCCGTGCTGTTTGGCCACCTCTGCCTTCTGTGCAGTTGACACCGTTCCTATCACGGTGGCTCCCAAATGTTTGCACATTTGTACAATAAGCCCTCCAGTGCCGCCGGCGGCTGCTTGGACCAGTATCACTTGACCCTTTTGGACGTCATGGGCATCTCGTACAATGGTCCACGCTGTAAGCCCCTGGAGCATAACTGCTGCCCCAACGCGCGTGGACACAGAAGAAGGTAATTTCAAGATCGATTCTGCGGAGGCAGCAACGTACTGTGCCAACGTGCCTTGTGCAAAGACTGCCACTCGATCTCCTAGCTCAAGGTGAAACGATAAAGGCACCTCTCGACCAACTTCAACAATGGTTCCTGCTCCCTCTCGACCCGCCACGGCGGGTAGCTTGATAGGATACAGCCCGCTACGCTGGTAGGTATCGACGAAGTTGACTCCAGCATATTCCACTTTAATCAGGACTTCATTGTCCGCAATCTGTGGAATAGGAACGTTGTTCTCAAGCTGAAGAACACTGGAGTCCCCAGTCGAATGAAAGCGGACAGCTTCCATGGTAGTCGAGGGAGACATATTTTGCCAACCTAGTCGATGTAGTCCTGGTCAAAGTCGGCCATTTGCGTATGAGAAACAGCTTTTGAAGTGACCCGAGAATGTTAATTTCAAGATAGATCACACCACCGGACCTTCCAGCCATTGTACAGATTCCTCCAAAAGTAAATGATTCTAGCGAGATTAGTGTCATCGCAAACTTGACCAGCTCGCTCGTCAAAACCCTTGAACGGGCTACACAGCTTAAGATCACGACTTAGCCGAAAAGTCCTTCGGATTCACCGGAAGTACAACCTTGCACTCAAGAGCATCATCCGATGTAAAACCCACCTTCCGTCGGATATAATGCATTTCGAACGACACGGATCAGGATTGCCAATAGATTGCGCCTTTACAGGGAAATGTTAACGGGTCTTTCACTCCTCACTTGGTCAGCTTTGAAGCTCAGCCTTTGTCCGCCTCAACAATGGCAAAGCAGACTTTGAAGGAAGCTAATGAGAATGTGCCTGGCCCAGCAGAGACGATGCCACCTCCGTCTCATCAAATGTTTATATAGAATCTGGAGTGGCATGGAAGGATGTATTTTCGAGCTTGAGCAATGACACCAACTTTCATTATTATTCCATCATACTTCCATATCAGATCATTTTGAAGACCGCCATGGGCTCCAATGCAACAGAAGAACACCCCACCAGCGGCGCCGAGGGCCCTAACCCTGCCAACCTGAGCGAGAAGACGCGTAGAAAGTGGGAAGCGGAACCTGTCACCGAGCATGTGCCATCACCAGTCCGGGATCTTACCATCGAGAACATCACGCCCAACGTCATCGCCGTGAACTCGGACATCAAAGACAACCCTAGGTTGCAGTTTATTATCACGAAGCTTATCCAAGTCTCCCATGACTTCATCAGAGACGTCGACCTCAAATTCGACGAATGGACCACGGCCTGGCAATTCTTGACGAAGGTAAAGCTTTTCCTTTCTGATTTCCTAAGATCGCTTGCGTCTATACCCTGTGCTTACACTTCATGAATCTAGGTGGGACAAATTTCCGACGATGTGCGACACGAGATGGTGCTTCTTTCCGATATTCTGGGCATATCAGCTCTCGTTGATGCGATTTCGTATCCGCATAAACCGGGCGCCACGGAGTCGTCGATTCTGGGACCCTTCCACGACGAGGTTGGACAGGTTGTGGAAAATGGCTCGGCCATTGTAAAAGAGGATACCTTTGGTGAAGCTACTCTTGTGAGAGGCCAGGTCTGCTCCGTCAATGGAGTGCCTGTGAAAAAGGCCCTTCTCGACGCCTGGGCGACTGACGGCCACGGGGTCTATGACCTAGAATATGCCGAAAAGGAAGGCCCGGATTGCCGTGGCAAGCTGTACACGGACGACAAGGGCAGATATGCTTTTACCTGTGTGAGGCCGATCCCATATCCGATCTCTAACGATGGTCCCGTGGGCGAATTGCTACGCACACTGAATCGACACTGGTATCGACCTGCTCATATGGTACGCTCGACGACAAATATCCTGTTCATCACAGTTGCTGACACTGACCTCTGACTAGCATTTCATGATTTCGCATCCAGATTATAACACTCTGATTACGGCGTTGTATTCGAGAGACAGCAAATATATTGAGAGTGACACTGTCTTTGGCGTTAAGTCCAGCTTGATGGTCGATTACACCTTTACAGAGGATCCAGATTTGGCCCGGCAATATAGACTGAAGACTTTCAAGAAGAAAATCGGCGAAAAGGAACGAGAGGGGTTCTGGTTGCTGGAGTTTGACTTTGTCCTCACGGAGAAGGAGGATTCTCTCCCCCGCAAAATTGCATGACTGAATGGCAGAGACGTTTTGAAGAATATCATGCATGCTATGAAAATTCGTATTAGGCTGTCCGCAGGGAAGCTGCATTTTCCATATTCAACTGATCCGCTCCGATAAAATTGAACTGAAGCCAAAATATTCTCAAATTTCATCTCATGCCCGTCCTTGTTAATTTTTTGGCTCATACAGCTTTTTATCTAGCAATATGCGAGGAACTTCAACTTATGATAAATGGACTATGTCAGCAGCTAAATAGAGAGAAACAGCATCTCAATATGCAAATGCGGAACGCGAAAACCAAAAGAGGTGAGCTTTGCAACATTACAAGCATTTGCAAACTGCCTCCAGGAATGCTCCTGTAGAATGATAGCGTGCATCCACTGGGTAAGATGAACATAATCTCGGCTCTGCAGCTCTCCTGTCAACGGAAGTCCTCGGTCAATCGTGACGCAAAGTCTTTTCACTAAGGATGTACGGATGGCTGAGACCGAGAAAGGGGTCATACCTGGCGACCTTGCGCGGCGGCTTTGGAACGTTCTTTATTCCGTATCCGACGGACATATCTTTGCTCTGTGCGCTGTCTTGACATCACGTGCGTTCGATTGGCATACTTGCCTCAAATGGTCGTCAGGATGGCCTCGCTTCGAAACTCCCTCACGCAATGCAGTATGGCTTGCATTCCGAGACTTAAGGGCTATCATGTTCCAGAGAACATGTGGTTCCATGGAGTCTGTGATAAGAACCGGTCTTCTCCAACCACCATCCAAGGGAAACCACGAAAAGCAAAATGGAGCCCATGAGTGTACACCAACTGGTACCAGATGCGGACCATCTTCGGACCAGATTTTCACAAGCAATGTCGGACATGTACAAGAAAGAGGTCCCTCTTTACGCGGACCTGCTCTCCATTGTTGCAGAGGTAGATGACAAGGTATAGAAACTAATGATAGGCAGAAGCTCGACAAATATGCTTACGCTGGCAGGTGTCCAGGGAAAAGCTACCCTCCAGGCACCGCATCGAAAGACACGGGGCGATTCGACTGGGGACTGCCCAAGAACTCAGAACAATAGCCAGGCTTTTTGCTCTTTTCAACATGCATCCAGTGGGTTATTACGACCTCAGTGTCGTCGGGTTCCCATTGCACGCGACGGCCTTCCGCCCGCTAACAAGCTCTGCATTGGCCAACAACCCTTTCCGGGTCTTTACTAGCCTCCTGAGATTAGATTTGCTCCCTCAAAGTACGCGGATCTTGGCCGAGAAGACACTTTCTAGACGGAACATATTTTCAGATCGACTTCTGGAACTGCTCAAGAAAGCCGAGTTTCACGGCCTATTGGTAGACGACCAGGACGAGCTGCTTACGGAGGCCATGAAAGTCTTTCGATGGCACTCGACCGCCACCGTGTCACACGAAACATATACGGAGATGAATGCAGTACATCCCATGATCGCAGACATTGTCAGCTTCCCGAGCGCGCATATCAACCACCTGACCCCACGGACTCTGGATATCGACATGGTCCAAGAGATTATGATACGAAGAGATATGCCTGCCAAAGAGAGAATTGAGGGACCGCCACGGCGGAACTGTGGCGTCTTGCTGAGGCAGACGAGTTTCAAAGCACTTGAAGAGCAAGTATGGTTTATTGATAGTGGTGGTAACGCTAGGGACGACTACCACACTGCTCGATTCGGTGAAGTCGAGCAGCGGGGGGCGGCGGTTACAGACAAAGGTCGCGAACTCTACGACTCATTGTTGGCCAAGACCAATGCCCTCGCCAAACAGAAGAAGGCCAACGAAGAAGAATATCAGCACATTCTTCGCGTCGTGTTTACCGAGTACCCGGATACTTGGCTGGAGCTACATACGCAAGGACTCGTGTTCTTCGAATATCGGCTGACAGGAAAGAGGCCATCCACAACAGAGTACAAAGACACGCAAAAACTGTCTGATCTGTTGGAGGAAGGCATTGTGGAGTACGAACCTATTGTTTACGAGGACTTTCTCCCAATCTCGGCAGCAGGCATCTTCACTTCCAATCTCAGGGGCTTCTCCAACAAGGAAATTCAGAACTCCCAAGGTAATCGCCTTCTGCTTGAAGAAAGTCTAGGAGCCAAAATTCAAGAACCTATTAGCCTATACGAGAAGATGCAAGAAGAGAGCTTGGAGGAATGCCGTAAAGGGTTGGGACTGGCCCTTATTCTGGTTGAATAGATTGAGAAATCCCAGCTTGCATGGTTTTTTGATAGTTAAATGGCTTTCACAGTCGTTACAGTCGTCCGGAGCCCCTTTCTATGCACCAGACTGAAATTTGTGATATTATAACTGCAGGATTGGTTCTGTGGATGTGGGGCACGACGATGCCGGACCGCGCTTTATGTAGCACCCTATAATTAGCATTTGAAGGAACTCACAAGTCAGGAGAGATTTCAGGCTGTCCGTAAGAAGAGTTTTTTTTTCTCCGTAGAATTGCACCAACTTAGCAGAGCACATATTTTTCCATTCTCAACTACCTCCAGAGGATGCGGATATCCTTGGTCTAGCTTAAGACTCACTGAAGGCTTAATAGCTGAGGCCTTTCATGCTGCCAACAAACATCTCTCTGGACGATAAAACCCCTGTACTAACAATCCAATGCAGCACCATTCAAAAGTTTTACCTCCAGAGACCCGGCTGATGGATGATTGCGCGTGCAGTGCTTTTCAGGCAAGTCCACAGGCCCCCAAGAAATTTTTGTGGTGAAGCCACATCCGGATGCTTTTCCCATAGCGATACAGCAAGAACGATGACGCATATACCGCGATGTTGATAGCCATCACCACCAAAAGCACCACCAATGGACCGTCCTTGTTCAGCCAGTCATTGACGACCCAGGTCCATATCCAAGCCACCGCACTCTTTAAGGAGGCTATAGTCACCATCAGCTCAACGCTTAGTTCCTTATGACAATCCAGGGCGTAGCTCATGGCAAGGGTAGAGCCCATCTGGCTACCGGCGCTTAGAATACCGTAGCCCATGACAGGGCCAATCCAGCGAGTCTTGTAGTGGAAGCACAACGCTGAAATGAGAGCGCCGACGAAGGTCAACATAGCGGCAATAATACATGTGGGAAGACGCATTTCCGGCTCTCTGATACCATGGTTGCGGCGAGTGAAGTAATTGGCAATACTATCAGCGACGGGGCCGCAAAGGTAGGTGCCGACGAGGGAACCGATGAGCGGTGCGCCAAAGACAAGACCCTGTGCAGCCGCATTAAATGAGTAAGGCCTGTCAGAAGCATTAGAGATTCAGTTAAAATATTAGGGATTGGGATCGAGACGTACGGTGGTGAAAATAGCTGTCCGTTCGTGGTTGCCAGTATGACGTTCCAACTTAGTGCCATCCCGTAACAGCAGCAGGACCACACAACCGTCGGGTATGCGAGTAGAACAAACGGTCTCGCAAAAGCTTGCCATAGTGACACCGAATGATCGTTGATACCCCAAAATGACAATTCCTGGAGAAATGTCTTCTTCGGCACTTGAGCACCGTCGGCGTTGGTAATTTCGATATGGGCCGACGCGCGTCCCTTTTCATCAGGTTTGTCTTCATGCAGCTCCAGCGAGGGGCGAGGGCCAAGGTACATTGTTTCTGGCATGAAGAAGAACTGTGTAACAGAATTGGCAAAGATGAAGATTGCCACAATATAGAAGGCCCAGGCCATTCCGAGGCTTTGGATGATCAGTGCGGAAAGCATCGGTCCAAGTTCATTCCCTCCAAGGACGGAAAGTCCATAGTAAGAGACTTTAGCTCCTCGATCATGTAGAAAGAACATATCGGTGACGGTACTTGGGACGATTGATTCCATAGGAGCTTCGAACACACCTAGAAAAGCTCGACCGACGAGGAACGAAGTGTAAGTTGTCTTGCTGGCGCTGGCCAACCATATGCAGGCGACACCCATTAACAGATTGGAGAACAAGTAGACAGGTCGACGGCCGAATTTAACGGCAAATGGCCTTGACACAGCAGTTAGTATTCAGAAAAATGTTGTGTTCGGGGGAATGGATCCTTACATCCACAGAGCCGTTGCACAGCCTTGACATATCAGGGTTGCGCCAACAGTATAGGACATTCTCTGGATAGAGGTGTTGTAGAACGCAGCTGCTTCTACCATCCCTGATCCGCGTCAGTCGTAAATAGGCCCGCCAATACGATAGGACTCATCTAACAGCCTGTCATGATAGGGCCCGTCACACTGCCCATGAAAGAAAAACCAAGGGCGTTGAGAAACGTAGTCCATTTTTTCGTAGTCGACCAGCGCAAAGGATCATTCGGGTCCGTCAGAGACGGCTGTGGTACCAGGAGAAGATGACCATCTCCAGATTTAGATTTGACGTGCTGGAGGCGGTGTAGTTTACTAGATCCAGTTCCATCCTCTGCAACATCGTAGAGAATCTCGGTGCCTGGTGCTGCGCTGTAATGCACCTCGATCGCATCGATATCAGCCTCTTGCTGCGACATGATAGCGAATTTTTTGTACAAGAAAAGGAGCTTTGAGTGGTCAAGGCGTGTCAGGCTAGGTTCGTACGAAGACGCACCGAAACGGTTCACCAGATCAGATGGGGAAGAATCGAAATTTCTTGAAGACATAAAATTTTTTCCTGAACAGCAACATATATATATGTGAGATCAGGAGACTGGGGATTCTATAGTCTTAGGGGTTTTCTTGGGGGGATTCCGGGGTAGGACCACAGGCCCGCTACAAGTGTGGTTATCCGACGGAAGACTCACCCAATCTCCCATCGTACCATGTGCAAGCTAACCCCCTGTCACGTACGAGGTAGAGATAATAGATAAACTGTAGCCTTGATCGTTGTGTTTCGACTACTATTATGGGTTAGTTGGTGCTGGACGCCCAGGCCCCATATTTCGCGCTAGACGAAGGCTTTAGCTTGAAATACTTTATCCGATGCCGGTGTTTTATCCGTTGCGGGTTGTTTCATGCAATGTCCCGAATAGCGGGTTGGAATCATCACCCCACTTCGGTGGAATTGCCAATTGGTCATCGCTTTTTGAGAGCTTAGCAGAAGAGCTGTACGACGGAGAGGCGAGGAGATGACGACCAGCTCACAGCGGTTCCGAAGTGTTCCCCGTCTAACAAAGTGTCTGCGATACCAGGATCGCTGATCATGACGGCCAGACACAAAGACCACAACAATTGACACCCTTTCGATCCCTTCACTTTGAGAGGGCAGCCATATGACAGGTGAAGGCTCTATCCAAGTCCCCGCAAAGCTCCTATCCTTTGCTTTTGAGAGTCGACAGGTAAGACTTTTCCAACCAATTTCAGGAGCTAAATCCAGCCAGCTGCCTCATTCCCTGCCACTGCCGCGCCCTTCTCAAAGGGTTCAAAGACACCCCAGGTGGGACCAGTCTGCTCGATGTCGTCCGACGACTCTGCAGGAAAATCAATCATCGCATCGTCAATCGAGCCAATATTGTCACCTCCTGAGAGAGCAAAGTCCTCTAGGACGCTCGGATCGTACAGATGAGCGAGGGCCTCTGTCTGACTTACCCAGCCGGGCAGAGATTGGTTCAGAATAGTTGCCAGATAATTATCGTTCCAAGGGTCATTTGTATCGCCGAGTGAAGCGTTGGGTGCTAGGTGTAGTGCCGGTGGGATCAGGTTTTGCTCACCAGTATGGTTGCTCTGCCGCTGTTGGGGCTTTTCCTGCTGGTGTTTCTTGACCACCGTGAGCATTTCTTTTGTCAACTCAGCACACCTCTGCGCGACCACCACCTGTTTCATTGCATCGAAGATTTCTAGACTCTTTTCGACATCGCCAATGAGCTCGTCAACACTGACGGCAGGGGGATAACAATCCACCAAAATGAGATACAGGACGATCATGCTCGCGTACAGAGTATACGTTGTACAATACCACCTGGGATCACAATCAGCCAGGTACGGCCTTGGTAGGTCCCTGAAATACGTACCAAGTGCGCAAATACATTCGATTGATGAACGCATTGTGGATCAACTGGATCATTTTTCGTGCCGCATCTAGGCAGATGTCTATGTGTTGTGGGAAGGACAATCTGAGATGACTAGGATGTGAGGCGACTAAAAACGGTCGATTGATTAGGATGTGGGTATAGAAGAAACCTGTGGACAGACCTTGATTAATATCTGCAACTGCTCTTGCGCACGATCTACAGAAAAGGGTGTACTCACGCATCTTCAAAACCAGCTTCTGCTTGTAAGCCCAAGGGGGATCGTTGAGCAACTGGACGTCGAGATTCAGAAATGCAGGCAGATTTGCTTTCCATACTGCGAGGGCCTCATTCAATTCTAGGCTAACCTGCGATAGCTCACCCGTTGAACGGCCATTCGCGTTGCAATAAACATCCATAGAGACCCTTTTGAGGATGCGGGAGAGATCTACCATGACCGGAATGATCGCGGTCTCATGGCTCTCGTTGTCCTCCAACTAGTTCGGCATCAGCTCAGATAGCTTTTGTGCAACCTGAATTGTCTACCGGGCAGCTACTCACCGTCCATTTGGGCATCGGCAAAGAATACATCTCTGGAGGCATAAGGGAGTCTAGTCGTCCGGACGAGCAACACATCTCTCTGTGCGCACACGTCAGCACCACGGCCACACATCCAAGTATTTGCCGGTTGGCATTACATTTCATGTGAATAAATACACCTGAAGTCCGGTTCCATTTAGCAAAATTTCACAACGTGCCATAAATAAGCACTGTCCCGTAAAACAAGACCTACCACCATGTGCGTTTCCCTTCTTCTGTACATGTCTTCCGAGCATTGTTTGCCAGCCCGATTGCAATAGCGGTGCGCACAGCATGGCCACTGTACATGTAGCACGCATGAGGCTTGAGCGCATTTTGGCAGAAAACCGTCTGTTATCATCTGCGAGATTAGCGAATCTTGCGTTGGCTGCGTTGACCGGGACATTGGCAACAGACCATCAAAAACAGCGTCTGACATGTTTCCAGGGAGGAGATGTCCATAGTGTCGCCCAAAGCCTGCTTCGCTTGTCCAAAGTAGTGACTGGCCCACTCCAGGGTAGACCGTTTCGTAGGTGGCGCCGAGAGGTCCTCGTCGTTACGCACCCGGTAGAATTGTGGGAGACATGTAATCTGCTCGACGCTGCTATTAATGGCTCCGAGTGCCACGACAGCGTAGTACAGGGCCAGAAAGTGCGACTGACGGCCGAGGTTCGGAGGTGGTGGCTGATCAGCCCAGATGATCCTGGCACATCTCTCTCTGAAAGATTTCTCCACAAGCAGTGGGTGGATGTAATGTTTATTGTTAAAGTAGGCTTCGATGAATGTCTTTTCCACGACTATCTCAAAGTTTCTTCTCAGTGGCTCATGTGCAGGGGCAGTAGGAGACCGATACGTGGCCGAGAGCCGCGGAGGAGGCATGTGGAGCGATGATTCAGCGGCAAGGGGCAACCCAGGGCTGGAATGGCTGGTTCGGATGCTTGGGGTTGTCGCCGTCGCATTCGGCGTACTGGCAGTGCCTTTGGTGGGTCGTGTTGCTCGGTCCACAGGCGAGTGATAGTCAATACTGTACATGAGGTCAACGAGAGACGACCTGTTGTCGTTGAGGTGGCGCAGCTCAGAGCTGGTCGTGTCATGCGCGAAAGAAGTACTGTTTGCCACACCTGTCGGGACCGCGCCACGGGATAGCGTGGAGACACGTTTGCGAGCTTTTGAGAACAATCTCGCCAGAAACGCCAGGTTCGATGAGCCGCCGTAGAATTCGGTTCCACTGGTATGCGTATTGACACCAGAAAGTCTGGGGGTGCCGACATTGCTGACCTGTCCTATCAGTGAAGGCCCATTAGCGATTGATTGCATAGTGTCCCACTCAGGATGTCCCGTACCTTCTTGCACGCGCTGCTCGAGAGCCTCTTCATCCTCCGAGACTTCTGGATGCCTGTCCAATGAGCTGTTGTCTATATTGCTCGACCGCCCTTGCCCGGCCGGCGCCGATAACACTTGACCAGTCCTGTCGTTGTGATCCCCTCCACTGTGTCCACCCGGAGAGGTTCGTTTTCCAGATCGGCGTTGTCGGATCTCACGAAGCTGTGGCCGTCCATTTCTGCTTCATGTCATGAATAAGATTCTTTAAAGAGCCCATTGCAATCGAGAGCCTGGTCCACCTCCTGGCTGGGAGAGAACGCAAGAACGCAATCGCCTCTGTGCCGGGGTCCCACAGACGCACGCACCTTGTGGATGTCGAGTCGTGGGAGTCTTCTCCCCCTGGATATCTCCGACGCCGCAGAGCATCCCCTGGTCTGTAGATGCATCTCAAAGAATAGGCTATTCGAACCAAATATGAGCATGCTAGATCGCAACAACACGGACACAGTGTCTGGTGATGCACTTACATACGCAGTGCGAGCATGGATGTTGTTGATCGCACTTAACAATTTCGGTGGTCAGCATCCCTATCATTAAATCCTCCTGTCGCGAAGACCACGATGCACTAGATGGTCCTAGGAAGGGTATAGATGGCATCGTACTTTTGTTTTGCGATATCGACACATTTCACAGGCACGAGATGCGCGTATTCGCCGCTTAGGTTGCGCTGCGCCATTCTCAGGAAGTGCACTCTCGGGAAAGAGGGCGGTAAAGGAGCCCGAGTCGGTGGATATCGCAGCAGGAATATCGCTGTTATTCAAGTCCAACGAAACCGCCATGAAGAATGAGCGGACCGCGTGCGTTTGTGAAGCTATAGTCTTCGGTGTGGAGGTTGTCTGGAGGATCAAGGAAGTCAGCCCGGAAACCCTTGCGGGGTCTCGCTTAAAGCAAACCCTCCTTAAAACCTTGGCTAGCTAAGGCGACCCCACATCCGATATGGTCTTGATGTTGGCGAGCTGCTTCAGAAGTTTACTTAGTAGATGACGCGTTGGTGGAGTTAGTCTAGGAAAACATCGGGAAAAATCTGGGGAGTGTGGAACGCTCCAAAAGTACCTATTCTGTATAACATAGGCAGACCAGTTGTACGAACCATGTGACCTGCTATTCTGTACAATGTTACAGTATCCAAATCTTATTGTTCTGTATAAACATTGCATGAAACCTGTTCCCCTAGTACGGGTCTTAGTACATTAGGTACAAGGGGGGGTATCATGTACGGGCTGACACACCCTATCAAAACAATTGACACAGTGCACACGTTGCCTTCTCATCCTCCTACCTACCTGTCCTCCCATACACGGATCCAGACTGACCGCGCAGCCAACGCCTCACGGAGAGAGAACATACCCAGGTCCTTACTCTGTATAATATGGCAAAATGGAACCTCTCATAGATTGCCCGAGAACTTTGACTTGCTTGTTCAACAGTTCAGCATTGTGTTCGCTCTAGGGTCTGTCCTCCACAAAAACTTCTTGGAGGTAAACCGATACTTACGACAAGCAAAACACGGCGTCTCATAAGACGTGCAACTCTTGATGCTTATCGTTGACGCCTCCCGTACAATAATCTCACTCAACTTGAAGACATCTAGACCTATCGATGCTCACTGGCAGTGGCACTTAAAAAGGAGTAGTATCAACGTCGCACCCTGCAGGAAAAGCCTCTTCTTGTACTTAAGTACATGAAACCTCGGTTACAATGGGCTAAGGCTCACAAAACTTGGGATGTTGAGATGTGGAAACGAGTTTGTTAGACTAATGCGGCATTGTCTACGACAGGAACCTTTAGGAAAATATACGTTACGTGAAGGGCTGAAGAGAAATATGTTCCTGAGTGCTTGGTTTCCAAACTCGCTGGACATCCATTCGCTATAGTGTTGCAAGGCGAAGTGACTGGGTTGTGCTGCCATGGTGGTGGCAGGAAGGCGATTGAGCTGTTCACAGGTCAGGACAAAAAGACTAGCATTAGTTTTGGCTGTGGACGAGAGGCTTTAAGGCAGAATGGGGCTATTGAGCAATCAGGCATCAACAACAAGACAAGGACAGAAACAGTCGACAACAGTCACAGAATGACTGCGCGAGTATGCCATCGCTGTCAGATTGCTTAACAGTTTACAGTGCTGGCCGTGTGCCATTCTTTACAGTTTCAACAGAGTATTCAATAAGTCTCTGATACCGCCTACCTATTCCTGAGCCTTTCTTTTGTCCTTTTCCACTTCTCAACGCCGCCGCCTTGCTAGGCACGTTTCGCCCTTGCCGCTGCGCCTCTGTGGGTGGTTTTGGAGGCGGTGTTGTCTTGCCAGCGCCGACCAGAAAGGCATTCTTGATTTCCGACCTGCCTGATAGGCCCCTGTGCGTTGTTGCGTGTGCATGCCAAGCCCATAAGTGCTCCGTTACAATATAAAAACGGCGACGACGAGGTCAAATATCTAGAATAATGAATCTTGTTTGATTGTATAACTGGCAGAAACGAACGCCAGCCGAATTTGGCGGTGGCCGTTTCTGCCCAGCATCTAAGCAAAATCGCTGTTGTACGAAATCACTGGCGCTGTTGCTGTTCGAGTCATTCCCGTTTCATTCCAGTTCGGTAGGAATAGATGCATAGGGCATCGACCCATAAAGTTCTCACTGAGCTCTCGCGCTCACAGACGGCGTAAAAAAAAGCTATAAAGGTTCAGCTGGAGCACCAAACAATGTCCCTCTAGGAGAATATACTGTTCCCCTCTCCAGCATAACCCCAGGTATATGACAGCGCCTCATAGATAGGATATTGGCCTAGTCTGAATTCCCGCAAGCGCCGCAAGCGGCAGCGTATCGGTGACGCACCGCCATGGGTCGAGTAGACGGGTCTCCTCGACCTGATTATCAAGGGCGCGCACATACTTGGTGCGCTGACAAGCTCATGTGACGACGGGTTCGGGACACAGCATACTCCGGCTGCGTCACTGTCTGGTATCCTTCACACAGAGCATATCGTTCCTGGGCTGAGGCTGTGCAGAAATATGAGGTTGAGGTGTTGAGAAATACATCATGTACGATGCGTGCATCTGAAAAAGGTCATCGAAGTGTCGAAGGTTGGAATGCCAGCAATCACCGACAGGAAAACCCGAAGCGCTTTGGCATGCATTGTCCTGGGTAACGGAAGACAAGGGCGACAAGCCCTGGAGAACAGAAAGTCCCAGACAACAAAAAGTCCATGAGAACAGAGAAGTTCCAATGTAGCGGAAGCTGCCTGATGGCTGTGAAATGTGATGTACACTCAACAGAAATGGGTTTGGGCCGCTACGGTATCCCTAGGCGCTCGTCACGCCTACTCCTGGGCACTTACCATGCCTCCTACTATGCGCTTTACGTGTTTAAGGCTGCCTTTATAACGTGTTCATCTCGCGTTCTCCAAGAAAAATAAGACTTTGAGCGCCATCCTAGCGCTATTCACTAGTACTTGCTCCAATTGCTCCAATAGTAAAACGATGGACGCTAGTATGATAGTGTAGTTTTAGTGGCTTGGCGGCCACGAATTCTCGTCAAAAATAAAGTTTCACAGCTCGAAACCGAGTACCGAGTATTCTTTCAACGGAAGGCGGATTACATTAAAAATGTGATCGCTGCTTCCCTAGCTCTTGAGGCCCTTCAGTACGACTGGTGAGATATGGGCGACTTTCAAATACGTTGGCGCTAGCCAAGGTGAGTGCAGGGCGGCATAACCCTCGTCCAAATTCGGGGTAAAGTAAGTTCATGGCGGTTTTTACTCATCCATGGCATGATATTATGTCACTGATGTCTGATCGATGCAATTCTCCTGCCTTAACTACAGATTAGGTAGGCTACTGGTCTTGTATCGTACACTCACTCACTCCTCATTCACTCATACACCCAGTCGACTTAGTAATGTAATATTTGATGGAGCATTTCTCCTGCAATGAAGATATGGGACCTTGGCTTTCACTTTTATTTTGATTTTGAACTTGGAGGGTAATTGCGATTTTTGGTTTCCCGTGGCTGAGAACCTCCCCCTTGCGCCTGGATTCAATGTCTCCTTTACCGCTTTAGATTTATTTCCCCTTGTCCATTCCAATTGCCATTCCGTCCAGCCTGCGTCTTCTTGTCCGCACCATTGATCTAATCTCCACTCGCCGAGGGAGCTGTGCTCATCTCATCTCATCTCATCTGGTACCAGCCAGCCTCCGCTCCTGGACCTCGGTCAAAGCGCGACTTCCACTCAGGAACGCGACGACGGCTAACGCACCGAGGACAGGGAGCGTCTGGAACAGGTTCCAGGTCGTGTAGTACAGAAAGAAGACGAATTCGATGCCCGCGATCGACGACGCGAAGCAGGCGTGCGATATCGGCGAGGCGGAGAAGGCCTTGGGCAGGGAGGAGAGATTCAGGCCCAGGGCAACCCACTGTGGAGATACAAACGAGGGAGAGGTCAGTGTTGATTCTTCCAAGCGGATTTGCGGAGGAGGAAGGCGAATGGAGTGTGAGAAGATAGAATATAGAATGTAGGCTGCAGGACGTGGGATATGGGATATGGACAACGTACAGCACCTGCTAGCAATGGTAGGGTTCCCACCACGGCTGCCAAAAATACCAGACTTATAACAACGGGCGGAGATCTAGGGTCAGAGCGGAAGATGTGGTGGATCTCCGGGAGTTTGCCGTATCGGAGTGATTTCTCTGCTGGTGGTAACGGGGTGTTCGGATCCGTCTTGATTTCAAGTATGAAGGCCGGGGAGTTGTAGCCCGGGGTGGTGCTGAAGGAGGCGATCACGATGGATGCGCTGAGCCCTGAGGTGTTGCTCGAAGTTGAGGAAGTGAGAAATTGGACGGGGAGATCTTTATGTGTCTGTCCACGCATCAACGTTGGTCTTTCTGGTCTCCATTGACCGACTCTGGAAGAGAAGGCAGCAAGCCACGATGCCCGTGCAAGCCCAAAGCATGGCGGATAGAGCAGGCGCCCGTGTTCAAGCCGCATGTAATCGTTTCCCGACTCTGCTCTCTTTCTTGCTTTTCATCTTGGGCATTGAGAAAATTGAACGTACCAATTCAACCTTCGCTTTTCCCGACTCCTTTACACTAAACGGATATGAAACGTCCAGCTTCCCTTCTTGGTCTTGCAGTAGCAAAAATGCTTGATGCGGTCTTTTGGCACTCTTTCCCTCTTGCGTTGCGAGGGTGATCTTCAATGTGTCGGAGGAGCCGAGCGGGATGGGTTTGGAGAGCGGTTGGGAGGGAGTGAGTCTGGTTGATGGGTGACAAGGTAGCAGTCAGTACTTGAGCTCTTCTGCATATGTATAGAGAATTGATGAAGCCAAGGTCACTAGATAAAGCGTACTTCTCCTTAATCCCCCCATCCTTGCCAGCTGCGGTGCCTTTACTGGTTACGGTGAGAGAGGCGTCTGCGAATGTCCATGTGGAGGCTGCTGCCGCTGCTGAACTCAGCGTGGAGAAAAGGAGCAGCGCCTGTGGAAGAAATGAGAGCAGACGCATTGTAGGAAGTTGGCGTGGTGCGTGCAGTGGAATGTCCAAGATTCTGTGGGACCTACTTTTGAGAATTGAGCATTGACTGAGGAGATACGTAGCCCCAGCCTCGTTAGCGCAGCCTCGCTTCTCCAAATGCCAAGACAAGGTAGTTCAACATCCAGCCCACCCCTCTTTGGGACGAGGGTGATGCCGCCCTATGCTCACCCCCGATTATATATGCGTACGGGGATCACGCTAACGAAATAGAGGGCGCGGCTTCTAGAATAGCCTCTTAATAGCGATCAAGCCGAACGAGTGAATTGTGGTGTTGGCCGCGGGGTAGTATTTCATTTACGCGATCGCAGAGGGGTGTGAACGGCAAACAGGTGGCTGAGGCTAGAGACCTATGCCTGAAGTACCGCCTACGAAAGCAGCGGTGAGGTGGGAAGGGAGGCGGGCATTGGAAGATTGGATTTCGGTTAGGGAAACCATGTTGATCAGACCAAGACGAGATAGAGAAGAGCGAGGAATTAACTTAGATACAAGGCAGCTACTTCGAATGTAGAGTCTTGCTCGCGTTTATTTGTGTCAAAAAGGCTAGCAGGACATGCCCAACCTCTTCACTTTCTAAACTATTTAGAGACCCTCCTTGGCCCTCTTAGGTCGAAAAGAAACAAGGACCTTCAACATCTCATTCTCTGATAATTTGTGCGTTTTGATTTCATCAGTGACTCGGGTGACTTTAACCAGGACACGCTAGTGGCCATCTTTACACGTCTCAGCAACCCTGTCAATCACAACGTGACCTACTTGATCTCGCGCGGGGCTTAAATGATAAATTGGCCTCAAGAACCGCTCCTTTCGTTTAGGCGTTCCTATTCCAGCAAGGCTCCAAGAATGGTTTGTAGGCGTTGGCGATCGGGTTTCGGCTTTGGTTTATTGCAACGAAACCCGTTGGTATGCTACAGGAGGCGTGCTCCACTCCATGGAAGAGATTTAAGTCATAGCCACTACCACAACGAAAATAATACCTCGCCCCGGGGCCGGACCACTGTGCAGGCTAATCATTGATCCAGTAGGTATCCTGGGCCACGTATTAAATCGGCGTGCTCGCACTCCAGGACACGTTCGTTTTCCTTTGAAAGATTTTGAGAATTGGCTGCGGTAACCATGTCTCTCAGTTTGGAGAAGAATGTGGCTTGGGAAGGCAGCATCCGCAGAATTCTCTACAAACAGCTCTTCGTCCGCCCAAAGCCCCTCCAGTCCTCTGTGTCTCTATCAGGAAAGATTGGCCTCATTACCGGCGCTAACAGCGGTCTCGGCTTTGAGGCGGCAAGGCAGCTTTTCCAGCTGGGACTATCGCATCTTATCCTGGCTGTAAGATCGCAAGCAATGGGAGATGATGCTTTCCGGAAGCTCAACGAGGAATTCCCAAACGCGGTAATGGATGTCTGGATTATGGACATGGCAGACTACGACTCCGTCGTCGCGTTCGCAAACCGCTGCAGGAACTTGGAGCGCCTAGACTTCGCGATTCTAAACGCAGGAGTGCAAATCAGCACATTTAGGCGCAGCGAGAAGACTGGCCATGAGATGACACTACAGACCAACTATTTCTCAACCGTCCTTCTCGTGCTCTTCTCACCACAATCATGAAAGAAAAGAAGGGGTGCGAGGCAGGCAAGCCGCCAGTTATCACCATCGTTGGATCAGACACAATGTACCTCAGCAAGTTCGAATCGTCAGGGTTAATCCTCCCTCGACTAGACAATCCAGCACGGTATTCAAGGTTCCAACAGTATATGGACACGAAAATGCTGCTGATGATGTTCGTTTCTCGGTTGGCGGAGCAAATCAGTCCGGATGATGTTCTCATCAACGTGTGCAACCCGGGAATGACGGCCGGGACGGGCCTTGGAAAGGATGTTAAGAACCCCGGATTTGCGGCCCGTTTCTTCATCCCACTTTTCGTGAAGACTGTTGGACGCTCCGTGGGAGCGGGAGCCAGTGTCTATATTCACGCACTGATAACCGAGGGACGGAAGCGTCATGGAAGCTTCATTAGTGACTGGACCATTAAACCGTAAGTCTCGAAGAAACTCTTCCAAACCAGCAAAGTAATCTCCTAACGAACAAACTTCAGATACCCTCGTCTGATGTATACGCAGAAAGGTCAGAGCATGCGTGAGAGGCTCTGGCAAGAAACGATGGAGGAGCTGCATTTCGCGTCAGATTCGGGGTTTGCCGATCTCTTCGCCTCCGGCAGAGAGAAATTTGTCAACAATCAGAATTAATCATCTGATTGGTAACTTATTGTCTCTCCAATGAAAGCTACCAGCGCAGCTGCATGATGCAATCGAAGTTGATTCAGCTTTCGTCCCTGTACGAGATAACGGCTGGAAGCTTCGTCCAGAGGCGATCAACCAGCAACTCCTTACCCAGTCACCGAGAAGTAAGAGCCATCTCTTGGGAAACAATGCAAACGACGGTGTCCCGCTCAAGGCCACAAACCGCGCCAAAACCCGTCGAGCTTTCCGCGACTACATCGAAATCACTTTCCCTAACTTCTTTGACTTGGGTAAAGAGACCCTTAAAAGCCAATATTCCTACGATGGCGACGGCAAGGAATCTTCAAACAACAGCAATCAACCAAGCTAGAGATGCAACGGGCAACCAACAATGCGTTCATGCTTGCCGATCTTGATATCATATCTAACATGATACATTACTCTGAGACATGTGTAGTATCAGGACTGTTTGATGCGGCAGTTTGATCGCCAGCGCGATTTACAGCAGGACGAACTCGCCATGGACGACGGCGATATGAGATATTCAGTGTCAGCCTTTTTCACACAGGCCAAATGTCTATATAAACAGACAGCAACTCGTTGAAAGGACAGATAGACAGACATCTCTGGGGATAAGCTAATGTTAACCATTTAAGTCATCAACGTGACAGTTCTCAGCTTCACAATTACCCTGATATGATATCAACTTAGCAGGATATCTGAGCAAGTACGAACGTATCTTCGACGTCTTCACCGAACATGTTTTCAACTGAATGAGCTACCAGCTCCCTTCCGTGATCCCCTGGGCCTGGAAATATCAGTGCAATTGGGACACTGAGAACTGTCCAGATGGTTGATAGCATTTGTCTATCCTGAGAGATGTCTGTCTATCCTGTCCTTCAGCGCTTTATATTTCTGTTAGAGGGTTATTCCCGAACGTTTCCTGGCCGCGTTATTTATGACGCTACTGTTCTGGTCAAATAGTCATGATATCACTTGGTCCGTGCCTATTACCCTGTGCATCGTTACAGTATCGTAAGTTGCTCTGTGCGCAAGGGGTTTGATACGCGATATTTGTCACACAACAGTATTCACCAAGATACCATGGTGTTGGGCTAGTTGCTAGGCACAATTTACAGGTAGTAGGCACGGCGACGGCACAGCACAGGAATAGGCGCCAAGATAGGCAAAAGGCGACTTCATTTTTCCGGCTCTGAGCGCCGGCCGGCGTGTTTGTGGGAAGAAGAGGGTGTGAGTGCCGTCTGTAAGTGTCGAGAGTGCCTGGGCCTTGGGGGTTTGAGCCTGATCGCGTGATGCCGCGGACTGAATATTGTTGGCTGAGCATTTTGTCGTCCAGGACGTAGTTGGCGACGGAACCGCCCTGGTCTCCGGTGGCTCCAAAGACTGAGAAGTTATTTGGGAACGGTGGTGGTGTGGGTGATGGTTTGGAACTGTGGTAGTGGTAAAGTAGCGAAGTCTTGAATACGAAAAGGAGCAAGCTGCTAAGAAACCAATGGAAACGGCACAGACACTTTTGCACAAAATCCGAATTTCCATTTCGTCCCTTTCAGTTTTTTTATGCCTCAACGTCACCTCAGGACACTCGATTTGAACAACGAAGTGACGCGGTGTCCAGAGTTAATAACCTGTGTCACAGGCACGAAGCACATCGGATTTTCCGTTCCTACATCTACTCGGACGGCAACGCACATAGGATAAACGAGGGAAATGCGCATGTTGAGTTCCAAGTGCAAGCAGTATAACTACGGGATCAGGTCATAAGCGGCCAGCGGAAAATCGGGCCACCAGAGCCCGACGGTATGACTCTCGCATCGAACAAAAGCACAGCGTTCCATATACCAGTTTGGCTACGCAATGAAGCTAAAAATCACGTCCATCTGATTTCCTCGGAGACGCGCCAGTTTTGTCCGCTTGCGGAGTCGCTCTTGGAGCACTAACGGGCTGCAAATGATGGTATATCTACCGACCGCCACACTCCGACTTAGGTGGCTCGTCTCGCGGCACAAGAAGTCCCTGGTCAGTGGAAAAAGATCTGGATTACAGAGACGATCGGATTTCAGCGAAATCCGTGTGGGTGGCAGGTGTGGATCGCAACTACTGTTTATCGTGCATCGGCACGGATTTCGCGAAATGCTTCGTAACCATGGAGATCAAACAACAAAAGGATCAGGATAACAAAGGACAATGGCAACAAATTTAGGTCCTCAGTATACTTTCCGCTCTACTGATGGCTTCACTTCGTCCAGTTCTCATTGCTTTTCCTTGGTTCTGCTTATGCTTCATTTCTCTACCTTTTCGATTCAAACTCCCCTATCCGATTCGTCCCATCATAGCAACCAACACCACGCCGTCCACCTCGGACATGGAGAAATCGGCTCCAACAGCTGTACTGGATGGCACTGTCAAGGACGACTCCATAGCTAAGACACCAGGGCCCGATGATAGAGAATACATAACCGGCCTCAGATTGTTCATCGTCCTCGGCAGCCTCACCCTGGTAGTATTCCTCGTCCTCCTCGATATCGCAATTCTCGGTACTGCCATACCTGAAATCACAACTGAATTTAACGCGCTGGCTGATGTCGGCTGGGACATTGGCGCCTATCAACTCGCCAGCGCCACGCTCCAACTCATATCTGGGAAATTGTACACGTACTTCAACAACAAGCACACGTTTCTTACATATTTTGCATTCTTTGAATTTGGTTCTCTAATCTGCGCTACGGCCAATTCCTCATCGCTCTTCATCGGTGGACGAGCGATCGCGGGACTGGGTGCGGCCGGCATAGTGAATGGGGGGATGACCATCATAGGCGGTGCTGTGCCGTTGATCAAGAGACCTGGTACGTGTTTTTGAAGCTTCGAGGCTCCTGAGAGATGATGGATAATTGCGAATGATCACTGACCGATCCAACAGTTTACACTGGTATTCTTCTTGGAATCGCCCAAATGGGTATTGTAACTGCCCCGATCATAGGAGGTGCCCTCACCCAACACGCAACTTGGCGTTGGTGTACGTATTTTCGACCCTCATCCATCCACTTGCCGGGCTGGAGTCTTCGGTTGCCATTCTCTTTGTCTCTTCCAATGATTTCCCAATTCTCATAACATAGGCTAATTTTCGCTAATCTATCGTGTGATCAGGCTTCTACATCAACCTCCCAGCTGGCGGTGCTGCAGCAATCCTTCTGTTATTCATTCAGATACCGGAGCTGACGAACAAGGAGCGGTGCTCACTCACATTGGTCCGCAAAATCGCTCCAGAGTTCGACCTTATCGGATTTGTGTTATTCGTTCCCAGCGCCCTCATGTTCCTCCTTGCGTTACAATTCGGATCCGCTGATACGGATGCATGGTCTAGCGCCAAGGTCATTGGGGTGTTCGTTGGCGCTGGCGTTCTCGCACTGACCTTCTTTGCTTGGGAACACAGGCAAGGCGACAAAGCGATACTTCCAGGTAGATTGCTCCGCCAACGCATCGTGTGGGCGAGCTGTGCGTTTGGGATCTGCCTGATCTGCTGCCTCTCCATCGCAACGAACTGGCTTCCGACGTATTTTCAAGCCGTCAAGGGCAAGGGGCCGACAATGAGCGGTGTCTATCTCCTTCCTTCGATGATCAGCCAACTTATCTTTGTCATCATTTCTGGAGCCGGTACGGCTCGGTTGGGATACTATCTCCCCTTTGCGCTGTTTTCTAGTGTCATGACGGCGGTTGGCAATGGCCTTGTGTCGACCTTTGACGCAAAAACAACTTCTGCGAAATGGATCGGGTATCAGGTCGTGATGGGCATTGGAAGGGGAGCGGGCATGCAGATGGTACCTCTCCTCCTGGGCCATCCATTGGTTTCTTCGCCCGAATCGATTACCATTCCCTCATCTCGCCACTAACATATACGCGACGTCCCACCTCAAGTGACAAGCCACTGACTTCATTAACAGGCCCTTGTAGCAATCCAAAACGCCATCCCGGCCTCTCAAATCCCCATCGACATGGCCATCCTCATCTTCTTCCAGAACTTTGGGAGTTCCGTCACCGTTGTAATCAGCAACACGATATTTACCCAAACCCTAAAATCAACTCTCCCGCGCTACGCGCCTTCTGTGTCTCCGCAAGCAGCCCTAAGAGCCGGTTCTAGCGCCGAAGCCGTGAGAGCGCTCGTTCCTGTTGGCCGTCCAGATGAACTGGGTGGTGTCTTGCGGGCATATAGTGAGAGTTTGCGCAATGTGTTCTATTTATTGGTTGGCCTCGCGGCAGTTGGCGCAGTGCTGAGCTTGGGTATGGGCTGGAAGAATGTTGGGAAGAAGAAAGAGGAGGAGAAGAAAGCCGCTGAGCTTGCAAAGACAAAAGAAGGTCTGCATGAGGAAGGGAAAGGCGAGGCTAAAAGATTTGAGGCCATCTGCAGGTTGGAGCTCTTTAGGAAGCGAGTCTCTCCAGGCGCGAAGTTGGTTGTCTAGGTCCATGACCATCTCGAGCAATAAGACCGGGCTCTGTCGCAGTCCTTTGACCGAAAGCAGCTGTTTGAGCACCTGGGAAGATATTTGAGCCTGGTGGATGAGGGCAACAAAGGCACTGACGTCGATCGTACTCCCTGGACAAACATCCTCTGGGATGTGACATGTGATGTCGCCGTCATAGATGGCCCGCTAGTACGTGAACAACGCGAAGAAGTTGCTGGGAAGCTTGATCCTTACAGAAGGCCGTCCCGATCTTTGGTAGATGTGCTTCTCACAGCAATAAACCGCCCAAAAAAAGCTAGTTGCAATGCCGCACTTTGTTCTCCGACATATTTCAGTCTCGAGCTGGCTGGCGATGAAGACCCTTTGCCTGTGCTAGCCGTAATGCCTTCGCATAGAGTAGATACTCGAGCGACGGGCAACCCAAGCCGCCAGCAAAGAAGGTCTGCAAAGTAATTTCAGGACCCTTTCTCCCCTTCTGCATAGACTCACCATCGCCATAATAGCTCGGGTGCTCAGAAGACTATTAGCCGTAAAGAGGACTTTCGTGAGCTCGGCCAAGGCGTTCTGGAATTACATCCACGCCTGTCTTTAGATGTCTCGAAAGCTAAGTTCGGAAGTTTGGGCGAGATATATTCGGCAGCCTGAAGCGTAAACGGTGTTTCCCAAAGGCCGCCAAGCACTGTCATTCAATAATGTTAACTCGCCCCGGAAGTAGGCCCGTAGGTTGCTCTCAAAGTCAGGGTGATACACCACGCCGTATATGATTTCGTCCGACCCCCTCGAAATACGCTGCTGTGATCAGTAACTTCAGTTCTAGAAAGAGCTGTCTGCTTCACCGTTGACAAAATTCCATGCCATGATCGAGTCTGGTTCCGGGGACGGACTCGATAAAACATGCTGGAGTCTATGATGAGACGCTGGGTCCAGGTGGATGTCACTTCCCTCGCAATATCAACAAACCTAGCAGCTCCTATTCTCTATGGCACCCAAGAGATTGCAGACTTAGAGCAGATAGAGAGCCAGGAACCCAGTCCTGCGCAGACATTAGGTCTTCAGTCCGCTAGCACTCGCTTGATACTGCATGCCTACCGTGATGCTCCCAATTTACCTGTGGAGTTATCAGACACTGATGGATCTAGTCAGATACTAATGGACTTACATCTTGAGGCCTTGGCACACTTTCTTCCTCGTCTGAATGATCATTACTTTTTGTCCGATTCCGCGGCACCTCATTCATTGGAGAGGCATTCCATATAGCTTGAAGCGGTGGAGTCGGTCCATTCATCCCTGACCCTGGTCCGACCACTAAATCAAAGGAAATCGCGGGAGACATTGCAGTTGGGCTTTGGTTGTGGCAAGCGAACATCGAGCTGGATGACTTGGATCCAAGATGTTTGCTGAACGGCGCCAGACCATGGACGTTGAAGGCCTGTGAAAGAGAGTCGTTCACGCTAAGGCCGGCTTGGTGGAAAGGGCGCAACGTCGATGTTGCATCTTTTGACCAAGACGTTTCTGTGCCGCAGTGTACTAGGACTCTGGGGTCACTCGTCCGCCGCTCCAGGGCCTGGTGATGATACGATACTCGGAGCTTCCTCCCCCTATGAGAGGCGATATACTCGCAGAAGGCATTGCATTGCTAATAGCGTGACTCGGCCCTATGCATCCGTGGAGAAGAAGCAAGGGTACGCACAAGGCACTTTTCGCAAGGCCGGACTCCATTGCTTGCAGAGTCAACGGTTAGCAAGAGCTCATGTCATCCTCGATACGGCTGCTCGAACACTTGGCTTTTCTTGCGCGGCATCGAGAGCAGGCACCCGCTTTCTTCGAAGGCTCTGGCAGATGTAACATTGAGCATGCCGCTGTTGACTGCGTCCGCAAGAACGAGGGAGTGGTCTCGCAACGGTCATTCAGAAACAGGCGAGATTTGGGTAAGAACTAAGCCCTAGAATTCCACAGCGAGACGCCTTTACCCCACGGGTGCCCCAGAGCCGCCCGAGTGCAAAGCTTCAATATTGTTAAGCCTCCTCTCCGAACTAAAGTAAGAAGAAACTGACGATATGGTCCCTCCGAGGGCCAAGAGCCCGAACCAGCAAATCCAGTGGGCTTCCGAGAGGGGAGGCCCACATGTGGGTCTGACCCCTCGGTGACCTTTCATAGTTGCAAGGCTTCGGCCTCCGAGACCTCGCAGCCTCGTCGCCGCAGGGTATCAGGATAAATATGACCAGGAACAACGCAATGTGAAGAAAGATGTATCGGACAAAGATTGACCATCGGCTCACGTGGTGGGCTGCATCTTGAGTCCCAGTGCTTGGAACAAAAATGCTCTCCGTGTGTGTCCTTGCCGCCCTGGCAATTGCAGCCAGCATGTGGCGGCTGCGCCTTTTCATCACTGCACGAAAGACGCCTGGCGGCCTCAAAGATCTCCCGGGGCCCAAGGGCTATCCAATAATCGGCAGCATACTAGAGTTCCCAAAGACTTTCTCGTATCACAAGTTCAAGGACTGGTCGGACAAATACGGACCTATTTTCCAAGTCAAGATCTTGGGCACGACCCACGTCGTCATCTCAGATGTCGAGATTGCGAATGATTTGCTTGCCCTGAGGGGATCCTGCTACTCAGACCGCCCGCGGATCGTCATGCTCCACGAACTTGTCTCTAGATATGGCAATCTGGGATCCAGTCCACAAAATGAATACTGGAAAAACGGCCGCAAATTCTCATCGACGACGCTATCATCGAACGCCCTTGAGCAGTGGAGTGCGGTGCAGGTAAACCAGGCCGCAAGGCTAGTGTATGACCTGGTCAGTGATGTCAGCAAGTATGAATACCTCTTCGAGCGCTATTCAGCGACAGTGGCGCTCAGAGTCCTCTACAACAAATCCCTCTCGAGATGGGAAGAAAAGGAACATCTTGACAAGATAGCTGCAATAGTCCGCACACTCGAACGAACTGGCGCTCCTGGTGCCTATTTAGTGGATTTTATGCCTTTACTCAAGTACCTACCGTCGTGGCTGGCGCCATTCAAGGCAGAAGCAAACCGGCTACATGAATTTGAGTATTCCTACTTTCGCAATCTCCTCGTCGAGGGTCAACAGCATTTCCGCTCCGAGAATGACAACGCCAAGAGACCCCAGGCCTTGATCCAAGCATATGTAAGCAACAAGGGTTCCTGGAACTTGAGTGATTTTGAGATCGCTTATGTTATGGGGACGCTGCTGGAAGGAGGTTCTGGGACTACATCATCTGCCATGCAGTCTTACTGTCTAGCTATGTGGCACTATCCTGACTGGCAGAAGAAGGTCCAAGACGAAATCGATCGCGTTGTGGGAGATCGACTGCCTTCGTTCGATGACTGGCCTGATCTACCAACCGTACGTGCGGTGATGAAGGAAACAATCAGATGGAGACCCGTTGTTCCCGGAGGTATGTGGCAATGCCTGTCCAGCCTTACGTAGGCAGAAGCCAACGATTCCTATTGATCAGGTATTCCTCATCGCGCCACGAAAGACGATACTTATAATGGCTTCTTCATCCCGGAAGGCGCTACTGTCCACGCAAACCAATACGCCATGTTTAAGAATGAAGCCACGTACCCCGACGCCGAGGCCTTCAACCCGGAACGATGGCTAAACCCAAATTATCCAACCTACCAAGAACCTCTGACCCAGTACCCGAATCTCAAGCGCTTTCCTGCCTTCGGATTTGGTCGAAGGATTTGTCCCGGGCTTGTGCTCGCAGAGCGGTCGCTGTTCATCGAGATCTCAATGTTGATGTGGCTATGCAGCGTGAGGAAGAAAGTGGACGAGGAGGGCCAAGTGATTCCTGTGCCGTGGTATGACTACAAACCCGGCAACAATACCGGGCCTAACAGGTTCGATTTCGAGGTGGAGGTGCGCGACGAACAGAGGTTGCAGATCCTGACAAACGTGGTAGGGATTTCGTGAATGGAACTCTCCCCATCGCAGTCTATCCGGTGTCAACTGCAACGGTATGTGGGCGAGAGGAAATCGCAGGCCTCCTACCGGGTCTTGGGATCGATTCATTCCCTGTTGGGTTTCCGAGGACGTATATCGTAATGGATGCCAACCTAAATAGAACCGAAACTTGAGGCCTGACGGCATTTGTTTAGTCCGTTTTTGTGCTTGTGGAGGTGTGCTGCGCCCACCAGAGTGACGGGAGGAAGGGCGATGCGACGAGTACCTTGTTGGCCTCACCAAAGGCGCTGGAGGTGCTTCGAAAAAGGACTTTGAAATCCCAGGGCGGTGGAATATCATGTACCCGCCACGATTCTTCGAATGCCATTTTCTCTAGATTTGCTGCCTACACTTTCCAGATACGACAACTGCGCGATGGATCCCTTATCCCCACCAGCTGGAAACAAGCGCCTTGGGAATTAGACATCAAGTTCGGAGCGATATGTAAACCTCTAGCCCCTCCTGCACCACGAAGAACGTGGTACGATGCTTCAATGGTCTTCCCGGGTGGACCAGCCCAAAATGGTATCGCCTCAACAGCCGTGGGAGCAGTTTGTTCATCTCCAACAGCGCGAGGTTCCTGCCGAGGCAGAGGTGGCTTCCGCCGCCGAACTGCAGGTGTACTTCATCAGTCGACACCTGGCTAGTGGTGACATGAGGTGGAGGGCTTGGGTTTAGGAAAGAGGCTAGGCGAGCTTACCTGGTACATGTGTCGGTGCATCTCCTTCGCATTGGATTCCAACCAACGCTCCGGACGATAATCTTCCGCATCGGGCCCGAAGACCGTCTTGTCTCGGTGCAAGACCCAGCCGTTCACCGCGACTTCGGTCCCTCCGGGGTAGAACGTGCCGTCGATCTGCATACCCTCGGGTGGAACTTTGCGGTAGATATTCAGGCCCACAGCAGGACGGAGACGCATAGACTCATGGAGGCATGCTTGGAAGTATGGCAGGGCTTGGGCCTCTAGGTAGCTAACCGGGTCGGAGAGCGTCCCTGAGGTGGTGGCCGCGTCGAGTTCTGAAAGGAGCGCCTGATAGGTGGACGGCGAGTTGAGAAGCAGATAGAAGAAGGATTGCATAGTAGACGCAGTCGAGTCGGAGCCAGCACCGCTAAAAGATCGTGGTTAGAGAGTATGTCTGGGATGTTCGAGAAGGAAGGATAGAGCGGGTGGAGGGCGGAGCCAAACTATTGCTGTTCCTTGAGGGCGAATAACTTACATTGCTCCGTGAGCTACCGAAAACACGTCTGCCTCAGTAAACTTGTCAGGAGCGCGAAGGTGCCCCTGGATGAATTGCGCCAGCAAGTCGTCCCGCCCTGTGCTTGACTTGCCATTATTGTCCATTTTTTTTCCGATTCTGCAGTTCTTCAAGGGCCATGCGCGTTAGCAGGACAGGCTTGAGACTCAGCCCAGGAATATATGACGCCAGGGGGTTGAGTCGCAGCAGGTAATGCAACCATGGGATTTGCCCGACGAGGCCGTCATAAAATTGGACATCGTCGATATACTTTATGCAACCCTCAACATCGGTGCCTGTGCCGACAAAGCCGTAGCGGTGGGAGAAAGCAACTTCGCCCAGAACCTAGAGATTCTTGTTTAACCCGGTCGAGCACGTCGGAAGGTAGGCTTACATCGAAGGCGAAGTAATGGAGATAGTCTCCAAGGTTACAACGTCTCTGTCCAGCGTTGGCAAATCCATCGAGTCTATCCATGAGCTCCTTTTCGATGGCGTCGATGGAGGACGACATCTTTTGCAGCGAGGCTAAGCTGTACGGCTGGACTGTAAACCGCTTCAGCTGTGCGTGCTTCCATTCGCGGATCTCTGTAAAGACATCCGGATTCTCGGCTGGTGGAAACACCCAATAAAAGTCGGTCTTCTCAACGCCCTTTCCCACCGCAAAAATATCTTTGGCCGCCTCTGGAGATGCAAAAGACAGCTCGTTTGGACCCGTGCGGACGATCGGACCTTTGAGGATCAAGAGCGGGTCAATACCAATCCTTGATTGTCAGGAAGGGTGGTGCGGCGCACGTAGCATGCCATACCATATTTGCGATGGAGGTCCATGTAGTCGTGTTCACTGTGACCCTTGTACGTGACCCAGAACTTCCAGACCCGCGAGCATGACGCCAGCAGCGGCCCAGGCCATGTACTTAGCGGTGAATTATAACGTTTGTATAGCCCCCTCGCCACCAGCAACAAGAGCAACACCAGCAAAAAATGAAATCTCGGTATCTGAAGAACGTTGCCCAAGAGAGGGCCAACCACCGAGTCTGGCGACATGCTGAGAGACTGTGGTTGCAATAGTGAGAGAATGTTGCTCGCTGGTAGCTAGATACTGGTCGAACCATATATAGGGTCGACCTGCGGAATGGCGGTGCTCGTTCAGCACCGTAAGACAGCCCGCGGTCTTCTCATCTCGCCGCGGTGACAAGTATGCCGCCGTCCGCAGGACCTGTTCAAATATGTCGAGCATGTGTCAGCTTCACCTTTGGTCGTTCTCTGGCTCAGAGCAGTGGAGATGAAATCATTGATGCTGTTTCGCGTCTAACCTCCACACGCTCCGAGTGGGGCTAGAAGCAGTGGGTTCATAAGAAGCAGCAGGTCTGCTCTCCAAGGTCAAGTGACTTGTAGCCTCACACGGCCGAGACAGTGCGGTTTGGGTCTTCCACAAACAAGTGGCACATGCAGGAGGTTTGAGGAGCCCCGCAACCGATGAATTGCCGCAAGCATGGAAGGCGCAAAAGGCGATACAGGGAACCTCGGCCGCCAAGGCCGTTGTGCCAAGGCTCTCACGCCAAGAACAGCCTTGTACCCAGCCTCGCCAGTACCCAGCGAGCCAAGTACCTTCGCACCTCGTACCGAGTATAGTGTCGGTCTTTCTCCGTAGCTGCCGACTCCAGTTACTCCAGGAAACGCCAGCACAACACGCGGGGGCGATTCCCCGCTTACGGGATCCGAAGTACTTCTAACGATGCTCAAGACCAAAGCCACAGGCTCTCTGGCGTTTGACTCCTGCCAGTTCTCACCTCGCCAACACAATGGATGTGCCTCGGCGACCTCGGGGGCGGCCTCGCAAACTGTGTTCCACCACATGTGCCACATGCGGTCAGCAATTTTCCAAGATCGAGCATCTCCAACGCCACGAAAGGAGGCGTATGTTCATGTCCGTGTCGCGTTAAGGATGCCTGGGAAAGAATCGGCTGACGATGTTTGTTGTAGACACGGGAGAGCGTCCTTTCGAATGTTCACAGTGTGGAAAGCGCTTTTCTCGAAAGTCAGACCCTGAGTCTGCAGAATATTTGGTAACGTAGTTGACCATATGTGCAGGGATGTTCTCAGCCATCATATCCAGAACCACACGCGCTCCATGCAGAAGAGCGGCAGGACATCAAGCGTTCCTGAGCCGCCAGGCCGCCGACACGAGCGGCTCTCCAAAACAGGGGGAGACGGTCAAGAGAGCCGTGGCCAGCATTTACCACCAAGAAACTCGCCTCAGGTTGAAGTTGAAGTTGCCAGTGCTGACCCGGTGCATTTTTCATTAGCTCATGTTGACCGGTCACGGCAAGGTGCTGGGAACATGGCGGCCGTGCTGCCCTCAAATTCATTGGCGTTACAACAGGACTATTACGCCGATGGGTCCGCTGTGAGTGTCGACTTCTATCCTGCTGTCGACGTTGGATTCCCCGGAATGGCTCCATGGGAATCTGAAGGCAATGACGACTTCTGGTTCGACCTCGCGAATAACCACCAAACAAGCGACCTTTTCTGGAACACTGCAGAGCCTGCTGCTGTCGACACGACATTTCCAAGCCCTTGGCTATCTCTTCCGGGTCCAGCTTGTCGGCTCCTAGCTAACTCTCAGGAGAAGTGTCCTTCCAGAGAGCGCATGCCCGACGAATTGTTCGACAAGGTCCATCAGTGCTGGCCTGCAACGAAGACCGATGTGCCCACTGGCAACCGGCTTTGGGATCAAATCATTGCCCACTCTGAAGATGATATTTTCTCTCAGCGTATATTAAACAACCGGGTTGTCTGCGCAGAACCGTTTGCTGCATCGAGGTGGAAATTTGACGAGAGTTGTAGATGGCGCATCATCCGATGTCTCAAGGGGGTTCGACCAGAAGGCTGCCTCGAGACCTCTCAGTACAGAAGCACCAATGTTGCAAACACAAGTGGACAGGAATTGCGGTATGATATTATATCCCAGGATGGGCGGAACGGAAATTGCGGTGCATCCACAAAATTTCCGTCGATCAGCACGCTTGACTTCGGCTTGGACCTCTTCTTCGATCAACTTCACCCCTTTGTGCCCGTCATCCATGTTCCCACGTTTGATGCCAGGAAGACTCCTGATGTGTTACTCCTGGCATTGTGCATGGCGGGATTTGTCAAGCTGAAGGGTCCCGCGGCACAACAATTCCTGGAGGAGAATCTGATGGTACCCGACATCCTGCATGCCTAATTCTTGCAAAAGCGAGGGCAAAGGTGGAATCGCACTAACCGATTGATCATAGGTCCTCGTGGCACGCTGTCGACAAGAGCTCAAAGCGGCCACTTCGAAAACTACTCCGCTGTCTATATTGGCCATCCTGGCAAGCTCATACCTCGCCGTGCTCTCAGCACTTCTTACGGTCTGCTATTCTAGAAGCATTGCATGCCATATTCACGACTGACCAGATGTCTAGGGCAAGAGCAATGCAGAATCATGTCGTAGACTCCAAGGAGAGACTGTTTCGGTCGGTTCATGCTCCCTTGTCCTGGCTTCTTGAGTTCTGATGAATACTAGGTGATGATTGCTCATGGCTTTTTCGGCAATGACATAGTCTCAACCACAGAGAGTGGCATTTCCGATGAAGATCTGGTGCGTCGCTATGGATGGAAGGTCTGGGCTCGAGTTGAATCGATCAAGAGGTGTGTCATCGAGCCTCAAGCCCCCAGTTCCTGCCATCACTGATCCTCGCAGGCTGATCATCGCCGTCGTGATGGTTGACGCATTCTACTCGAATACACTGGATCTAAACCCGACCATTCCGACCCAGATGTTGAACTTGTACCTGCCTTGCGATGAGAAACTCTTCGTCGCCCCATCCGAATCGGAATGGAGGAGGATTCTGCTGGCAGGCAATAGGATTTCGTCCGCAACCTTGGCGTTTCACGCCGATCAAGTTTTGCTGTCTCCACAGTGGTATTATCCAGGCTCCCTGGGCCTGCACGGTGTTCTTGCCGCTGTCTGGATTCGTTTGTCCGAGGCTCATCACAGACTTCTATCACGGAGCGGCTTGTTAGGCCATGGGTGGGGACTCATCCCGTACGAAGTCTACTCGACTGACCACAGCGCAAAATCCATTGCACCATTTCTAGTGAATTTCATGCAATTACACGGCGGTACGCTGCAAAATGCGAATCCTCATGCTCTGATCATGTGGAATATTTTGTGTGTGATGCTGCTGAGTAATTCGTGGATGTTCGAACTTGGGGTCGGCCAAAAAGGTGCGGAGCCTGCCAGAGCAGCTTTGGCATACATTTCTTCCTGGGCAGACACTCTTGCGGCTAGGCGAGCTTGTGTACACGCAGCTCAGATCTTTTGGATATGCTCGAAAGGGAAAATATCTGATAGAATGATGCTGCACTCAGAGACGAGCCTTTTCCTCTCGGCCCTCGTTCTCGGTCTCTATGTCCTCGTCATGAAGGCTGACACCGGTTCTTCCACACGAGAAAATAACTATGAGCTCCTCGCCGACCTAGATTGGCGAGATCTAGGCGATGTGGCCCTGGGAGGTAGTCCATATCGTGGCGTAGGAATGGACCTGTCACCAGAGGCGGACTTCATTGCGAACAGGGGCGCTCTCACTTTCGACGGCATCCCTCTCTCCGGAGGCTATGCTTCGGCAAGGCGAATTCTTGTTCACTTTGCCAACCTCCTGGAGGATGTGGGAATGTGGCGTAGCTCGGATGTCTGTCGAGTTCTCCATATCATTGGAGACGCCCTCACGGAAGATGAGGTTGATAATAGGACCAACGACCCCGTGGCCTTCCAAACCTACTAATCCTAAAGCATATCCTGACGAAAACACCAGAATGTGAGTTCAGTCAATCCAACCAGAGTAAAATTGACATTTCTACACCATTTACAGCGATGGGCAAGGAAAGTAGTACCTTCACCAACGTCTACAGCAAGATTAAGTTTGCGCCCTGCTGGATTCGGACGAACTTACGATGGTAAGAAGTGACACGTTGAAAAAAAAAAAAAAAAATAACATTGTGGGGAAATATGGGGATAAAAATGATGGGAAATGGGGAAAAAACTCCTTCGATCTCCACGAAAGACCAGCGACAAGGATTCTCACCAGAGGCATCTCGGCTGACATACCGATTCACGAAGCCAGAGTGGGAGGATAAAAGCGCGGCCGATCCCAGGGGAACATTACGCAGACATCTAATGCCATCTAGGTGAAGGAACAGGTTTCTCGTCGGCCGCAATTTGTCACGATGTCCTCCAAGCGTCCCATTGCAGTGCTCGGAGCAACAGGGGCCCAGGGCGGTTCTGTAAGTGATATTTCGGCCTCCGAAGAAGCAAAAGTCACTCTTCAATTCTAACAGGTACAATATAGGTTGTTCGATACCTCTCGACACGGCAGGAATATGACATTCGAGGAGTCACGCGCAATCCTTCCAGCGCTACGGCGAAGGTGTTAGCCCGTCTTCCCAATGTGTCGGTCGTAAAGGCGCACTTCAACGATCCTGCGTCGCTGGTCAAGGCGTTCGAAGGTGTCGAGGCGGTCTACGCGTTGACCAACTTCTACGACCCAGAGAACCAATCCAACCCGCTTGCCGAAGCGCAGCAGGGAATGGCCATCGCCGACGCCGCCAAAGCAGCCGGTGTGGAGTTTGTCATCTGGTCCACCGTTCCCAGCGCCATACTGCGAACAAAGGCCCAATGCGCCTTTGCTCACCTAGTCGAGAACAAATTTTACGTCTCAGCTTACCTGAAGAAGATCAAAATCCCTCACGTCGACATGTATCTGGGCTTCTACTACGACAACTGGCCTAATTTCAAGTTTCTCTCGATTGCTGCAGACGGCGCCATCGAAGTCACCCAGCCCGTCATGAGGCCGGGGACAAAAATAGGGATGATTTGGACGGGGCGCGACCTTGGGCCCACCGTCGATGCGATCCTCAAGAACTACCGCACGAAGCCACTGGCCGGCGGAGAGGTCTACTGCGTGGGCGGGTATCACAGCACTGCAGATGTAGCTGAGGAGATTCAGAGGCAGACGGGAAAGCAGACGCGGGTGGTCACGGCGCCGACGTCAGGGTTCAAGGATCTGGATGTCATGTATGAGTATTACAACGACCACAGCCTGTACTCAGAGTTTCCCATTCCGGAAAAGGAGACGTTGGAACTCGGTATCGAGTTCCATTCGATGGAGGATTTTGTCAGAGAGGTTGTGGTGCCTTATATCAGTAAGCTCGCGAAGGCGAATTAGCCGTTAACAACTATATATATCTTCAATCCAAGCAGAACCATAAGATTGGAAATTTGTGGACTTGAAGAAAGGAAAAACGAAATTCGGTGAGATGCTATCCAGTGCATTTCACACTGCTCTTGGTCCACATTGGACACTTTCTAGGAGAAGTAGGTCTGCGTTCAGGCGCTGTTTCATGTATCGCATGCATTTTGGGGTTGAAATGAGTCTGCCGGGGTTGCCCTCCCGGGAATCATGGTCCACGATCCTAAATGCATGTATACCTATGCACAGTCCATCGTGCTGCTGTTGAATGGTAGGTCACTCTCTTTCATCGGGTGTAAATTCCGCCCAAATTCCGCCCAAGCCTTTTCGCAGATGGGTCGTTTCACAGCCCGAAAAGAACCAAAAGACAGATTCTATGGCGAGAATCATTTAAGGCGTGGGGCCCTGAAGCAAAAATTCCATCACCACCTCTTCCATCAACGCGGCGTCATCATCCTTATCCGCCATGCGCAAATATTCCCTCGTCTCCTCGGCTGGCCAGCTGGTCCCCACAATCTCGCTGATACACGCGCCGTTCACTGCACGGTCAAATTCCGGATGCGCCTGCAATGTTAAGACGCGATTGGGCACGTACATTCCCTGCATGCCACAGAGCGCGCTGGATCCGACTTCCACGCACTCGGAGGGCAATTGCGCACTCTGAGTGACAATGACCGTGTCCTGGTGCGAGAGTTGGAGCTGGATCCGCGGTGACGACGAAGCTCGGGCGACGGCAGCAGCAGACGATTTGAGTTGCCGAGGAAAGCAACTGGCGAATTTGGGGTTGATTGCGATTTCATGCACGCCGAGTTCCCAACCTCGTGGGTTCTTCGTGACGTAGAGCCCGCCCGTGTGCGCGAAGAGGGACTGGTTGATGATTTGATGGCCGAAACAGGTTCCGAAAATTTTCACCTCGGGGTGCTGGTGGTATATGTCTACAAGGGGGAGAACGGTGTTAGTCTGGATTTTGGGTTCGAGAATTGAAAGTCGCAGAGGATGTTTGGAGGCAGAAACCACAGAATCGCACAGGTGAGACATTCTGGTAGGAATTCTTCGGCCCTGGACAGAAGCTCCAACCCGATGAACGATTGTCTTATTCTCATAGTGGTCTTATGCTTCCTCGGCAGGCGTTTGGAATCAGAGACGTCTATTTCACTAACCTTGCAAGAAGCCCCCTAGTTTTTTCACCCATTCGATATCCTCATACGCCCCCGCCGAACTGCCCGTGACGACCAGCGCATCGAGCCCTTCCAATGCCACTGCATCCGGCAACTGCCCCGCCGTGGCATTGTAGGGGGTCGTTCTCACCTGGATCTGCTTCTTGACGCCGCCGGGACACTGTTCGTTGTGGTTGTTCTCCGACAACCGTTTCGCCCCGCGGTCGAAGAAATCTTGAAAGATCTGATCAAAGGGACCGCGCAGGCAGGACACGGGCGGTGGTAGAACTTCGCAGATCAATATCGCGAGATGTAATGTGAGAGTCTCGGTCGAGGAGGGAAGGGAATGCATGGTTTCCTAGTTTACCAATTAATGGCAGGCGTTAGTGCCGTTGTCACTGAATTTTCCTTTTGCTCAGAGATCCTCGAAGGCCACGGATCGGCGGCAATGAAAAGTTGTTTGGGATTCAGTGTGATGCTATATCTCTAATGTTTTTTTTTGGTGTAACTCTTGATCTAAAGATCTGGTTCTTCCTATCAGGCATTTATATACACATTGAACCGCAAACAAAATCCACCGCGTCCTGATAAGAACATACCCACTCTTCCGCCGTGAGAATCAGCCTTGGTGACTTGTCCACCAATCACCGCTCCAGAACTCCCCTTCCTAAACGGGACATCTTGGCTCTTTTTCGACTCTTCTAAGCACGTGCAAATCCAATCGCTTCCCTATCAGGCCTTGGTTTGCTAACGGTGGTAAAGATTGTGCGCCAGAGACAGCTTTGTGGTTGGTGAGCCGCATTGGATTGGACGCCAATTTTCCAATCTATGCGACAGTATCACTGCGCTGGAAGCTTCGTTGGAAGAACTTCGAGGGTGGTTCGCTGCCGAATGTCGCTTACCACACAGTGAGATTGACAAAGGGGGATGTGTCAGAGAGAGAGAGAATCGACTGAAAAAAAAAAAAACCCCCTGTTCATATCGCCCGATTCCAGCGGGACAGTTATATCATTCTGCCTGTTCGACAAAGCACCTAAACACGAGGGATGGGCTCAGTCCTGGGGTTTTAATAACGTAGCAACGCGCTGTTATTGTTATAAGGCCGGTGTTGAAGACTATTTGTATCACCTCCTACGCCAGCGAGGCGAAAGGGCTAGAAAGCTTGAGAAAGCTTGTCGAACCAATCACCTAAACTGAGAAACTTGAAGGTGCGCACAGCACCCAAGCCTGAAGTGTCACCGCCACGCCTTGATGACACCGGAGTGGCCCTCGATAGACACTTTCACGCCATCGTCGCTTTTCCCTGCAGTGAGGCTTCTGGCACGGATATTGGGACCCCATAGCATGAGGATAGTGATCGGGATGAACGATCCGGCTGTGAAGAAGGCCATCATGCCGTATGCCCAATTGATCCCCAACGCGCCAGACCATGGGAGAATGAAGAACGTCACAGCAATGCCGAACACGAAGCGATAAAAATTGACCACCACGGCGACTTCGTTGGGGTGGTCCGTGAAACATTCGACGAGGTAAGAGAGAACTACCGAAACGCCCGATATGGAGGCAATGGTTGTCAAAAACACCGCAAACGCCAGGACAATGAAGTGCAGATGGTAGAAGAGCGTCGCACCGACGAGGCCCAACGATACCGGGTAGAGGAAGAGGCTCGGGAACCACAGGGCGTGAAGTCGGTATCCGGGCTTCCAAGTGCCACCGTGATGGGCACACATCCTCAGAGCCAGCTGGTCATTGACGAAGTGGCAATAGATTTGGGAGGCAAAGACCCAATCCATGATGTGAATGAAACTGCAGAAGAGTTTCTGTCAAATGCGTGCTATGCAAAATAGGGGTATTCGACGTAGAACATACAGTAAGCATTTTGGTACGGGGTAACTCCGTAGCCCCTTCCCCGATCGGTGTTTGCAAGTAGACGGATGTGTCGGTGGCGGTGACCATGGCCCAGCTGAACATGGCAATGAGAAAGAGCCCGATCAACACACCTACGGGTGAGATGCCAATGAGGACTGGTAATACACTGGTGAATGCCAGCTCTCGACCGGTTTGTGGAGGAGTGATTCTCTGCGTGCACCCGTAGATTGCGATCTTGCGCTGGACGTAGTTCCTCGGAAGGATCGGCTGCTCAGGGTTGTTACCTCTGGGGTATGCTGTTTCGTCCAGCAGCAGGATGCAACAGATGGCAAGAAACACTTCAAATCCGACGTTGTACCAATATTGAACGGTCCAGCTGGCGTTCTGGACAATGAATCCGCACAAGGTGCTCGCGGCAATGATGCCGGGAAGGTTCATCGATGTGTAGACGGAGAAGCATTTCCCCCTATCGTGGAGGAAAAATGTTTCTAGGATGATGTTTGATCCCACTGCATAGTGTCAGCGGGGACTGGTGCTCGTAGACACGTAGGACTCGAAAACTAATAGCTTACCAGTGATTGGGGCCGCACAGGCGATGATTGCCAACAGTCTAGATACGACAAAAGCGTCGTACTGGCTGGGACTTTGTCATACATGCGGACCAGATGTTCATGCAAATCGTCAGACACAGACTGATCGCGATGCATCGACTGGTCCCAAAACGCTTTGCCGGCGGATTCCAGACGAATGGTCCAACGGCCAGTCCGGCGATAGCGGAAGATGCCTAAAGGAGGTATTCCATCTCAGTATCGCTACAGAAAAAGAATGGACCGAGTGGGATGAAAACGTACGCTGTATGAGAGCTGGATTGCGGTCTTGTGGTAGACCTCCGCTTGCACGAAGAAGCCAGAATTGTTGGCCACAGCTTGGAGAGACGTTGAGAAAGATACCAATGAGACCAGCATCAGGGTCACCCCTTTTTTGGATGCTGACCAGTTCTATCGAATTTTCGGTCAGAGAATCTTTTCTTGATTTTTTTTCTGTCTCCGTGTCGGTTCATTTCTCACCAAGGGATCGTGTGGATCGTCGGTGGGCTGCGGCACCAGTACCCATCCCTTCTTGTTCGTCTTGAGCAAATACGGTACCGGCGTAGGGCTGCTGTTACCCTCATTGTGAGATACGCTGGCTTCAGCCTTGTCCATTGCTATGACGATGACAGGTAGAAATGAGCAGAATAGTGGAATAGCGAGACTGGCTTCTAGTCTAGGGTGATCAAGACCAGTCTGTGAAAGGATACGCTGCTTCATATACCCTAGACGACTCCCTCAAGCAGGAGTTGATCTGGGGAAGCATACTGGAATCCGGGGTTGAAGTGACGGGGAGATCCCGTGGTTACGGCAGGGCATTGCGGAGGGCTCCCAGCCTTTCTCCTACCGTCGGCGCGGAGATTCGGATATTTTACGCGAAATGCCGCCAGATTGTTCCGGAGAGAATCAAGAGAAGGAGAAAAGAGAAGACTGAGTTTTGGAAGCGCCGAGTTCAGACAGAGCTTGTGAAAAAAAAAAAATCGTGCTGGAGCCTTGCGGAGGCGTTCTTTGCTGCTAGATTGGCTGGCGTGTGGGGGATTGTGGGGCGCATACACAAGCTCTAACTGCTCTAGGCAACTGAGTTCCAGTTAGATCTCGCCGCGATTTGCGGCGCGTCTCAAATGTGGACAACAGTCTTAGGTCTGTTGAGGTCTGTTGAGGTCTCTTGAGGTCCGTTTGGATACATCAGGGTCTAAGGTACGTGACTCGGCATGAAGAATTCTCAGCTGAAATGCTTTTCCCAAAGCGGACACATATCCCCGTCAGATAGTTATAAACGACACGCACAGCCAGCAATAAGTCCGGGGGGCCGCAAGGCTACCAGGCAGACCCTCGGCCCTTGTGTCGGGGTTTCGGAGTTTTGTAAACGAGCAAACAATCACCTCCTCGTTAGAAAGGTGGTTGTGTAAACAAAATCAGGCAGAAAACTTGGGAAAACTTGGGAGAAGTAATACTGCTTCTATTTGATTCCGGTCTTTGCGAAAATTCTCCTTGCCAAGGGAGCTGTCTTTCGGAATTTGTTGACCATCCCCATTGAACACAGAGTATTACAATTATACACCCAGCGCAGGGTGAACACACGCCAAAGCCGAACCCATCAAATTGCAAGGTTGGCAACACAACATTATGGTGCCGTCCCACCGGGCCGGCATCTGCTGAGAGAGTACTTATATCGCACTTACTTCGCGGCCGCAACAGCAACAGCGGCAGTGAAATCTCGATCTTGTACAAACGTGGTCTCGCTCGAAATTCCATCATCTTCTTTCGGTCTGTCCTGCTCAGAAAGACCTTAAACAACAACGTCCGTGGAGCTTCGTACAGGAGTCTACACACCACGCCTTGCTCATGGACCTATGCAGACACCCTCGGTCCCAATCCCCTTCCGCGTCCTTCTCGCAAACGACTCGTGGTCGGCATAACAGGTGCCACTGGGGTGGTGTTTGCCGTGCGAATCCTCCGCGCGCTTGATATTGAGACGGACTTAGTGATGAGTAAATGGGCGGTGGCGACGATGAAATATGAGACACCACTGTCGGAACTGGATTTGCGCAGTCTTGAGACGCACAACCACACGGCCAAAGATCTGTCAGCGCCGATTTCAAGCAGTTCCTTCCAGCACAATAGCATGATTATGGTCCCGTGCAGCATGAAAACGTTGGCGGCCATCCGCATCGGCTATTCCGATTACTTGATCTCTCGCGCAGCCGACGTTACTCTGAAAGAGAGCAGGAAGCTTCAAAAGTTCTTCTCACCATCCGCGAGACGCCCTTGAGCGACATCCATCTCGATAACATGTTGTTTCTCCGGAGGGTGGGCGCCGTCATTTTTCCTCCAGTGCCAAAGAACTTGGAGGACATGATTGATCAGAGCGTGGGGAGGATGCTGGACGCATTCCATATACGAGCTGATGGCTTCGAACGGTGGACCGGATTCCGAAAAGATTGTGTTTTGGGGCCCCCCACACGCAACCTGGCAGTGACAGAACACCATTTCGCTTGGATATGAAGTCTAAACTATAATTTCTGCCCAGAGACTGCCAACATAATGCTGCCGGACACAGCTCCTAGACAGAAACCATAGCCATCCCTAAAAGAGATTCTGCAACCCTTCAGAGGTTAGCAAAAGACCCAGGTCCATGGGAAATTCCACTTCCATGGCTTGACTACTAAATAATTTAGCGATAAACCGTTGGGAAACAACGTCGTAAGTTTTCTTACTCACCTGCCCATAAGAGCGCTCCAATTGGGTATTGACATCAACGGGGCAAGGCTGTCTGACCACCTTTCGTCTAGAGCACGTGTCTCTTCTGAAGCTGCTGTCGCTGAGGCTGACGCTTCAACCGAGCGTCTTTTCTTGGATTCTGGCTTTAGCTTTCTCAAAAAACAGACAGGCATATGTGGCACCCCAGTAGGTACTCCGCAGTTTTGACAGCGCCTCAATACATATCTCCAGCCGAGCGTAACCAAGGCGTTTGGACAATGTATTTTGCGAAGACATCCAGTCCAGGAGATGTATGCCCATAGCCGATACAATGGTGCTGGTACTCATTGGCTTCAAATAGTGCATCCTGACGCGCCTTTGTTTGCCATCAGTCCGGCGCATCTGAAGGGAAAATGGAGGGCACGTCCCGAATATACCGGCGGTATTAGATGAGGGTTGTTGCCCTGTTGAGGGGTCAGACGTACTTTTTTCTCGGAACGACTTCGCAGATGAGGCCACTGCGTACACAATTTCCACAGAGCAGACCCATTGTGGATGCGTTACACTTGATCTTCCGTCGATGGCATTCCCGGCATGCTCTTGGGGGTAATTGCCCGTGGGGGCTCACCTCTGTTGACGCCATCCTGCTCTCTGATATGTGCTTGCTGTTGTTAATGAAGCTCCATCAAGGGTCTCGGCACCGACAATGTAATTGACCTGACCTTATGGAAGAATGCAGGGAAGCAGAGCGATTCGGACCAACTGACCCTCGATCGAATCGAACCGGCTGGGTCACTCTTCCGTCTCCATTGGTACCCCAGCCTTGTGCCTGAGCCGTATTTTCTATACACGACTAAGAACCTACATAAGGTGAATCTTATGCAGCACTTTGTAACATATAGTGAGGCGTCGCCCTAGACCCTTAACTAGATTGTCTACTATGTTTCTGACTTCATCCTGTTGGCTCTTATGGCTCTGTATTTGGCCGTGCCTACTCAGACTTCCTTACAAGAGCCGCCTGATTCAGTTATATACCATGCGAGATCAGCACCATCAGTTGTTTCACGTTGTGTCTTTCCTCTGCCGAGATACTGAAACCGGTTTTGGGTCTTGTATTCAAAGCTCCAATCCTCCCACCGCGGCTCGCTCATAAGTTCTAGGAAGTGCAAAGATGAGCCTGGCCATGGACCCCATACTTTGCCCTCGACCTTTCCATTCTTATACCTATGCGTCAAATTAGTCGGGGGCGACAACTGGTGTGTTTGCCTCAGTGGATTTACCATGAACGACAGGGCGAGGACCACACCAAGTCCTTCATCAACTCGTCCTTGTACTCTTGAAAGTCGTCCACAGCTTCGGGAAGCGGCGACATTGCCTTGATGTTCTGACTCTGTAGCTTGATTGCCGCATCGAACGCATAATGGACACATCTCTCAAGACATGGAATCAATGCCCCGTTTGCAAGCGGGAAGTTTGGGCCGCTGGTCACTGAAGCACTCCATTAGCACTCCATTAGCACACGCCATGGTGCACGTGAGAAACCTACTGAAATAGTTTGGAAAGCCAGCCGCGGCTACCGATAGATATGACCGTGGTTCTTCCGCCCACACGTCCCTCAAATCCACGCCGGCAGGACCGACGACCGGGAAAAATGGTCGGAAGGATGTGTCAAAGCCGGTAGCACAGACAATTGCGTCACATTCTATATGACTGCCGTCGATCATGTCGATGCCTGTCTTGGTGATTTTGAGGATTTTGTCTGTCCTTACGTCAACGTTATCTTGGACGAGTGCCTCTAGGTAGCCATGTCCTGGTGTAATCCTGTTTTCAGTCAGGCAGTATAACTAAGTAAGGGGGTTGGACTTACCGTCGACACCCAAGAGCAAACCCAGGCACCAACACTTTGGCAAGCTGTGGCTTTTTCTTCAATCTCTTTTCCATGGCCTTTCTGGTTGCCTCAATAGAATCCTGCTGGAGCTTGGAGTCTTTGTACTGCAGATCGAAAAAGTGATTCATGACCGAATCGACTTCCTTACGGTATTTGAGAAAAGATTCGGGATCGTTGCGCCATTTTGCCTTTTGTTCCTCGGAGATTTTCGTTTCTCGCCCTTCTGGAGCAAATTGTTCTGCGAATTCAGGCACCACCCACGTGGGCGAGCGGTTAAAGGAAGTAAGGTGCTTGACAACCATAGGAGCATAAGCAGATGTTTTATACTTCTTGAAAGCAAACATACCTGGCTGTAGCTGCGGGACGATCTGTATTGCAGAGGATCCACTACCAATGACTGCAACTCTCTTGTCCTTGAAAGAGAAGTCGTCGTCCCAATGCGCCGAATGTGCCAGATGACCACCGAAATCATGCAGACCAGATATATCTGGCCATTTCCAGTTGCTTTTCGAGGAGGGCGTAGTCAGCAGGTTGACCGGCGGAGGGATTAGAATCCACCTACTTCAAGAAGCCACAGGCGTTGATGACGATGTCGGCAGCATCCACGAAAGTCCTGTTATTCACTGTATCGAGGACTTCAACTTGCCACAGTCCAGATTCTCCATTCCACTCACACCCAAGTACACGGTGGCGCAGGTGGACGTATTGATCAACGCCGTAGGCCTTAGCTCGGCCCTTGAAGTAATGGAAGAGCTCCTCGGAACTGACATAGGCGTGTGACCAATTTGGGTTTCCTTCCCATGAGAAAGTATAGGCATGAGCTGGTACGTCGCACGAGCAGCTAGAGGATCAAGAGGAATGAGTAAAGATTCAGTGATCCTGAAGACAAACGCATCAGGAAACCGTAGGGTTTCGTACCCAGGGTATCTGTTTTCTAGCCAGGTGCCCGTAACGTCGTCGTTCTTCTCGTAGATGACCAAAATTGCTGGTTTATCAGAAAAGCGTTCGCGAAAGATTTTTGTTGCCGCGATGCCTGAAAGTCCTGCACCAATAACGATTATTTTGATCGGACGAGGCTCGCCCAAGTATTGCTCGCTAGTCTTGAACACAGTGCAGTGGTCGGCAGCGTCGATTGATCCCATTTTAGTTTATCAAAGCTTTTCGTACCACTGTCAGCATTTTCTGTGATCACGCGCAAATGAAAGGACGGTACCATGTTCTGAAAGGTGGAATTGATAATCGAAAATATGCCATCCCTCGATAGAAGCACACCCTTCATCGAAAACATCGGGCCATGCGGACCTCGGCATAGAGTCCGTGGAATTCGTGATCCATGGTTTTGTCATTCCGCTTGTTCGTGTTGATTGACCCGAGGACAACACCTACCCGGCAAAGACCTGCGTTCAGTATCATGCTCGTATCCTGTTCTCATTCCCTGAGAGAAGAGCCTGGATACTGACAATAGAAATAGCACCGCTTCTTGAGCCCAAAAACATTCCCAATATTCAAGTCTCACGACGTCCTATGCCCTCGAGACCGCGGCTCGGCGAAATGATCTCCACGGACAAACATCTCCGAATTTCGACATCGTGGTTTCTTCACATTTATGGCGCTAGTGCCTGGAAGGCATCCAATCACGGGCATATCCCTTGTAGCAAACCCGTACCGAAATTGGCATAGAAGAATTGAGACCTGTACTCCTGGTTATGCACCTAGACATCGGTAGGCGTGCAAAGCACATGCCAGTACGCGGTAGATGATGATCGATGCAAATTTCTTTCGATTTCCCTGGCAAAGCTGGGGGTCAAAATGGTGGTACCTAATCTCAAGTAGCGCCAGCTCTCGGGCCAACAGCACAGAAGCTGCCTCGGACGCTAGCGAACGAGACGGGCTGCCCAGCCAACTCAATGTGCCGCCCTCCGAGCGCCTATGGCTGGTCCAGAGCAAGACTTGGCTAGATTCTTAGCACCATTTTTCTGGGGACTCCGCCTGAGCGTTTTGGACAATTTGGAGTCTGGGGAACTTGGGTTAAAGGAGCACTCGAACCCCGCAAAACTCGCTGGATAGCAACGTCCTGCCAAGTTTACTCTTGCCGTCCCTTCGTGCAGCCATCGATTGTTTACCTGGTTTACAACCGAACAGCGGCACCTTTGGAGTCTGCAGCTTCTCCTCTATTGAGTGAGATTAGGCTCCAGTACGCAAAAAGATGGATAAGCGAGTCCAAGGGTCCCAAAAACGACATGCTCGTTTGGCGTGTCTGCAGTGCCGCAAGAAGAAGATAAGAGTGAGTAGTCGCCGGAGCCCCGGCTTTTGTTCTGAAACTCAATATCCAAGAAGCTAAGTCCCCCTGAAGTGCGATAACGGGCAGCCCAAATGCTCAAACTGCCAACTGTATAACACGGACTGTGTTCCTGGGGAGGACAAACGCAGGTCGGTTCAAGATAACCTATAAAAATACAGAACTCATAATTTTGCTTCACAGAGCCCAATCGACGACAAAGACCATTCATGAGCTCACCGGCAGGTTGGCGGAAGTTGAAGCACGCTTAGCTCAGGCTTCAAAGGATGAGAACATTTCTCAAAGGCCTACTCTAATGGACAGAGGTGCGCCTCCAGAGGCGCTGAATCAAAATTTTTTGAATGCAGGAGAAGAACTGAATTCTTCCACAACTGTAACTGTCCCTTACAACACGACAATTCCAGACTATTCTTCCTCGACACCGATTGTCTTCCGAGACATCGATTTGGATTTCTGGGAGCAGGTTGATGACACACAAGCTGGCCTCGCTGGATTTCCCGACATCGGCCAACCGTCTAATATGATGGCAGAGTATGAAGCTGGAGCCGAGTCCATATCAATATTATGGGAAAACGTGGGACATGAACAATCTCTTTCACGGATTTCGTCCGTCACTTCCGATGCAAGCCGGAAAACCAAGTCGAGGTCGCCTAGCCAAAGCTCCGGAAGCGGTCCCAGCTTCAATGCAAACAGTTTCGATCAAAGGTCGCAGACTTCTGAAGACGATATCACTCAGCAGATATCGAGAAGACTTGGTCGTATGTGTCTTACGGAAGATGGACACATGCGGTATTTTGGTGCCACCAGCCATCTCTCGATGCTTCCTAATGAACTCAGAACCCTTTATCGATCAGATATGCGCAATTTCCGCGAGGAAGGCGAAATAGTAGTCAAACGGGCGCATTTGGGCTGGACTCCAGACTCCGAATATGAGCTCCATCTAACACGTCTCTATTTTGCGTGGCATAACACTTTCGTCAGGGAAGTGAAGAAGGAGACCTACTTCTATCAAAAAGAGATGTACTACAGGGGCTATGAAAGTGCGCTGTTCTCGCCAGCACTTGAGAATGCAGTGTAAGTCAGGAAGCATGTCCAGAGTTAGGCGCCTATTAAATTGGTCTCCAGTCTTGCGATCGGCGCATTGTATTCGACAAGACGGCATCCTGCCATCCAGGACAGTCCGTCAGACTTTTTCGGTGCAAGAACCCGGTTATACCTAGAAACGGAAATGGACCGCCCAACGATAGCCACAACGCAAGCAGCAGTGATTTTATCCGCTTTTGAGTCGGCGAACGGCCATGACTCTCGAGGTTAGTCCTTTCTTCGCACTCAAGCTAGACCTTGGACTTATGATGCGTAGGTTGGATTTACTCAGGTTTGATGACAAGAATCGATACCGTGCTCGGGAACTAACGGGCGGCCATAGGCGTCGCAGTCCAGATGACCACGGATCTTGGGCTGCATCTTCGTCTCGACACCCACGACGACTATCTTAGCAGCGAAGAGAACACTCGAGGTCTCGAAGACGTGCGCAGAAGTCTCTTTTGGACTGTGTACTCCGCAGACATGTGAGTTCTCCAACCATGTAGCGCTAAAGCGGGGGAAAAAGCACTAGCCCTTCGTGAGATGATAGAATAGCTGACCGTCCTTCCGAGATCCTAGGTACCATAGTAGCTATAGTGGGCGGCCGTACTTGATGAGCAGGATGCGATATGATGCCCCTGGTCTGGATGCGTTGAACAATAGCGATTGGCAGCCATTTCATGCAGACGGCGCACCGATGAAACTGCCACCTGCTTTCGACGGTTCTGGTATTGGATCAGTCATCGCATGTGTTGTGCAAATGGCCATCAAGCTGCGAAAGATCTACGACACACTGTAACCCACCAGAAAACATATGCTTTGATGTTTTGCTAATGATTTCTCAGATACTGCGGGATTGCTTCTGTCTCGGAAGACGCTAAGCTCTTCGTTCCGGCTATGGCTAAACAACTCCAGCAATGGCTAGCAGCATTGCCTCCAGCGCTTCGTGTCGACTATGGGGAAGAACAACCCTCCCCTGTGCCAGCACCAATTGTGCTCCAGCTTCAGTGAGATCATACTACTTGTATGCACGTATCTTGACAAAGCTAATCCAGTGTTAAGCATATTATACCATCAGATCCTTATAATCCTCAATCGGCCGTTCGTGGTGCACGAATCAGATCCAGAATTATTTGCGGGAGAGATCTGCACCAAGTCTGCGGGAATAATATGTCAACTCCTGCAAGTGTTTAAAGCCAATTACGGCCTACGATATATTAACGTCCAAGCTGTTGCGTCTACAGTCACGGCGGGAGTTGTACACGCGTATGACAGTTGTATTTACTCAGGGGCGAAGGGCAAAGCAGCCCAGCATAATTTTGTGGTCTGCATTCAAGCACTGGCTGAAATTGGCCAATCCTTCAGAAGTAGCATACACGGGCTTGAAGTGATCACGTCTTTGAGACGCGCGTGGCAGCACCAGATGTTCAAAGAAACCAGAGCGAAACGACGCTGGAGAGCGTCGTCCGAGCTGGTAGGAGACCATCTGCATCGTGCTCCAACCTAAACTCGATGTGGCCAACCAGCAAAGGTGTGAGCAGTCGGTGATATCAAACATAAAGCTTGGGAACTTGCAATGTCCTATGGACACTTCATTCCGACATCCCAAACAGAGGCAATCCTTTCCGGAACTCAAGGTTTCGACGGAGCCATCGGAGGTTTATCGATGGTCACCGGGTGACATCAGGCTGCGAAAAGAACTTGAGATGCAAGTCACTGGAGAGACCACAGTCCAAGAAGCACCAAATGGAGAGCTTATCGTGCCTCGAGAAGGACCAACTGGGACGCTTCGCGGCGTCGCATAGAATATTTCAATTCTTTTCTCGAGGACATCGCCATAACTGTTTGAACTTCGAGTCCTGGTTGTTTCCTCGGACTCTCTGGACAACAAGCAATTGATTTTGAATGAGTGAGTGAAGCTGGCAGCCTGGATGTGACCTTGGTGAAAGCAGCTAGTACGGCGTTCAAGGTTATCCTACTGAACCAGGCATGGCTCAGGTGCTATTGTCATACTATATGTGGACTGTGGCGCAATAGGAGTATTCATATGCAGAGACGTCTGCCGAGGTGGAGAATGTGCCAGCTCTTTCTTAAAATCCATATCCACGGAATCACTCTCCACGACCAACTTCTTCTCGCTGATGCGAGAACAAGGTCAAGCCTATAGCGAAGCGTCATTTTGATTGGCCAAGCAGATCCTCCTGGTCCGGAATACCAAACGCCGCGGAACCATGAAGACTGTGCGAATGTTTATGCCGTGTGCGTCGATCCTTCGATAGCGGTGCAGACTTTCAACTGAGGTCCGCGGGTACCGGAACTCAGAAATCAACCATCAAGTCCACCATACAGCAGAATTTTTCACGACCGAAGGAGTGATTCATGCGCGGGACATTGGTCGAGAACCGAAATGGTGAGTAATCGGCTTACAGCTTTGGTCACAGGAGGTGCCTCTGGCATTGGGGAGGCGACGGCGCGCAAACTTGCGAGTCGTGGTACCTCGATCGTACTTACCGACGCGAACGAGGTCCTGGCAGAGGAGAAGGGACGGGATATCGAAAAGGAATTTGATGTGCCAGTACACGAGCCAATGAAAGCGACATACGGTCGCTAGTTGCGTATACTGCTGGTATCTCTGGATCTCGACTACGCCGCAAACTGCGCAGGGTATGTGAGAGTGTTTGGGAGGAAGAGGAGAGCGTTTCCACCGAGCTCTTCGACCGGTGAGGGCCTTCACCCCCCCGGGAATCATAACATTGACGTAATGCTCTGGGACATTTGCAGTCAATACCCAGGGTCTTTGGCTCTGCCAAAAGTACCAAGCCTTGCAAATGCGAAAAAAGTAGTAGCAGCCACGGACTGTCAACTTCTCGCCTATTTCGCCGGTTACCATACCGCCCCCAAGGGGAGCAATTACGAACGTCGCTTCGATCTCTGGGCTGCGGGCCAGGCGCATTGCCGCCTAAACATCGAGCGAAAATGCCGCAGTCGCCGTCACGAAGAACGGTGCGAAGTTCTATGGGCCGGACAGCGTCCGTTGCAACGCGATATGCCCTGGCTGGACGATGATGGCCATGATCGCAAAGAGTGTGGGCAAGGTGGGCGTGCCCGGTACTGAAGAGAACAAAGAATCATCGGTTTCGCGAGAAATGGCAATAAAACGGATGGTATTCCCGCAGGGCAGGCCAATGTGCAATCTTTCTTACTCCGTGATGAAAGCAGCTACATGAATGGTTCAATCGTTGTGTGTGACGGTGGATATCGCGATATTAGGTCAATGTGATGGATTACTGATGGATTTCTATAATAGTTTCGATCGTTGTAACGGTCGCAGTAGATCATAATTTTCCCACTTCAATCAGCGCTACAGCTCGTTGGAACAACAAGCAGCTCGTTTGTTGAATGACTTGATCTCAATAGAATTGACCTTTGTCATGTCAACGGAAACGCGACAGGAATATGCTTATCCTCCAGATCGCCGGCCAAGTGTAATTTCGAACCTTGGAGCCCAGTTCCTGAATGATTGAGTCTTTCACCCCGTCAAAGTCTCTTCTATTATCACTTTTGCTGCAAATACTCCGTAGTTCTGGGACATCTGCGCCACGGAAAGTGACAGGGAATTCCTGCAACTGAATAATTAATGCCACATCTGTTAGGAAGAATGAAAACAACCAACTTATGGTATGGTCCTACGTCGTCATCGTCTCATTCTCTCTCAACCGCATTCGTCAAGGGAAGGCTGGTTCTCGCTAAGTTGAGTCGAGTGCCTAATCATCAGTATTAGTACCCGCTGTTAGGCCTAGTGACTTCCTAATTAGGCCTAGATGACTTAGTCTTGGCGCTGCAGCAGTATATTTTAAACCTCTCGTTGCTCCAGATATATCTTTTGATTCCTTTCAATTGAACCAACCTTTCTGACTTCAATTTCTTCAACACCGGCCACTACCAAATCGGGTAAGGCAATACAATCATTTATTATGATTTGGTCAAAACGAAAATTTTACCACATCGCTGCTGAATCAAGATTAATATTGCCGATGAGTTGCTTTGTTATGATGTGATTGTCTTAGGAAGTGATGGACATAACATCTTGATATTCTTCTAAGTAAAGAAAGAACACTATATTTTTAGCGACAATTCCTTGTATTGATCTCTAGCCACCTTGTCACAGCGGGCTCGGTAGTCTACGGCACTGCCGTTGAAGATGACCAAGGTTCGCGTTTTCTTCCCATCGACGTTGCTGTTGACACCAGTAATCCAGGAATCGACATCGTTGACCAACAGCCCTTCACTGCAAGTTCTGACATGGTCTGTCCATTCTTTCTGGCCTTTTTCTGTTGCCTCGATAACAGAGATACCATTGTCGCGCGCATATCCAAGGAGATTTGCGATCCATTCGACGCTATACTCAATGCTCCGGGGGAAATTACCAAGAGCCGAGTGCGGACCCATGGCCATTAGCATATTTGGAAATCCTGAGACCAAGAACCCCAGTTGTGTCTTTGGCCCCGGAGCCCATAGTTCCTTCAGCCGCTGCCCGTCAACCCCGACGATATCAATGGCATTGAAGCTTCCGGTCACAGGGTCGAATCCAGTGGCTACATTTAGAGCCACATGATCAGCAAGAGCCCGTCAACTTCTGATGCACATTGCTATTTGTAAAATCAGGAAACAATGACAAGAGAATGCAGTGGGCTTACCGTAGATAATGACGTCGAACTCTCGCTCTTGCTTCGATGTTTTGATTCCCTTCTCCGTGACGCGCTCGATGGACTCCTCATTCAGGTCCACCAACTCCACGTTGCCCTGGTTGTATACTTCTAGGTATTGCGTTTCGAGTGGAACCCGGCGTGTGCCAAACCCGTGATCTGTCGGAATAAGTTTGTCGGCTACTTTTGGGTCTTTCACACGCTCCCGGACCTTCTTGGCAACATATTCGCTCAGGAGGGCATTTGCCTTTTTGTCGGTGTACACATCACGGAAGTTACCCATCCACAGGCCAAATCCAGGCTCATAATAGTGCTTCTCCCAGAATGCTTCCCGCTCCTCCGGGGAAACGTCAAAGACGCTTCGTGAATCAAATTGATGAACAAAGCATCCCGGGGTCGTTTTGCAGATGGAGAATATCTCATCGTAACGGGCTCGAATGCTTTCCATTTCTTTGGCGTCGATCTTTCGGTTTCCCAATGGAGAACACCAATTTGGTCGGCGCTGAAAGACTGTCAAAGTGCCCGCCGACTTGGCTACCTCTTGAATGGTCTGTATGCCGGTGGCACCTGTACCTACAACTGCAACTCGCTTTCCGGCATAGTCGATGCCTTCCTTGGGCCATAGTCCAGTATGAGTCCAAGTCCCTTTAAATTTAGTTATTCCCGGAATACGTGGCAAGACCGGGTTGGTCAGCGACCCAATAGCAGTGACGAGAAAATGCGTGTTGAATACTTCACCTGACTCGGTCGTTACTTTCCACTGGTTATGAGAGTAGTCGTAGTGTGCCGAGCTAACGCGACTTTGGAATTGAATACCCTCGCGAAGGTTGAATTTGTCGACCACAAAGTTGAGATAGCTCTCTGTTTCGGCCTGTGGAGCAAAATGCTCCTTCCAGTCCCATTCATTCAAGAGATCTTTAGAAAACGAATAGCAATACGTCCAGCTCTCGGAATCAAAACGTGCCCCAGGGTATCGATTCCAATACCTGTCATAGGAAGTTAAGACGAGCCAATGCGTGAAAATAAAGGCATCATCTTACCATGTCCCGCCTGCACCACTGCCAGCCTCAAGTACTCTTGCAGAGATGTTCAGCTCCCGTAGCTTGTATAGCATATAGATGCCTGAAATCCCGGCTCCAATCACCAGGACCTCAACATTTTGCTCAGCCGCAATAGAGCCCATTCTTTTTTCGCCGCTGGAAGACAAAGAATTCAACACCACAATTCGGATTTTCCCTAAGTCACAAAAGACGTTCGTGCTCTGTGTATCAAAGCTTTTTGAAAATTTGAAAGCCAAGTTTGGGCGCTAGTGTATTCGCAATAATCTCAGGTAATCAGGCGTCAAGTAGCTCTTATAAAAAGACAAGAGATAAACAGTAAGTCGAATATCGCAGCACTAAGAATCTTTCCGACCTGAAGACTGTTACTCTACCTCTGATTTATTGCTTATCACGTTCAGCGAGCCGTGCCAATATAGTGAAGGCCTCCTCTTCTGCTCTCCAACTCCACTTTCCCGCATCCACCTGGAGAAGCAACTCCATGGAAAATATACAGGATCTTCTCCGAGGACATGAGTCTTGAAGAAAGCTCGTGTTCAAGTGCATCCAGATTCATATTGGGGCGGGAAAAGATAAGATCAGCCAGTTAGTTGCACAGCTGTTGACACTTTATACAACTATCGTAGCTCTATTCAGGGAATTCTGTCCGAAAAGGTGACACATCGAGTGGAGCAATGTATAACACAAGGTCTGGATTGGAGTTGGTTCAATCAATGAGGTCTGAAAAAATAACAATCTCATCCAAAAGAAGACCTGACGTTCTGCTATGTGGAAGGCAAATCTTGAGCAGTACTAAATGTGGATTTAAATTCCAACCACATCCATTCCTTCGCCTCCATTTTCTTCCTCCCATTCCGTTGTCATCTTGCTTGCCTCAGCCAATCGCGGAATACGCATCTCCCGCACAAGGGTCAGCATATTGTCTACACAGGTAGCCTCTCTGAATGCATTGCTGCCTCATCGCCGGTACTCTTGGTCTCCTGCACTGAAATAGAGGTAGTGTGCAAATTATCCGTTCCATCGCCCATCACTTCCCAGAATCTCGCATCCAACAACTCGCTCGTGATAGCATTTTGATGGACAACAACCAAGTCCTGGTCGCCAAACATGTCTGCGATTTCCTCCATTGGCTTGTGCAGTGTGTCTGGGAAGAAGAGAAAAACCATGATAGAGCCCAGAGCCGCGAATATGATGAATATAATGAAGAATTTCCAACCGATATTTTCAAATGCCGTGGGGGCAGCCTGCAACCAGCAGATGTTGATGGCGTTGTAAACCATGAAAGCGATTGCGCCGCCCTGCGCACGTAAGTGGCTTGGCCAGATTTCCTGAATGTAAAAAAATTCTGGACCGTCGAGGCACAATTCGAAGCTGCAGCCAAAAAGGTAGATGAATGCCACGGCGGCCGCCTGTGCAGACTTGTTGGCCCCGGTCAGGAAATTTGCGACGAGTGCAGTGTATATTATGAGGCAGACACACTGGAGGGCGAAACCAGTCCCCATTAAGTTGCGGCGCGAGACCTTGTCGACGAAAGATATGGCGATGATGCTGCAACAACACAACGTTAGGGTATAGCCTGATTGAAGCAACAAAGTATCCACACCCGTATAGCCTAGTTCAGCATACAGGGTGACACCGTAGTCTAATTAAAAGCCAATCGTCAGTTATGATGAGGCTAGCCCAGACAAATGGGGATAGCATACTCTGAATCACGATCAGGCCCGCGCTCATAATGGAAAAACTGAGCATGGCAGAGATCAATGCGCGCTTCCGATACGATGGTCGCGTCAGTATCAATTTCCAGCTAGTATCTTGACTTCGATCAAACTGTATCTGCTCGTGAATCTGGTAGAATTCACGTTTAGCAAATTCATCGGTAGGGTCGTTTTGGTCCGCATGGAGCGCACGCAGAATCTTCCACGCTTTCGCAGACTGGTCCCGAGCAATGAGATATCGCGGGCTTTCTGGGAGCCACCAGCAGCCAACCAGGAAGATGATCTCAGGAAGAATGGCGATCCCAAGTGGAGCACGCCATGCGTCAGGGGAGTCGTAGTAATAAAAGCCAACTCCGACAAAACCGATTATCGAATAGCCGATATTGATCATGACTGCGTGGATATCGGAGAGCTTGCCACGATGACGTGGTGGAACAATTTCGCTGATCCAAAGAGGAACGCCACATATAGCTTGAAAGCCACTGATTCCAAAAGCGTCAGATTTTCAAGCTCGGAGAGGACAAGGAACAGAAATACATACCCCCAGCCCAAAAAGAAACGAAATACAATGAACATGGCCACATTCACAGCTCCAGTAAGCAGTGCCTGCGAAACGACAATCACGCAGACGGCAAATATTATGGACGGCTTACGCCCATATCGATTTGCAAACCAGCCGTGCACAAAAGCCCCCCAGGTCGCCCCAACATAGTACAGGCTGGTCACCGCCCCAGTCAGCGAGGCGCCATTCGGACCGTTAAGGCCCATCTTGACAATGAACGATGGTTGTCCTAGGGTGGTGCTGATCACTGAGGCTGTCATGCCCATGGATGCTGAAGCCATGGACATGGTCAAAACCATCAAGACTGTTTTGACCCTAAGATGGCCTTTTTCGTTGATTTCGTGCATTATGGCGGATTTGAAAATGAGATTTTCTTGTGCTTCGAAGAATCTGTTTTGCTGGTCTGCGGAGATAGGTGTGATGACAGAAAAATCTGTGCAAGGCACGAATTTTGCCTCCTTTGTGGGAAGGTTGTCCTGGGGGTGGACCATTTATTCTTATGCGACACCTGCGCTAAGGCCGGCCAACATGGGGAACGGCAAACCCCAGAGTAATTGTGGATACCGTTTATTGCGGAGTCTTGACCGTGGGTATCGCCGGAGAAAGGAAATCCGGGGAAGCTTTAGGCAGAAGAACCCGGTGGTCTCGACTCAAAAGGAACTTTAGATCGCCGAGAATGCTTTCATAGGTACACGCAAGAGCTTCTGAGGCTGGCTGTGCAATAATACAGCTTATGTCGCTAACTCTCAAACCCTTGAAACTGCGAGCTGTTCTAGAAGCGTTCAGTATATGTCGGAATCTGTGGCTTGATATGAGGAAAATATTTTCACATGCTTCGATGAGACTGTATTGGTTGAATTGCTGCTAGCTGCTACAGCCAATGCTCTAATACAGCGTGAGGCTTGAATGCTGCCTCGTCACCATCCGCTCTCAATGTAAAGAAAAGCTGGCCCTTTACGACCTTTAACAGCCTTTTTCAATCGCCCCATCAACATTAATAACCTGTCCGTACCTAGTTAGATGAAAGTCGAGAATTGGATAGGTATCCAAGGAACTTACGCTTCCGGTGATGTAAGCTGATTGATCGCTAAACAAGAACAAGATAACCCTAGACACCTCTTCGGGCTCGGCAATACGTTTGAGAGCGGTTTTCTTCACCAAGATCTCATTCACTTGGTCGGGATTTCCCAGCTGATCAGCAAGAGCTGTGCGAATAATACCTCTGGAATTTGGTTAACCATATCAACACGAGACAGAAATTTGAAACACTCACGGAGCAAGAGCATTTGCTCGGATACCTCTTGCACCGACCTCGCGTGCTAGACACTTGGTCAGACCAATGACCCCCCACTTGGCAACAGAGTATGGTGCATTGAACTCGGGACCATATTGGCCTGCAATGCTGGCCGCATTCACAATGGATCCATGACCTTTCATTTGATTAAGCTCAGCTCGGATGGAGTTCTTGACTCCATTCAGGTTAGTTGCCAGCATATCGTCCCAATCGTTGTCGTTCAGCACATCAAGAGCGTAACCCTTCCCAAAAAAGCCCTGATTGCCAACATAACCAGCCATGTTTGCTGCGCCATCCAGTCTGCCGAAACGCTCTGCTACTGCCTTGACCGCAGCATTAACAATGTCGGCTTTTTGGACATTGCATTGAATGGAAATTCCTTGTCCACCGAGCTGTTCGACCTCAGCTAGGACTGCGTCGGGCTTATGTAAGTCCAAAAGACCAACATGAGCACCTTGTTGGGCAAGCATTAGAGCGGTTGTTCGGCCCATGCCGGAGGCTGCACCAGTAATGACAAAAACCTTTCCCTTCAAGTCACTATATACGGCTGTGCCGTTGACTTCTTGGAAGGTCGTCATTTGCAAGATATTGTTGCGACTGCGGGTCTCACGAAGCAGACAGGAGTGAATAAATGACTCGAAATGGGTGAGGGCTTTGGGCTTAATCCGTGAATCTGGGAATGTCTTAGGTCAATCAATAGCTCAAGCCGAAGCAAAGGGCTTTCATTTGAAGAAATCTCGTCCAAAACATAGCCCCGAAGAACGGGGCTTTGCTTCGTCATCTGCCAAATTTGTGTCATGCTTACTAGCTGTTGCGAAATCCACGGAGATAGTAATGTAGATAGGAATAGACTTTTCTATTTGGAAAATCGAGTGGTGTAGTCTGAGATAGACGCGCCGCAACAACGAGAGTTGGAATAAGGCGTAGAGAGCATCACGGAACCTTGTCTACAAAACAAATTCAGAAAAAGCCCATTAAGAATAACAGCCTGTGAAGATGCCGTACCGCTGAATCTGAATATTCAAATAAATTTGACCCGGAAAAAGGTATCCGGTATCAGCTAGCTAGCATTTTAGTGTAGATGATGAGGCGCGTTCCATCTCCGCCAGCTACGGAGATCTGATCCTGGGCGGAGTTGAAGAGCTGGTAAGAACAGAAACTGAGCGCTTTCGGTAGGCTGCCTGAGATTTTGTATTTATTGACGAGATTCTAACTTCTTATTAGCGCTGGCGACTTTGCTATCAACTCTGCCGTGCTGGGCGACCGAAACCATGGGTTTGGCACTTTTGCTCACACAAGCATTACAGCAATGGTGGTGGGCCATCTTATGTCTGCTATACTTTATGAGACTTTCCTATAACTACTCCAAACTATCGTCTATCCCGGGGCCAGTATTAGCTGGTGTGACTGACGTGTGGAGATATATTCATGGTCGGGCTGGTAAATGCATTGATGACTACCAATTGCACAGAAAATATAACTCCAAGCTACTACGTGTTGGGCCGAACCAAATTTCAGTTTCAGATGCTACCGAGGTGGCCAAAATCTATGGGTTAAACCCTATTTTCAATAAGGTATGCCTCCGGTGTATATATCATTGACGAGGTTGAATAGGCTGAACAATGGCAGGGGGAGGCTTATGTTACCCACAGCTTCAAGAGCATTCGAGGAGAGGTGATGCCTAATCTCTCTTCCACGCGAGATGAAAAACTCCACGCACGTCTGAGGAGGCCGGTAAACAATGCCTACTCCATGAGCACGGTCATTGACTACGAATATCTGATGGACTCTACCACCAACGTGTTCTTCCATGAGCTAACGGAACGTTTCGCACGGCCCGGCAGGGATTGCGATTTCGCAACCTGGCTCCAGATGTACGCTTTTGACGTTCTTGGTGAGATTACATTCAGTAAGCGATTTGGCTTCCTGGAGGCGGGGCATGATTTAGAGAACATGCTACACCATACTGCAAAGCATATGGAATATCTCGGCACAATGGGACAATTACCATGGCTCGACAAATGGTTCCGCCTCAACAACCCACTTGCGCGACTGTTGATGAAACCAAATGCTATTGTCAGGTTTACCACCAAGCACATTCGTGAGCACAAAAGCCGTTTCAAGGAACAGGGCAAACCGGATTTTGTTACACGCTTTCAAATGGCTCAAGGAAAATACCCCGACGTGATGACCGACTCCCAACTGATCGACTTTGCTGTAACAAATGTCAGTGCTGGTTCCGATACAACGGCGATAATTCTCCGCGCCGTCTTCTTCTATCTCTTGACAGATCAAGCAAGGCTCGAGAGGGTCATGAGCGAAATCAGGCGGACATTGGCACAGCGGCCAAGGGATGGCAGCTTTGGCGACCACTTCTCATGGGCCGAGGCGCGGCAGATGCCATTCCTTCAAGCATGTATCAAAGAATCTTTGCGGATACATCCTGCGCTGGGGATGATCTTGCCTCGTGTGGTTCCTGTTCAAGGCGCCACTATCTGTGGTGTTTTCATTCCCGGGGGCACGGAAGTGGGCTGCAATGCATGGACAGTCCATCGGGATAAAGATATATACGGTGAAGATGCCGACCTTTGGATCCCAGAAAGATGGTTAGACGACAATGAGGATAAGGTGAAAATCCTGGAGAGATATAACTTCGCCTTTGGTGCGGGGTCTCGGACTTGTAAGTGGTCGGCTATTTCGCCCCAAGTATTTTCTAATGGCGACGCAGGTATTGGACGTCATGTTGCCATGCTTGAGATCTCAAAGCTGGTGCCTGAAGTGTTTCGACATTTTGAGGTGGAACTGGTCGATCCCAATCGTTACAAAGCGAAAGCAGGGTGGCTGGTGGTTCAGTCGGGACTGGATGTTAGGCTGAGGGTGCGAGATCCAAGAACGTTAGATATTTCTCAGCAGACAATTGGATGACAGAGATGCTTTGGCATCAACCGAGTAATGGCCAATTTGGAAAGCTATACTCGATACTGTAACATTAAATTAGTGAGACAAATGCCTGAGTGGGTTTGGTTCTGCAAATTGGCAGTGGCTGTTGCCTGCATACTGCAGGATACGCACTGTCTGTAGAAATACAGAGTTTTAGATTGTCGGCCACGTATACAAAGCATCACACTCAGTTGAGAACGTTGGAGACTGTCTGCTGAGGTGCCCGGTATATAATCGGTTAGGGTGTTTCGTCCTATTCCTCTTAATATCAACAAGGAAAGCTAAACATGACCTAGAGGATGTGGTATCAAACTACTTTCTCTATACGGATTACTCTCATTCCACCCATTGTTCAATGCCCTTCTTTTGTAGGTCCTCGGGGAAGTTATGGGCAAAGTCTGACAGGCTTTTGGGATCCCACCCCGCCGGGCGAAGGTAGTTGAGGGCTTCGATCGTGCCGGAGAATCTCCACGTCGCATGTTCAGGGTGGGCGAGGAACTTTTGCAACTGTTCGTTATCTCGGGATAAAATGGGATCACAGGACTGATCAGCTGATCGTCCAGCCTGATGCAGCCGGTAGCAGGATGACACCGCCTGTTCCACGCCCAGATCAAGTCTCGATGATCGGAGAGCTCAATATCGTCATCGCAGACAAGGACGCGTGTGTATCGCTGCGTTCCACGAATTGACTTTGCCGTCACTACAATCTTTCGCACAAAGTCGTCCGCGGACAATTCGACTTTCTAATACCAGTCTCGAGGAACGGAGATGGTAAGAAGCTGCGGTGTGGCTCCCGGAGGCGCCCACGCTGAGGCGATCGGCAGCCAATGGTCTCTCATGTCTCCAGCACCATGGCTGAGGCTGAGTCCCCCGTGATCGTGTGGTCCTCATCCACCGGCTTCCCGGCCGACGTGACTGGTAGCAAGGGGTTATTGCGTTGAGTAATGGCACTGATTTCATACACTAGCTTCTCTCTAATTCGATCCGAAATGTAGCCGTGGAATTCTCCCATTGGCCCCCCTGGTGCACACCGGGTCAGCGAGACGTGACCTTCGACGACAATCTCTGCCTGGGCGGCCACTTCGAGTGCAACTGTCTTGCATCGAATTAGTTTGAGCGGCTCATTGAAAAGACATCTCAGGTAACCGGCCTCATCCACGCCATCCGACAGCGGCATGCCACCAGCGAAAAGAGATGCTGGCTCCGTTTCCTGTACACAACGCGAAGGGCATGGGTTTCCCGATCTTGCGCCACATTTCAAAGATCTTCCCATTGTGCTGGTACGGAGCAATGACTCCCGTCATGTGCTTTTTGTCCAGTATCATGGCGCGGGCTATCGACTAGTTCGTTCATTTGCCGTCCGGACTACGCACCACCCAAAAGCCCAAGCTATTGAAGAAACGGCCTCCATCGCCAAAGTGTATCAGTGGTGTAGGGATTTTGAGGAGGTCAACCTCATCACCCAGCAAGATATTCTCATGGACCGGCCCATCTTCGACAATGACCAGAGGAACGGGTGGCAGCTTGGTTGTCTTGGCCAAAGTTTGCACGATTTCTGTGCCGGGGGTAGTGGGATCCAATCCAAGAGTCATGGCAATTCGTGCCATGCGAGCCTTGGGAAGAGAGCTGTAGGAGAGGGGTGCTCCTACTACGCGATATCTCGCGTGATGGCGGATATTGCTGAACACTAGGACGGGAGCAAATTTTTCATGCCTGCGTCGGATGATGGCACCAATTTCGAGGTGGGTGTTGACCTCTCGCGTAATCTCTGCGACATCGCCTAGATCTGACAGGGCGGCCAAGAATTCTCGCATACTAGCATAGCGATTCCTCTGAGGAAGCTCAGGAAGAGTAAGAGACCCATTTTACAATGTTTGGTAGCTACAACACCCCAGTGCAACCGGCATAGCGGTCTGCGCCTCAGTAAATATGGGATGTGTTAAGATGTGGAGCCACATCCTAAGCTCTCTTTGATTGGCGGATGAGCTCAGCGGCGCGGAGTTTCGGCATTTCGGCCTATTGTGGGGGTGCCCATTGGCGAGCCGAGATGTGTCCACATCCAAGGAGTCCACCAGGACAATACAAGTGAAATTTGGTATTGGCTCATAAGCTCACAAACAAACGACAGCAGAGCTAGGAGCCGAGCGTTGAGCCAATCTGGGGAGGTTGATTAACTGATTGGGAAAATCTATCTAGAAGGACAGCGAGGCTTTGAAGAGGTGACAGATACCCAGTACCAGGGTGCCAAGATATACTGCCAGTTTTAGGCCTAATAAGGCTAGTATCATCGTGCTTGTAATATTCTGCGGGCCGAGTACGTCGGCAGCTCTCGCCGGGAATCCCCTGGTTATTGGATTTGATCAAAAGCATCATTTCCACAGATATGGTGGGGGGGGGGGGGTATCAGAGCATGACACATGATATATATTTCAGGCGATATACCTGAAGTACATAAGGTACGGCGTATTCTCTTTTGGCTAAGGCGGTTCGGGGACGGCAGGCCTGTTCTCGCCTTCGGCTTGAAATGTAGGTCCTCATTATCGGTGCTGGTCCGACAGGGTTAGCAGCTGCGCTCCACCTCGAACGACAAAATGGGCTGTCATCGACAGTATACGAGATTCGTCCGGAGCCCACCGCACTAGGAGGTGCGGTCATGGTGCCTTGCAACGGATTGAGGCTTCCTGGATCGATCGGTCTCTACGAGCGGCTATCGCTCAAGGCAGCACAGTCCACCAAAAATGTGTTATACTCCAGTCAGGGCGAAGAGCTTGGGAAACTCGTTTTGGGATCATGGAGCGCCGAGAAGACAGGTTACTGGCCTATGAGGGTTAAGAGGACGGACTTACAGGAGGCACTGTGCACCGAGGCCCAGACGGAGGAAATTCCGATTCACTACGGCAAACGCCTCGTAAGCAACAAAGACCACGACAAAAAGGTTACAGTCATGTTTTCTGACGGCAGTGTTGACACCGCCGACCTGCTCCTGGGGTGCGATGGTGTCCACTCCGGCGTACGCACGTTCTACGTCGATCCACGGCTCTCGCCAGATTATTCAGGCATCTCGACCATCTATTCTTTGTCCCTGTATCTGTGCTGCCCCCTAAGGGCGGGGTGACGAATCTGACAGGAACTCTGACTCCGCATAAAATGTTCGCGCTCATGCCGTGCACCGCGTCTGGGGACACACTCTACTGGGTTTTCTCTTACGAAGTCCCTATGCCGGCCTCGGGAAGCAGCAGCAGCCGCGACGGCTGGGCAGAGCGTAGCCGAATAGAGGAAGAAGGGTTTAAGCCCACCTTGCTTGCCATCCTGAACGACGTCCCTACCAAGTGGGGCGCTCTTCTGAGGGAGGTGGTCGGAAAGACCGACGTCGTTAAGTTCTACCCCATCTACAGGCTTCGACTGGGAGGGAAGTGGTCCAGGGGCCGATGTCTCCTGATAGGCGATGCCGCACACGCCATGTCCCCCCATGTCGGTCAAGGAGTGAGCATGGCCCTGGAAGATGTCTTCCTGCTCTCACGGGTACTAGAGCTGAAATAATTCGCGTCTTCCAGTTCCTTGTCGGCGGCCTTTGACAAGTTCGACGAGATTCGGAGACCGCTGGTCGAAAGTTCGCCACACTTGTGGCTAGGCGGGGCGAGATGAGAAAGAAAACCGGTCCCTGGGCACAGTGGCTCAAAGAGCTCCTTTTCTGGGCCAGACTGAGGGCCATCAAATGGACGTCTCTGGACAGATGGGGATTCCGGGAGGGGGACTTAGTTTACGATGTTGACGAGATCCCGGTATAGTCTTCCCGTGTCTGGATCTTTGCATTTATTTGACAGCAGTGGTTTCACTTATGGGCTATGCCTTCTCACTCCCCTTCAAATTGCTTGCAGGAAGACGGTCTGGTTAATTGAGATTGCAAAGTGTTTTCTGAGTGCTCTACATCAATGCGAGTGCCGCCAGGCTCTTCTCTACACGATTCTTCTTAACGACTCCTCGCCTGCTATAAAACTATGAAAGTATGTGTGCGCCCTACGAGCTTGCGACGTCTGCCACCCAGGCACCGCAGTACCACTGGAGTACTTACGCCCTAGATGTACATATACCGTGTCTTTCTGTGTTTTGGAATGGTGATGTATTGTACATTGACTAGTCTAAGTGCTAGCATATGATTGAGATGCGAACTTCTTGGGCGCTAAATCTACAGGTCATGATCCGTTGCTCAAATGTTCCTTACCAAGTCTCCTAGGAACTGTTCCCTCCAGTTGAAAAAGATGCTTGCATGTGTCTCATCCTCGACTCTGAGGACTGCTCGGTCACCCAAACGTTTGGCTATCGTTTCCCCATGGTTGAGCGGAACGTTGACATCCAACTTCCCATACCACAGCTGCACAGGCACGCCGGGACGAATATCCTCGATGCGGAAACCAAAGTCTGTGCTCAGCACCCTCCCATCCTGCAGCGCTCCATCATACCCATGAGCGAAGGCTCCCCGAGTCGAGCGTAAAAAACGCCGGGCATTGACTTCGTTTGTCATGGATTCAAAGTCTTTCTGATCGGCCACCGTCTTTGGCTTTGAAAATTCTTTCATATGACGCTCAAGGCGCTCCTCGTCACTCAGGTCCAAGCGGCCACATGTTTGCGACTGCCAAAACCACCGATTAATGAAGGCGGGGGTGTATCGATACCCAAATGCGAACCCGATCCAGTTCACCCAGCGCGCCCCTTTCATACCAATTTCGTATACAGGCCCAAGGCCGCAGACGATTGAAACACATTTAAGCTTGTCCCTAGGTAGTGCGTAGGCGCAAGCCAGCGCATATGGCCCACCGCCTGAGACTCCCTGTGTCATGCTCGTCTTTAGTGCCACTGATCTCGAAGATGGCTCGGAAGAACTCTGATTGCACGTACCAGGACACCATAGCTCTCCAACTTGAGATGATTTGCCAGGTGTTCCACATCTTTTGGGCAGTTAAGAAGTGTTCGACCGGGCTGTGGCGAGCTCAAACCCATTCCAGGTCTCTCTGGAGTGATGATCCGGGCCCCTAATTTCAAGCCAAGATCATGGAGATGGGCGCCCTCGAAGCGGGATCCTGGATGGCCATGTATGAAAAAGACAGCACGCCCTGTCGGCGAGCCGTACTGCGTATATCCAAGCTTTCGGCCATCCGGTAGCAGAAGACTGTCCGAGGTGTCATTGTCCATATTTATGCGAGATGTTGAAGATTCTTGTGTGCGTGGGCTCGAGTGCTCGCTAAGAAACAATTTAGGAAGATGTGCTATGAAGTCTCGAATATAATAGGCAAGACGGATTGGAGATATTGGGCACAATGTGGAGACTAGGCTGATGCGGGTAGCCTAGTGAGCCGAGTGGCCCCTACGGCCAAGTGTCTGGGGCTCCGCAAGGCTCCGATAGAAGCCGCAAATGAGTCATGAGAATAGGCGAGTGCTGAGACCGACTCGAAGCGGACGCCAGCTCTACAGCCACCTCTATCAAAATACTTCCACGTGCTGATTCTTGTCTTTCGTTGAGACCGAGGCCAGATTCCGTCAACAAAGTCGGAATGATGATCGTGTAGCATCAACGGTGGCCAGGCACCGGGTTGCTGCAAGACGCCTGAGTGTGCGAGACACGCATGGTTGCCCAAGGGAACATTGGGTACGAGGTAGGGCCCCTTGGCCTGGTGAGCCCCACCACGGGAGGCCTCTAGGCCCCCTTGCTGCCCAGTTTGTACTGCAATGCAGTTGTAGTGCTAGGTACTGGGTAAAGGCCTAAAAGCCTGATTGGGCTCGCCAAGGGCTCAGCTCTAAGAAACAACCGTAAACCTAGATCTCTTACTTCAAACCTTGAGCCTCTGTAGCATTTGCTCTGACGTCGCTCAGGATAAACATGCACTCCGTCAAGTTCGGGGGAAGAGACCAAAAAGAGGCAGGCACATGCAAGCAGTCAATAAGGCTTCACGTCACTAATGCCTTGGCGACTGCCATCCAGACGGAGTCGACAACGCTTCGCTGCTGGAGCATTTGTGGCTGATGTGTGACTAATTTGAGATCAAATTGTGGAGAATCCCGATCATTCAAAGGAGCCTTTGCCATCAAGGTTTGGATGGGTTGCCAGAAGCACTCCGGACAACTCAAGATAGATAACTGCTTCGGCCTCAGATGTGTTGAGCCTCGCTCCCGGCTAGATTCTTTTTGTCGCTGTCGGTGGCATTCTTGACTCTCAGGCCTCGTCACATACCCAGGAAGCGGTGTTCCTGCGAGCATGTTACACCACATAATGCATGTGGGTGATGAAGCATCTGGTGGATAGATTCCTTCAAGCCGTGACTGAGACATGCAGTTGATCTCGGGAAGAAACCGACCTTGTCCCGCAGCCTGAGCTGATCAAAGGAACAGAGGGTGTTCACGAGGCTGAATATTGCAGGTTTGTTTCAAGGAAAGAGTTCTTTAGAGGGTATTAGGCCTTTGAAAGGAGACTGCGTCCCCTTTCGAGACGTTCCGGTTTCGAGGGCGTTCGGGAGCCTGAAACAATCCTAAAGGAACTCGGTGGTGCCTAGCATCCATCCGTGCCAAAGCCAAGCCAGACTATAAACATCACTATTATCAATTCGATATAGGTATGAAATTTACATCCGTCTGTAAGATAGAAAGAGCATCCCGTGGCATTAGCCGCAGGGGGCGGCATCAATACCCAATACCCGACCCAGCCATCTCTCTCTCCCATCTCATTAGATTCCTGACGACGCCTGATCCCGTTTCTTCTTAGCGTGATCAATCTTATACCTCACTGTCTCACTCAGTATGGTGCTCAGCGCTTGAAATGTGCCTTCACCTGTCTTTGCAGACGTCTCAACGTACGCGACTGCACCGATCTTCTTGCGCACATTTTCCGCCTGTTCGCGGAGGGTTAGCTAGTGATCCTGCGGTGAGGGAATGGTGGATGAATACTAACCTGTTCGAGTGTTACGGGCTTTTGCGACGTCTTACGGAGCTCTTCAATCGTCTTTGGATCGTATCGCAAGTCTTTCTTACAGCCGACGAGGAATATTGGTGCTGCAGAGCAGAAATGGAGGACCTCTGAGATCCACTAGAGACATGTCAGCTGGCTCATCCGCTAAATTCATACCAATGACCTGGCACCTTTGCTTGTACGTTATCCAGCGAGTCAGGGGAGTCTATCGCAAAAGTAATAACCACGGCGTCTGCATCAGGATATGACAAAGGCCGCAATCTGTCATAGTCCTCCTGTCCAGCGGTATCCCAGAAATGAACCGTGAAGTCTTGCTTATTCAATTCAAAATCTGCCACATAGTTCTCGAAGACTGTGGCTACATAGACTTCAGGAAAAGTACCTTTGGTGACCATGCTGTGCTAGATTAGCAGACACTAATGAGGTAGTAATAAGCCTTACATCAGTAAGCATGTCTTCCCTGAAGCACCGTCGCCAACGAGTACTATCTTGAGTTTCCGTGGCAGTTTGCTTTTCCGCCACCTCGATGATGTGGATTGCGGATCATCCATCATGGGACTTCGGACTGCGAGTGAGTTCATTGACTTATTGAACCGGAACCAGCTTAATCGTTTCCGGTTCGACTTTTCAACGCGTCGGATATCAATTGTCGGGAGCTGAAACTTTGGGCTAGACACAGGTTCAATATTAGATACGGCTAGATCCGACTTTACATCATGATCATTTGATTTTGTTGACGGATTTTCGCTTCCCTTTGCTGGATGTCCTCCAACTGGTTTCCGTCGTGGAATTGGCGCTGGCGCCAGTGAGTGCGATCCGGAGGTTACATTTGTGTTTCCACTCGGTATGTTCGTTAGATCGCCATTGCTTGTTACAGGTGACAGGTCTACGGGTCGATCGTTGGTGCCGGTGCTGAGTGTCAGAGCCGAACTCGACTTGGATAGTGTATGCACCGGCAGAGTCCTGGCAGTTGCGTGAGTCGCAGCATGCTCAACAAGTACTTCCCGACTCGGCTCATCGAGCGTAAATAATGTCTCCTGGCGCTTATCGGAATAGATCCAGTCGAGTGTATTCTGCGAAGCTTCAGATCTGAACCAGTCTCCGAAATCTGACGTGAAATCATCCAGGTCCTTCAAATTGGCCACATCGGTTGTGTCCCCAGCGATGACAGTCGCTGCTGATGTAATTGTCCTTTTGAGATTCGTGATCTTGGTCATACCATCAGCCTCATTGGAATGCTCGAATAAGGTCTGAAGTGCTGTCAACTTGATCTCGACATTGGTCGCCAGCCGTTGGAGGTCTTGATGCGTGGCTCTAGACGTGACTAAGAGCTCTTCGGTAGTGCCCTTTATACTATGCGCATTCCATCTGGTGTCATGTTAGAACAACTACTGCGTTGGACGTAGCAAGGCTCACAGAATTATGGTCTGTAATGAAAGCTGAAGCGTATCCCTATATACCTGTACTTCTTGCCGGCAGGTGACAATTTTATCGGCAACAGCCTTGATGCGTATCTGCTTGCGTGCGCTGTCTAAGATTTTAACATGCTTGTTAGCATCTTCAAGCACTTTCTGTAGCCCAGCGAGACTTTGTTGGCCGTCCTCGAGCGACTGGAAGAGATTGGCCCAGTGAGCTCCAACATGGCCGGTCTCAGGCTTATCGCTGTTCATCTCCTCAAAGGTGGCTTCCATCGATTCAAGCACCGATCGTAAGGCTCTGAGATCAACCATCATTGCCGTGATCACATTTTTCACTTCCGCAGCGCCAATAAGAAATTTGCGAAGTGAGACGCCGACGGATATGCAGCATTTTAGCAGCGTTGCGACGCCCACTGTGATGGAGAGCGGATCCATGGCACTCGTATCTCGCCGGCTGGCTCGCTAAAGATATTCAATCGCTCAAGACTGCGGCCCGGCGGAACACCACTTTTGTGCATCGGCTTTGTTCTGATCGGATTCAAAACAGTGGTAATATTCGGGGAAGGCGATTTAGCACGTCGGGTGCCTTAGAGTATTGTCAAGTTGGTTGTTGCAGCTGCAACCGAAGCGTCGAGGTTGAAGCTCGACAGTTTGGTGTAGGGAGGGCGAACGGGTTTCGCGAGCGTGCGACGATTCTGGCACCGTGAACGATTTGGGCGAGGCAAAATCTGAGCCGTGGTTAGCAGCTGAGATAGCAGAGAAAGGGTGTCAGTAGGTCAGGCTGTCGTTGACATTCGCCATCCAGGGCGCTCAGGACAGTGCAACTGCTATCAACTGTGCCGATGGCACATGAACGGATGGTGAACAGCTGTAGCATGAGGCTGCAGAAGCAGGCGACATCTTGGACGTCTTGAACCATTTAGCCTCAGGGCGCTGTACGGTGTTTTAGCAGCGCAGTGGGCAGGAACAGGATTTGGGCCAGAGCAGACCAGGGCAAGGCAGACTCACCCATCACGTGCGAGCTCGCGACTAACGGAGGTTAGCACCAGGCTGCGAGGCTGGGGGCTTCAGGCTCGCTTCAGGCTCGCTAGAAGTGGCACGTCTGCCCATTGGGCATTTTTGTAGGATCTTCAATCTTCTAGGCTCCTTCTTATCAGGAAAAATGATAGAATTCCCCAGACAGCTATGTTTCGTCGATAGCGGCGGTCCTGTTGTTAATATTACATCCTCTTGCCGTCTGTGTCTAGTGCTTGCCACCACTCCGTTGGCTTTCGTATAAGCTGCGGCCAGGACACTGTGTGTTCCTATGAATTGTGATTCAAATATGATATACCTTGTTTCGCACGGCCTTTGCGAGTATTGTCAACGTATCACCATAAACTCGATTATCTCAACGGGCCCAAGGGACCCCACGGCTGGCCCGTCACAAGGAGGTCTGTTCCATCAGCCAACTTTAGATGCGTTGCGGAGATCGTCACTGTCCTGCCAGCTGTGCGCATTTTTCTACTCCGCGCTCGAACGAAGCAATACTGGTGATGAAATCCCACAGGAATACAGCGTGCGGAAGGGCAGTTGCATCCGACTGATTGCCGGCACGACGGCTTTCTCGAATCTGTCGACACCCAAAGGGCTATTCCACATGCTGATCTGGTCCCGTTGGAGCAGCTTCGCCAAACCAGGATACCTGAATATCACGACTGAGCCTGGTGAGTTGCTGATCTAAAGCGGATACATCACGATTGTTATCCTCCATTCGGACCATTATACCCAGTTAATAACCTCTTTTTACTGAGACTCTCCACAGACGATCCTTTGGCTCTTGCCGGGGATGTAGTCGGAAGACAAATCCCTGAAAGCTGCGAGCCTGTTGGATGTGCCCATCGAATCAAGAAGTGGCTTAGCGATTGTGAAACTGGACACCAAAATTGCCGGAATCCACTAGTGATATCCGAGAAGACGCCATTTCAGCCACGCGAATCGCATGTTCTTGAAGACCCTTTGCATCACTTGTCGCTACCTCCAAGGCTTATCGACGTCGGCGGCATTTCTTCAGCGACTCTGCGGCTCAAGGAGACTGACGGTTTGTACGGACGATATTGTGCGTTATCCTACAGCTGGGGCCGGTCCAAGTCTTTTCGAACGCACAGAGCCACCTATCAAGATAGAATCCGTGGCTTTCGACTCGAGGATCTTCCGACCACTATCAGAGATGCTGCCTACTTGACCTACAACTTGGGTTTCCAGTATCTGTGGGTGGACGCTCTCCACATTATACAAGATGATAGAGATGACTGGGCTAAGAACTCAGCTATTATGGATGAGATCTATGGCTTTGCGACTCTCACCATTGCTGCTTCCGTGTGTGAAGACAAGTGGCAACCCCTGTTTCGAAAAAGGACCCAAGCTGAAAGCATCCAGATTTCCTCACCTTGCTCTAATGATAGCTCTAGGTATGGAACCATGACACTGTCTCATTCGGATGGCCTATTTGACGACATCGTCAAGGCGTCTCCGCTCGCTTGTCGAGCGTGGACTTTACAGGAGAGCGCGCTATCACTTAGGGTTGTATATTTCACTAAGCAACGCGTATTCTGGGAATGTCAGCAGTCCGTTCTGGCCGAGGACGGTTCAATTTTTGACAAGTCCCTCAGAAGTCGAATATTCCTCCCACCACTAGACCGGAAACCAACTCTGCAGCTAAAGTTGGTTCGTTGGCAAAGCGTCGTTGATGATTACGCCCCGCGTAGACTGTTCGCCGCAAGCGACAAGCTACCGGCTTTAGCTGGTCTGGCGCGGCAATTCCAGCAGATCACCGGTGCAACGTACGTAGCCGGGTTGTGGCGCGAGGGACTACCGCTCGACCTACTTTGGACAGTAAACGCCAACTTGATCACCCAGACAGGCCATAGGGTGAAATCGTGGAGGGCGCCATCTTGGTCATGGGCCTCTATCGACGGCGCCGTTCGTTCTGACGGGTATCAAAATCTGGTGTTAACCTCATCATCAGGACCACCGGTGGAGCAATTGGAGATCCTGGACATCGATATCTCTCCAAGAGAAGGGGCAAATCCTTTCGGCGAAATCACAAGGGCCACTCTCCACGTGCGTGGCAAAGTGCAGCGTCTCAGCCGCGCCCTCAAAAGACAACGACCGTATAGTAAAAGGGGCCGGCTGACAAAAGTTTCACGAAGCTATCCGACAGAACCTCCAAGTGGCGAAATAACCTTCGACGATGAGGTCTTAGATGGAGCTGTGGTCCCAGTGGACTTTCTCTGCTTGCTTGTGGATAGACGGAAGTTTGACTCAGGGCACTATGGGTCTGCCTTTATCGCTGTAGAAGAGGTGGAGAATGGTCACTTTAAAAGACTCGGTGCAGGCTACATCGATGGAGATTCCTTCTTTGCTTCCGAGTGTCTGCAGGCACTTACTTTAATATGAGCACTTGGAAACCTGCCCTCCTTCCGCTGGGCCCTGCCGTTCAACTCCAACCGAGGCAGTCTTCCTCCTCCCTGAGAAGCTTCACGAAGGAGCAGGGTCTGTGACAAAAGTCCCCCACTCGAAATCTTCCACCACTCCCACCTCTTGCATATATGTGCAATATGCAGCAAGAAGTTCTTTCATCTTCAACGGGTATGTCGCTCTTAGATCATTTGTTTCCCCTGGATCTTGGACCAGGTCATACAGCTGCCAGATGCCCGCCCAAATGGCTCCGGAATGAAAACTGCTTTCCATCGACCGCTCCGCAGTCCTCTGCGGCTAAAGAGTTCTTGTGTCCAATGTTGTCCACCGAGTTGTCGTAATACTTGTCTAGATGGGCAACCGTGTTGTCACCCATCACCGGCACGGCCTCGAGCATGACCCCCTCAGCCCCATTGTCAGACATGAATAGCACGACGGTGCGTTCAAGCTCGCCAGTATCCTCGAGATAGCAGATAACCCGTCCGATTTGCTCGTCCATGCGGTCCACCATGACCGCGTAGACTTCCCATCGTGCGGGAGGAATACGCTTTATCGTCCACCGAGAGAGACTCCCACTCCTGTGCGAGGCGCTGCCGCCAAATGCGACCACTTCGTGAGGAAGGACATCTGCAGCAACTAAGCCCATTTTCTTCAGGTTTTGCAAACGCCGCTCACGGAGTGCAGCGGGCCCGGTGTCGTAGATTCCTCGATACTTCAGGATGTTCGCGTCCGGCGCTTGAAGAGGCCAATGCGGCGCCGCGAAAGGCAAGTATGCAAAGAAAGGTCGATCTCGGTCGTGCTTGGAAGCGGCCCTCTCGCCGAAATATTGCAACAACTTGTCGACGTAGGAATCGGTCGATAGAAATCGGAACTTAGGTCACAGACAGGGACTCTCCTATCGTCCTCGACGTAGAGGCTTGGACAATGCTTCATCCACCCCAGCAATTCGTCGCCCGGCTCAAGCTGGGTTTCGTAGCCATAGTGGTTGGCAGCCCCCTATCCCATCCCTCTGTCGTCAGCAGGGGCACCGTTCTTCCAACCACATAGGCATACCGGGTTCGGGAAGTCGGTGGTCACTCACTGGAAGAAGAGCGAAAGACTTCTCGAAGCCACGATCGCAAGGAAACTGTCCAGACTCACTGCCCAAATGCCACTTGCCTGCCATCATGGTGAAATAGCCAGCATCTCTCAGCAAGCCGGGGAGCGGCGCTACAGTATCATTAAGGAAACCTTCATATCCGGGCTTGTTCCTGTGGAACTCTGCTTTGGCCTCAGCCATCTTTCCTATGCCGGCAATATCTATCTCGCCAATTTTCCCCCCAAGCAGGGCGTGGCTGGTTAGTTATTGGACAAAATCTTCTCAGTTGAAAACCCCTCAAACGATGAGAAAAGCCTCTCTGGGGTGTGGGAAAGGGGACAAGATCAAAGGGGCGTTGACGAACGGCCAACGTGCCAGGGGGCAGATGACTCTCGTTGAACAAGAATCTACACCGCCGTTTGACCTACGGTGGTCTGTCCCGCTCATCAGCATTGACCTTGTTGGAGAGCATGCCGACGCCGCGTGGAAGTCGGTGAACCGCAGGCCCTCCGCCGCCAGACGATCCAGATGTGGCGTTTCAATCTCGCCGCCGAACGCACCCACGTCTGAGAAGCCTAGATAATCCGCGACGATGACCAAGATATTCGGTCGAGTTGTCATTTTGTTCCTGAGGGAATTGTATAAAGTCTTAGTAGATGGGGACCGACTTTCCTTATATCCCCGAGACGAGGGATACGTCTTGCGCTCCAGGCTCTGACCGAAGCTGTACAACAAACTTCCATATTGTTTTCTATATCTTCGAGATTTTAGGCCAAGTGAGAGACCCCTCAAGTATCCAAGGAGCCGGATGGGGCAAGGGGGCAAGGGGGGCAAAGCCGGCTATATGGGCCGTTCAGACCGTTTTCAGATAGTCCAGTGTACTTGTGTGGGACATCCCGTTCCGTATATTGAGTCTATATCAGACTCCCAGCCTACAATGGTGGTGGCTGGGTCCGAAAATGCAGTAGTGCTCGTAGTATTGTCAGGAACGAGCGGTCCATCAATTAGAAGGGCGTTGACTGCAAAAGGCCGACATTCCTCGCGGACCCCTACCTAGCCCAGGCTTCCGGTGAACTATGAGGAAGGATGCCACCATCAAACGTGGCGATTTAGTTGGGAACTTCAAGTGCGCCAGAAGGAGACGAGGGGACTCGAAGAAGTACAAGCGCTACACCACCGAGTCCCGAATGTACCTACTTCGTCTCTATATATCATGGGGTTCCGAATATACCATACCTACTCTGCCTATATCATGGGGTCCCGAAGGATGAATTATCCTCGGCTCAGAGCATACGGTTCACGAGGCATAGACTTTCGTTTTGTTTGGAGAGAAGGAAAAACTAGTGGTGACCAGTCTGATCTAGAATGAGGTTCACCGCGAATATGACAGAGACACTACAACAGATTCAGACTAGCAACGGAGAGCTACATCCGAGTAACGAGTAGTTGTTGCCGGGCTCCACTGTTCACACTTCAAGCAACACCACTACCGCCGCCGATAGTCGATCTTACAAGGACTTTGCATGTTCTCTCAGACTGTACCGGATTCTTATGGGTACCAAATCATAGACCGCCACCCGAAATGCGTCTCGCTTTACCTAGGGCACAGCCCATCTGGGTTTTGGCTCCCAACATATTTCTACAGCATATGGCGAAGCGGCTTCTCCAGCTTTTGGGGAACCTGTGGGGGTAATTTGGTCAACATAGAGCCTCGCGAGTCGGGAGTCGGATAATTTCTCGTTGGGCAATGGTCTTGGATGTTGATGCGCCGGGATATAAAAGGGATCGAATCTGATCTATCGCACAGTATGAGGTTTCTACGATCGATCGTTGCACCATCCACAGGCGAAAGGTCTAAATTACCCCATATCTGACTGATATTTGTGACTCGACATTACCACGGCAAAGAAAGCATGGCAGAGGATGTAAATTATTGCGCTCTTTATCATCTTCCCCGACAACAAATCCGAGAGAGTGTCGCTTCATACCCACTCGTTCACTAACTCTTCTCCGCAACAGACTATTTGTGGAGCCCCTGGACACAGACTGGATGTTTCCGAGAGCGCAGACGATGTGTACGCGCGAGAGACGAAGTTTGAGCAGCAGACAAGAGAGTATATCTCTCAAGAATCCACCATACATGTCGAAAAGACAGGGCTGTTTCATTATATGTTTGAGCCATACAGGGTGAGCAGTTCTTGTCCCTTTCAAACCTTTTATCCAGCGGTTATATCATCACATCAATACCTATGCTGCTTGCGGTAGACTGACTGAATTGTCTGTATCCATTCAGGCTCTGTCTCTGTTCAGCATGTCCCTGGGCTGGACGGCAGGGGCATGGGGCTTCAATCCGGCGGCTGCAATTCTGACCCTCATTGCGGCCGACATAGGTGAGAGCCCACGCTAAGTTATAGGATTTTCAAGAGACCAGCCTAGAGTGTACTTATTGATCATCTCATTCAACGGCCGCGGCATTGTGGGAGGTAACTTGTCCCTTCTTCGTGTTACTGAAGAGAATTAAAAAAAATTTCTGTCATGATGAGGAACGCTGCTAATATAAGGCATGGAGCGTGAGCAGGGCTCCTCGCGGCCACAGCAACCAAGTTGGACACATTGATCGGAGCGAATGTGCGCATACCCCCTTGCCATGAGCCCATTGTCTTGCCGCATATATGATAAATTTGTGAATCGATGATCTGACCTTGTCGATTGGGGATAGATAATGATCGGTCTTGCAGTGGCCGCGCAATTCGCCGCCATGGTCATTGCTACAGGTCAGTCATCTTAACATCCCTCGCTCGTCTGCTCTGCCTTCCTCTCCCCTGTCCATATCTCTCCTCTCTCCCCTGGTAAACTGTGAATCTGACCCTTCTGCTTCCCCAGAGCTCCTCCCAAGTAAACACAAAATGCTCACCATGGCCATCATAATGTGTCTCGTCTTTCCGGCAGCAGCTCTGAGTCCCTATCTTGGTGAGTTCCTATCGTTTTTCGTTTCTTTTCTTCTCATGGCTACAAAGGCTTGACACTCTACCGTAACGATGCTGATCATTCTCACCTGCTCCAGGGCGACGACTCTATGAAATTGCATTTTGGAGATGGATCTATTACATTTACACAATCATAGTTGGTAAGAGCACAACCGACACAGCCTGCTTACTATACTCTCGCGGGGCTCTTTCCGCAAATAGGCCTCCACTGACTGAACACACACCAAAAGCTGTCGAATTGGCGATATTCTTCTTCTTCTACCACCCTAGGGACTCGATCACAGTCTTGTTCATTCGTTCGCGTCTCAAGCGCCTTGATTCCGGCGGCATGATTCTTGCTTCAGCAGGCTTGACGCTCTACACCCTCGGCCTTTCCTGGGGAGGCAACCCGACACCATGGAAGTCAGGTATGTGTCAGAGCCGGGAGAAGATACATGGCAGCGAAAACTCTCCGTCTCCTACAAAGAGGTGCGGCGGATCTTGACTGATTCCGTGCTTAGGCTGAGTCTTGGGGACCCTCATCGGTGGATTCGTAGCATGGATCCTTCTCATATTCTATGGTACAATTTGCCCGCCTCCCCCTCCCCCTTTTCGTACGAATATCGGAGAGACCCAAAGAAATTCTGATCTCCAGCAGAGTTGTACAAGCCTCTGACTGAGCCTTTTTTACCGATGAGGTTGTTCAAGGACATCAGAGGCTGTACGATGTTAGTTGTGGTCGCGAGTTCCGGAGGTATTGCATTTGTGGGCATGCATATCATCTGGCCCATTCGTAAGTTTCCATTCCTTTTTCTCTTTGAACGTCTTCTCGTATATATCTTGAAATGCTGTGCTAATCTGCACGACGCTGCTTCGTGCTGAAGAGGTGATCCGGTTCTACGGGCAGAATTCAGACTGGCAGACAGTGGCCTGGATGTCTTCAACAATGGGCTTCGGAACGTGGGCAGCCACCGTGTTCTGCGGTCTGTTCTGGTCCAACATCGGCCATGTCAAGTGGCAGCTGGTCTTCTGATGTGTCTGGCTGACCGCGTTCACGGGGGCCTTGATGAACTGCTCGCCTCACAACAAGCCATTTGCCGCCGCCATCTCCTTCCTTGCTGGTTGTCCCGTCGGATACCTGGAGAATCAGACGGGCATGTTGGTGCAGTTGATCGCACCTGAAGGCGAATCGGCCACGTACTTTGGCTCCAGTCAGGGGATCCGTACAGCCGCGGGTTCAGTGGGAACCGCGATTTTTGTTTCCATCCTCAACAGTAAACCTACCTGCGTCTTTTATTTTCCTACAACCCTGTCCGTTGTAACCGAGCAACGCAGCGCACGGTGTTTGCCGTGTCTGTGGAAGTTCCAACGCTAATATATTGCGACCAAAGACAAAATGTTGCCCACGATTCAGTCCTTTGTCAGCAAAGCCGTTCTCCCGCTGGGTCTCCCAAAACCCAGTCTGGGGTCCCTTGTGAAGGCTCTCACACTCTCTGGCGCTCCTCGAACTGCTGCCTTGAATGCCGTCCCTGGTCTCACGCCGGTGATCCAGGCCGCAGCACAAAAGGGCTATGATGGCGCTCTGGTCACGATATACAGGTACATGTACCACGCGGTAATTGCGTTTGGACTCTGGAGCATCATCGCCGCCTGTGCTCTACGGCCCATGGATCATCTCCTGACCAACCGAGTTCCCAAGAGAACCGGGCACAATTCACGAGAAATAGGGTCATCTCCGAGGAGGTGCAGATGACTATGACGGTGCCGAAACTTGTCACGGAACATCAAGAAAATGTCTGAGTCGAGCTCGCATAGAGTACATCTAAGAGCCATGCTCATTACATCTTCTCAGTACTCCCTGCTATTTAGCACCCCATCGAGAGATGGTGGTGCAAGCTCTTCGAGTTTCCAGGCGACGACGGAGAGATGGAATGCAGAGCCTCGGACGGAAGGAATCAATGAGCTTTTCCGTCCTTGCCAAACTAATCCCAAAAGACGATTGAGAATCTACCAAGCTTGGCATTGGATCGGTGTCGCTGGTTCTTCGGTGCGCTGCATGCTAGAGATTCACGCGGATCTTCTTCTTGTCATGCAAGGATGGAGATAAGGAGTCGTATGTCTCCCTAGCATGGGGGGATTCCCTAATATTATAGGTATTCAGTGACATAGAGCACCTATCCTTGGTACCCGTTTTACACTCTGTCCCACCGCTTTACTTAGGAATTAGGTAACCTCTTATTACCCATCTTTCCGCTGGCACGGCAGAACAAATCTGGTCAGGCTGGCAAGGCTGATAAGGCTGATTCTTCCGAAGCCCCTGAAGTTTCGGATAATTCCGTCCGGATCTTGGCAAACCGTGCCAATCCTCTCGCCTAAACCTCGGCATAACTTTCTGCACGTTTCAGTTCTCTATCCCTGTCCTGCCCTGTTTGTGCATACCCAGTTTCGTGACTATCCCTCAGCGCTGAGTCTACACCTGCTTTGGCACCTTATTTGGACTGTGGTGGGACTGTGGCCTGCCGCTCTACTCAGATAACCACGTCCTCTGTAACTTGGCTCAACTTCGGCAGCCTCGGAGCCAAGTGCTCAGGTTGATATGGCCGCTGCGGGGTCTCATCGCTCTCCCCTTCACCTTTCACCACCATTGAGTAGATTGTTGACAAGATCCACGAGAAAACGTCACAATGGACTTTGTGGAACTTCCAGATGGTGTTGAACCTGAAGAAGTTCCAGACTTAGGCGTTCGGGATTATGACAATGGAGATTTCAGCACGTACCCTCAGAGACAAGGATGGAATCTGCGCGCTTTACTTGATTATGATATCACAGCAGCATATGATTCGTGGGATGAAGCAAGCCAGAACTTTGGACCAGCGCTCTTCGGGGCATTCAACGGTTTAAATCTCGATGCTCTGGAGGGCCGTGACTTTCGGTCGGTACATGATGACTGGGATAACATTGCGCCGCTACTATTGACGCCGAGCGAGAGCAGGCCGTCAAAGCCGTTGCAAGGAATATGCTGTTGTCAGTGGTTGGTAGCTTCATCCAAACTTGGATTATGCTCGGTACCTTGAGTGTGGCTTTGAGACGACCAGTCTCTAGGGATGAGGTTATCGAAGTCAAAGAGACTATCGAAGAGAATGGTGAGAAGACGGAACGCTCTTGTATCAGCTTGCGAGCGGCGTTTGCGGAGTGCGTTGTCAACTTTCGAGATCATCTAGAAGCGGACTCGGATTGGAGTGCAGACGTGCTTCGGTCACTCCGGATCGGGATCACCTTTCTCGATGACATGGCTAAAATTCCTGCTCCACAGCGGTACTGCCTTCTCCCTCGATCAGTTGAATTGAGCTTGCTTGTCCTCCTCTCTACCATCGACCTTCACCAATCGTTTCATAGTCGGCGAAAACTTCGAGCCAACATGTATTCTTGCGAATCATTGGAGCAAGAGATGAAGAACCAGCGAAAGTGGTGCCCACACGTACTTTACAGGCTTCGAGCCCTAGGAGGGGCACAGAGCCTCTATTACACAGCTCTGTTGCCCAGCTTCGCAGTCGGCGGAGCACATGAAAATTGTGACGAGGGTATCTGTGTTGCGTTCAACATCGACCATGGTACATACCGGACGATACATTTAGAGGGTTGCGGCGACAAAAATCAGCATTATATCTGCCAAGATGTGCGTGTATCAGAGCGTGATCTTGGCCTGATGCTTGAGGCTGGAGGGTACCCTCTTGTTTGCCTCGAGCAAGGACGCCTGAAGCTTGTTCGATATGAGCCGGGAATACAGTACGTGGCGATTTCTCATGTTTGGTCAGATGGCAGGGGAAATCCGAGACAGAACGCTTTACCCTTATGCCAGCTAAGGACAATTCAACGATGGGTCTCAAACTCGGCACATAAGGGCACGTTCTTCTGGATTGACACTTTATGCGTACCCATAAAGGAACCACACAGAAATACAGCAATTATGCGCATGGCTCAGACATACGAAGCGGCAAGTCACGTTATTGTCCTCTCGGAAGAACTCCTGATGCACAATCTGCCAGCATCACCATTGCAGGCCCTGTATATGATTTTCTACAGTAAGTGGATGACGAGACTCTGAACATTACAGGAGGCAATACTAGCCAGAAGGCTACTCTTCCAGTTTCGAAACCAGGCAATCACTTTCTCAACGCTAAGTGATGCGATAATCGAGTCTCCGGAAGCGCCACTAGTCAACGAGCATTCACTGTCACGGATGGCGGGACTAAACATGCACACACAGATGCGGCTTTTTGAGGGTGAAGAATCAAACAATCAAGGTGCAAGAAGAACGCTTTCACTCAACGATCTGGTATGGGCCTTGCAGCCACGTACGTCGTCACGAGCAACAGACGCTACAATATGCGCCTCCATCTTGATGGGCAGCGACTTGCATCCGATTCTTGTCGCCCCCGATAACATGAAAATGCAGGCTTTCTGGGCGTCCCAGAGTGAAATCCCCGTGGGTGTACTCTGGGCCAGAGGACCGCGAGTAGATCGGGAATGATACCGATGGGCGCCACAGGATCTCCTCCACCCTTCAACAAGACAATCTCTGCTGGGAGCACACGCCGATGAAACCACGTCAGCAACGATGACTCCAGGAGGATTAGTCATTTCGGGTGTTACAGCATTCCTAATGGAGAAACTGCCTGTGGGTGACGGAAGTCCACCCGCGTTGGTGTTTGACTTTTATTCCGTGGTCACTGACTTTAACATATTCATGCGAATCCATGTGGAGGAAGGAATATCACCACGGGCCGAAATTTGGGCCAAAGATCAATTTCTGCTGTTTGTGGAGGAGTTTGAGTATACCAAGGCTACGAGACGCGCTTGTGTGGCCCTGCCGTTGCAATCCCTGGAGACTGTACGAGGCGAGGAGCAGCTTGTTAAAATACGGTACCTCCTGAATGCAGGCATCGAGGTTATGGAAGAGGGAAGCTTATCAAGCGAGGACAGGTTGCGTCCAGCTGTAAAGATTGCGCAGGTCTTCGAATCGTCGCAAAGCTGGATAATGACGTGAAGTCGCTGTTTGTACAGCGTGGACAGTCTCATGGCTACAAACATTGAACATGCCCTCTTCCGTCTGTTTGTCGTCGTCTGCCCTTCAACTTGGGCCGACCCCTTCTTTGGACAGTACTGCTAGGGTCGCTGCGCAGGAGTGTAGGCGCAGCAGACGTGGACACCGCACATGTCTCCAAAGAGGCAGGCCATGCTGAATTAAGACACGGCAAACGCGGAACCAGCACTCATCAAGTCCAACGAGCAACGGATGTGGTACCACCGAAGTGGTTGCGGTTGTTGGCTTCATGGAGTCAGCCACGACGCACCACGATGAGGTGATATACCTGTGTCAATAACTAACTATCCCTGCTGGGAAACATCAGAGCACACTGGCAAACACATCTACAATGCGATTTCCAGCAGCAGCCATTCCTACATATGAATCTCGTGGGCTTGAAAGAAGACACGTGGATTAGTTGAACCCAACACGGACTTAATTCTCGAGAATCAGGAAATACCCAAACAGTGTTCGTTGGGTAGCGTTGAGATGTTTTCTGGAATGCTGTTCGTCCTGCTGGATGTTTGTGGGTTTCACAGTGGGACTCTGTGGGGGCATCACTAATGCAATGCGCACTGTACAACGATCGTGCTTCATGACTTGCCCCGGCGACTGCGGTGTCGCGGCGGGCTCCTGCAACTAGGGGAATCAAACTCGAAATACTCGGACTCGGTGGCCACACGAGCAGGGCCAGAAATATTGTTGGAAATGAGGCGGAGGAGAAATTTTGGGTGCTGATAGATAGAGAAGGGATTTGTTTAGGAAAAAAGGGCTGGCTTGACGAGTTGGGAGTGGGCCAGTCAGAAACTGTTTCTTGCTCGGTAGACAGTTCGCCTTTCTGTCAACTGAGAGGCTGGTGAGATAGGCGATTGGTCTAGAACGTATGTCATTCATTTATCCAACAAAATGTACCATCCATTCCATTCCGCATGCGAGTAATACGGCGTCCTCCCGAACTCGGATCCTAGTTTGTGGAGAAATCAAGAGCAAGGCTGAGCCGAAATGAAGCCGTCAGACATCAGTGTTCTGAAGCTGCCAAGGATGCCAGAGAGGCTGCTGTCAAGGAGTTGCTCTCGAGGCCCGGTTTCCGTGTCTTGTTTGTGTGTGACATGAGCCTAGGTGGGCTGCTCGCACTTCTTGCTTGGGTCTTTCTCGCAATTCTATCTTCCAAGGCATTGCTCATTGTGTACTTGTTTCTTTGCGTTGCGTTTAGAGAATGCCAAAGAGCCCTATCTCCAACAGTTGGTCACAGAACGGGTTCTTCCAAGCCTACGGAGGTCCAAATCATAATTCAGGATTGCTCCAGCCCGAAAAGACACTAGAACACAAAGCTCTTTGCTGGGACCTAGTACAGGATCTGACAGTGTTGGCAGCCACAACAAGCAACGATTGAGGAGCTAGACTGAATGGTAGCGGGCTGATCTTGAGTCGGGAAGAAGCCTCACAGGTGAACCCACCCTGTGTCCTCCACACGGGTCACAAAATCATGCCTCCGATTCCCAAGTGCAGACAGACGCGAATCGCACAACTCATGCAAGCGGCCCTGTTGATGAGTATAGAGAGGTTCCTGTCATCAGAACTCAGGGTTGAAGTCGGCGCAAGCATCTTTAGTGCTTCAGACCTACTGTCACCATAACTCTTGGTTGAAGCCAGTGCAAGCATCTTTAGTGCTTCGTTGCCATATAATGGATACACCGCTACCATCAGGGTCTCTGGGCTGTGGGGGCCGTTGTCTGGCGCGATGAGCACAACGTCTTGCTTACGTTCCAGATCTGTGTCTGCTGAATGGCTGCAATTCCCCAGCATTACTGAACCCATCAGTCCATTCAGCGTACAAAACGGCCGCCGGATGCTCCTATTAAACGTCCATCCCATGGCGATTGCCAGATGGTTGTCTTTGACTGTCAACTGCCACCGAATTTTGGCTTCGGGAAAGGCGTTGGCGCGGGCGGATAAAGAACACTCTCGATTCAGCAGAGGTAACAGAGACCCCTTTTCATCTTCTGACAGTATCCAGGAGAATTTTCGATTTTTCTCCGTTTCCAACATTAAGGTGCCTGCAAAAACCGACATGCATGCGAAGCCGCTAACAGGTATCTCGCTGGCAAACAATAACCGTGGTGCGATGACTTGTCCTCGGAAAGAGGATGCAACCCATTCACCTTTGCTGACATACTCAGATGCTTGATGGCCAATTAATTTGAGGGCCCAATCGATCAGCGGCCCCAGTAGCTGGGTCCGGCGAAGAAACACGCCGTGTTGAAGAAAGGATTTGACAGCTAACCGCCATTCATTCTCGTAGGACGCTGGCGCCAGGTTTCCGTAAGGGTTATATAGTACAAGCCAGTCGATCTTCTTGGGGTCGGTCATACCTTCCGCAACCAACAGCGACAAGGCAAGTATGTCCGCCACCACTTGACCTAGCCGGCCTAGGAATGCTTGTTCAGGATCTTCTGGGAATTTATTCCTGCGCTCTTCAACCCACAAGCTAACGGCAGGCAGGTCTGTAAGTTTGAGGTCACCTGACAGGCGCTGGATCAGGGGACCATCGTAGGTCGGTCCAAGGAAGATGTTCACCAATGTACCCACCACATCATCAGCTGGGAAGGGATCCGAAGGATATACTGTCCTCAGTAGCCCGGGTTCGACCTCTTGATCGGTGAAACGATAAATTTGGGTTGGATCCGTGAAAGCCGACTTGGTAAGGTGAACAGCGTATGGTATTGCTTGGGCGCATGCCATTCTCCCCAAACCATCGTGGAACTCGAGGTCTTTTAGCAGAAACCGTGCATAGGTTTCGACTGTCACCATGCCAGTCGCCCATGCAGGGCCGTCCGCATCTTTGACAATAGCACCGAAAGCCTCTTGACTGCTCTTATAGTCATAAATGGTTTCTATACTGATGTTATCATGATAATCCAAGTTCCGCGAGATGCAAATGGTGACCTGTGGATTTGGCTGGTCAAGAATCACTGCTCCGTGTTCATCACATATCATTGGAGGAACTTCGACACACCAGTGTGCAAAGCCCGAGACCCAGGCAGCGAATGGTCCTACTGTGATTTTCAGACTTCGGACATCCGCAGGTCCAACACGGGACAACTCTCTAAAATTGTCAACGATCTTTTGAATTGCTTCTGCACTTGGAACAGCGGCGTTGTCATGGAGTCGAGTGTGCAGTTGAGGTAGCAAAGCTTGATAACCTAGAACAACATCCAAGAATCGAGATTGATTGAGCCTTGGCTCAAGAACGTCGAGAAGGTCCTTCAATTGGAAAATGCTCGGACTTAATGCCTTGTCTTCAGCAGTATCGCGAATCATTCTTGCCAGTGCCGTGGCAGCATCAAATTTACTGCATGACGAAACGAGTGCGGCTGCGAGGGATAGAAAACGTATGCCTTCAACACTGTGCGACAGCAAATCGACCGAATCGCCTTTTGCCCAACCTATTTTGGCAGCCCAGAATTTCTGGACTGGGCTTTTAGCTTGCTTTCGCAGCATGTCCTCAATCTTCGTCTGCGTGAGGCTGGAAATGGCGAGCGTGGCGCCAAATTTCTCACAAACGGTCAAGGTAAATGGCTGAATGTTGTCCCCTGAGGCAACAAGAACAGCATCTCTGCTGATCTTAAGAGCGCCGTCCACTGTTTGGGCAAGAGCCCAAGAAACTCCTATAGGGGACATGTGGAGGCTGACCGTGGAGCGAGGGATGATCCTGTGGCGCCAAAGGAGGCTTCCTCGAGACGGGGCATTACTCAATTCAAACCATATTCCTGGGACTCTGATCAATAGGTTGATGGTGCTAAAACACACGATGGGCTGAAGAGTGCAAGACCAAGGAAAAGCAAAGAGCGATGGAAAAGCAAGGTTCGAGAGAGATAAAGCGTAAATATAGTATGCGGCTTGCTGACAGTCGCCGCGTGGTTTTGTCGACCTGGGGCTCCTAGGAATAGGCTGATTGATCGATGAAGGAATCTACGAAGTATCTGGAGTGACAGCGAGGGTTTAAATAGGGCCCTCCCCCGAAGGAGCACAGGCCAGGGCTAGGAAGCCTTGCAAGGCCATCCACGCTACTAACGACGTAGCACGGACTAGAGAGACCTGGGCAAGGGAACATGGAGAGGAGATGATCCTGCCGACAGGATGCCTAAATACGGACAGGGATCCAGGGTGCACGAAGGAACAACCCTGGCGCTTGGAATGGATCTGTAATGGAGCGGGTGGAGAAATTAGCTGCCGCAATCCGTGACGCATGAGTCGCATCTGTGAGCAGGCAGCTACATAACCTACAGCCTGTCAGAGACAAGGCTGTGATTCGCATATGCTGGCCAACCTCCGCCGCCGGTCGGGTGATCGTATGAGAAGATGTCCAATGTTAGTTGATCTGTGACTAGAAAAGAATTACTCCGTGACAAGCCTACCTCGGCAAAGTCAAAGGCTGAAAAACGGCTGATTTAGAGGGCTGAGACTAGACCTTGTGGCTGTGTCGGGAGTGGAGGTTGATTAGAATCAAAAGAAAGGCCGTCTGGTTCCAGTGGAAGTGCGAGAAAATGGGATCGATCCAGCGAGGCTGCCTGTTTTTTTATGTACGGCCGGGAGTTGGGGGACGTGGGATGCGGAACGAAGACTCTGTCAATGCATGGTATTCCTCTATGTGAGGGCCATGGCTCTCGCCTATGTATCTACCAAATATAAGGCACAGGTGACAAGCCACTAGGGCTGGCCTGGCCTAGTCAGGAGGAAGGTGGTGACACCTACCATAGGGGGTAGGCGTGCACCACAGGGGAACACCGCGGGGTAGAGACAAGCCTTCGTGAAAAGAGACCTCACAAGCTCTCCTCCTCCCCCGCTCTCCAGCTCGTCTAATAAATAACACAGCACAGAGTCACTTCTAAAACCTTTTCTCGAGGTTGTTGACTTCAGTGTCAATGGCTCCATCAATCGCGCCGTCTAGAGCGGCTGGCACGCCTTCGTTGTTTAGGAACTTGTTGGCCTCTGCACCTGCAGTCAGCTTTGTTGCGACCACAATGCGCAGCTGCTAGTGGGGTGGGAAAACAAAAACAGACAAAGTCGTACCTTGATTGATGTAGGCGTCGCCGGCGTTCTGCTCGAAGTTCTTCATCATGCCTCCTCCTTGCTGGTCCTGTTGGCCTTGCTGGCCTTGCTGGTCTTGCTGGTTGCTCTGCTGGCCTTGATCATTTCCTTGGCTGTTTGCTTGGTTCTCGAGGAACTGTTCACCTTCTTGGAGGAGGTTGTCCATATTTGGATGTTCCTTGCGGGGTTCAATTGAATTGAAGTGATGCGTGTAAGTATTGTGATCGTTGCCGCCTGGTCAAATAATGCAAGGTACGGCCGGAGGAGGATGGAGGGCTTTTTTTATAGCTGATGGGCCTTTCAGCTTCTGCGGTGTGTCCTGTGCTCCGTCTCATGTGTTATCTCTGTGCTTCAATGGCACCTGGTTTCCCCGAGGTGATGACGTGGCTCCTCAGGAACCGCGATCTCTAAAAGGTCTCGCGTCACCACAGATCGCATCACACAAGCATCCCAAGCTTCGCTTGTTCAAGGCTTAGCACATCACTCTGGAATCATGATTCGTGGGAAGAGTGGGCGTCACTTTTCTTTTTCACAGCTAAGCACTGGATACCCATATCTTGGCACTCGGTTTGAGCATGTCTACGCGAGCCACACAGACGGGGGCACCATTTTCCCCTACGGCGCACCCGCGAGTTGGAGTGAGACCCCTGTCCAGCTGAACACCCGGAAAGGAATAACATTCCACCACCGGAATACTATGAAACTTTACTCGGTACTCTGTTACCAAATCGATGATTTAGATAGTGTCACTTGACCAACTCATGGAGGTGGTGGACACAAAGGGAGACTGTGCGGTGCTGCGCCGCTTCCCCACTCGACCTATACTTGAAAGCTAAAGCCTCGAAATGACTCGAAAACGAGATACAAATAAAAGGAAACAAGACCTAGAGGCGATATTGTTCTGAGGATGAGCGACTGGGAGATACAGAGTCCCTGGTCGTTTGGGCGTAGGCCAGCGCAAGGCTGGATCCGAAAGGGGCGAGGGGGTAATCAATCACAACAACCACCAGAACTGATTCTGAAAACGATTCTGTCTCACCATCACTTGTAAGAGTCCACATTCCGACGGCTGCCACTGAAGTTTTGATGAAGCCAGAAAAAGAACAGACCATGGAGAAGTACACTGCAGGTAGTAGTTTCTTTCTCCATTGCTCAGGTATAGAGGAACACGGACGAAATACCAAAAGATTTCGATTCCGGAGGAGCGCGTGGAACACCGAGGCTTCATCTTATATCTTGTCATCCATGATCGGCTCGTGGAGATAGTGCGACCGCTCATAAGTCATGTCGGCGCTAATCTTCGATTCCTCATTGATGAACGGAATAAACTGCACGACCCGGACTCCAAGCTGAGGAGCGACTTCAAGGCATTCTCCAGACATGGGGTTCTCACCCATTAAGGACTCAAAAGCCTCTAAAAGTTTCTCTATCGGCACCAGAACACCAAGTTTTTCTGCCTTGTCATACACGGCCGCAGTCGAGATCCCCGTCCTGATCTTGTTCGGGCACACGGCATTGAGAGTGATTTTCTCCTCAGCGAGAATCTTACCATAGGAGCGGACGAGCCCCACAACGGCACTGAAAGTTTTGTAAGCTTTTAAGACAACGATGGAGGTTGATGTGATTGTAGTGGGGGACATACTGCTTTGCCGCGGTATATATAGGTATGGGTTGGTGAATATAGAACCCACAGACGGAGGCGACTGGCATGACTAGATGTTTTGGTTACACAACGAGAGATTGTGCGGATGACAGGGCTTACTTTTCCCTCGAAAGCCATATTTATTTGGTTGCTGACGACGAAAGTGCTGAACTGCCAGGGAGACTGTGTAGATTACACCGATGCAGTCTACTTCAAGCACGGTCAGGTCGGGCTTCTCATATCCTGCTGAATTGGGCCTGTTGGGGAATGAACGGCGCTCTCCAATGCCGGCAATGGGAAAGACATAATCGATGCGCTTGAACTCGGCCTCAGCGGTTTCCCATGCGCTTCGCTGGGAATCCCAGTCTGCAACGTCGATCTGTACAGTCCACACAGCCTTGTCGCCCGTGTTCAGCTCTTCAGCCACGGCCTGGGCGCCCTTTAGGTCTCTGTCTGCCACATAGACTCTGATTCTGTCATTAATATTAGAGACTTTATACAGTTCTTAGAGAGGGTCAGGTTGGATCAAAAGGATCCCCACCCTTTTCCAACAAGCATCTTGGTGACTGCACGTCCGATGCCGCTGGCGCCGCCTAGCCCAAATCAGCACTAGCCGATGCTCGACCACAGGAGATATGCGGGATTCCATACCGGTGAGGAAAGCAGTTTGTCCTTTGTACGACATTCTGTGAAACCTTAAAATTCTTTTGGGGGCATACAGTCCAGCGAGGTCCAAAGAGTTTATTGTTACTTCGTTTCAATCATTATGAAGCTCTTGGCCTACCCAGAGGGGCCGGAGGGCAGCCTACGCTTCTCATAATATGTGAAGCCACAGGACTTGGCTCAATGCTTGAGAATAGCCGAATCGGTGCGGGGAGTAGACATGGAAGAGGGGATCGCTTCGTGCTTCAGCCGAACAGCGCGCCATCCTTCGCCTCAGTTTTGGGGTCAAGAATAATTGCACATAGTGTTGGACAATGAATCACAAGGCATTTCCGAAAAGGTGTCATTCAAATAGCCGGACTTTCTCCAACACGCAAGCGCAGATCTGGTCGCCCGGTTATGGTGCCGGGAGGTTGCCGGTAGCCGAAACCCTTACTATACCGATCGTTGACTTCCCGGAGGACAAAAGGACGTATCTTGCCGGCGATACTATCATGAGTCTACTCTGACAGCCACAATAATAACCATGGCAGACTATTCTCAATACCAGGGACCGAATCCTGAGTGGGAGGAATTCGTTCGAGTGACTGAAATACCTCCAGTCGGGCTGGCACCGGGAGAAACCCCTGCAGACCTCCGACAGTCAAGGAACGCTCTGCGTGAGAAAGCATCCAAGATAGAGCTGCAGACATCAGGTCGGTTCGCCCAGCATTTCTCATGATCAACCGGCTACCAGAGGCGACCCGGCACTGCTTGCTACTGCCTCAGAGCTGTCAGACGGATCGGTCTTCACGTTAGCGATGGCCCTCGAAAACGTCCCCGAACAGATATTGCCGCTTCTTCCTGTACCATTTGACCCAAATTTAGTTTATGCGACTTGCGCTATTATTAATATCAGTGCTGACACATATCATTTCTCGCAGGACTCTTGGAGAAAGTGAGCTGGCAAGACGCGGATATTCCAACGCGCGATAACTCAACCGTCCCGGCTCGCATTTACAAACCAAAAGGCGTTGATCTCTCCGCTACCGGACCACTTCCGGTCTATGTCTTCTTCCATGGCGGTGGTTACCTTTTTGGAAGCCTCGAGACAGAGGACGCAAACTGCGCCCGTGTCATTGCAATGTCCCCAGATCCAGTTATCGTTGTCCACGTGAACTACCGTCACACTCCGGACTTTAGGTATCCTACCCAGCACAATGACGCCTGGGACGCATTCCTATGGCTCAGCAAGAATATCACCTCCATTGGCGGCGACCGCGGAAAGGTAATTGTGGGTGGAATTTCCGCAGGCGGAGGCATCGCGGCTTCTGTTGTACTCAGGGGACAAGACCAACAGCATTCAGCAGTGGACTTGAAAATCATCGGCCAAATGCTCCTCATTCCGTGGATAATACATCCAAAAGCGTATCCGTTCGACCTGCTAGTTTCCAAGGAACGGTCCAGCTTTATACACAACGCCGATGCCCCCATACTCCCACATTCTCAAATCAACATGTTCATCGATGTCTTTGATAGCTTAGACACCGACCCGACGGACATCCTTTTAAACCCGCCGCTGGCTCCGGACGAGAAGGTCAAAGGCATGCCCAAGACTGTCATTGTGGCTGCAGGGATGGACCCCTTACGAGATGAAGCATTATTGTACGCTGACAAGCTGAATAGAAACGGGTAAGTCGTTTCTTTGCTACTTGAAGTTGGAAAACTTGCTGGGGTGTCGTTAGCACAGATTTCTGACGAGCTCCTCTAGGGTGCCGACCCAAGTATACGTCTTCCCCGGTCTGCCACATGGCTTCAGACGATTCGATAGTCTGAAAGCCAGTACGCGATGGGATGAGGTGACTGTCGAAGGAATTCAGTGGTGCTTGTCGGATAACCGCGAGAGCTCAACCAAGATCGAATTATAAGAGGAGCACACCTGACTCTAGTATAGAGCTGTGGATACTTATAGAAAGTAGATCACGGTTCCAGCCACGATACGAGCAGATGGCACCACTGAGGGCATTTAGAGACCATACCAGCCAGCACAGAAAGCATTCAAGGGTTCGACTATAGATCTGATGTCTTGATCTATTATATTGGAGGATGAGATAGAACTCACTGCTTGACATGAAGCTGCAATAGGCTACAGTTACAGGGTCTCGAAGAAGAACAAGAGAAACAAGCTCGTTTCGGATGTCGCCAGTTGCAGGACAATTCTTCAGCTCCAACTGTATTCCATGAATGCATCGGATATATAAGCTACGTAGTTCCTGTCACTCGGCTTCCTCCTTCAGTATCTTCTGGATTGTCACCAGTGCACTGTCCTTGTTACTGACCAGATTCGTCCTTGCAGGCCCAGGATTGTTGAACACCGGGATGATGCGCCATTGGTCTTCGGTCTCGTCCATCACCTCCAGGAGTGTCCCTGGCGGATACTTGTCATTTACGTTCTCAGCCAGAGCGACCAAGGCGCTCGCAATAACACTGGGATCGAGCATCTTGTCCTTCGTCGGATCAACCCACCCAGCGACCCCGGGATCCTCTAAGAGAAGAGGAGTCGCAATGGCCCTGAAAAGAAATTTTCCACATCAGCTTCCGTCGCCGTGGATGAAATTATTCCAGTTCTTCGAACTTGCCAGGCGTATGTCCCAATCTTGGGGGGTGGTGATGCAAATTCAAGGGTGGTATCTCATAATACGTACCCAGGAGCGACTCCGAGGACCCGGATCCCGCAAATCTTTTCTATGGCACCCATGCCCATAACGAAACTGCCAATTCCATGCTTTGATGCTTGGTACAGGGGCGTGATCACACTGACAGTTTCCGCCGCAACGCTGGCAATGTGGAGGATCGTTCCTGCCTTCTTAGCACGCAGCATGTGCCGAATAGCAATTCTCGTCATCTTGATCGGATGTACAAGATTGATGTCGAATAGCTTGTAGTGGGAGGCTGAATCGATATCTCCCCAGAATCCTGAGGCTGGCTGTTGATAACCAAGAACGTTAGTTGTTTATATTTCGGTCTTTCGACCTCTAACCAGTAATATTGTGAAGAAAGAGAAAAGAGAGACAGTGTAAAAAAGACGCAACAAAACAAAACTGCCTATAGTCTCCGACGCACCGGCTCATAGATCCCTGCTCCAGGACACACAAGGTCGGGCACAGTCCCAAACTGTTTCTTCGCGATATCAAAGGTCTTCTCTAACTGAGACCAGTCCGTGACATCTGTTGGCTCAAAGACAACCTTCGGGCCGCCTTTTTGTGCGGCGGAATCAACGAATTCTCGTGCTTCGGGCCGAAGGCCGATATCTGCAATTAGGACATTGCACCCTTTCTCAAACAGGGCCCGTGCAAAGGCCAAGTTGATGCCTGAAGAGGCGGTCAGGTTGTAAGTGAGTGTGACGCGTCAAAAGGGCAAAATAATAGGGACATGGGAAATCGTATCCCTCTTACCGGAGCCTGCACCTGTCACAATGGCTGAGGCGCCCTGGAGGTTGAGTCCGGGCATGTCGAAGAAATCGTGTCCGAAATTTGAGAGAAGGTTGTCAGGGTCAGAGAATAGGATGTCTGGTTTAGTTCAATCTGGTGAATTTATCCGACATTAGGTCGCGCTTCGATTGAGACAACATGCAAGATATTAGGGAAAGGCTGAAGGGAGGGCATCCAAAGGTGGATATTTCGGCCCTCGGTTAGTATTCGATAAACATGTATTGACCCCCACTTCCAACTTCCAGCAGCGTGCCGATTGAGGCTTCGGTTCTAGGTTCAAGGCACGCGGTAGGTGGAGTGAAGAGTTTTGGAGAGGGCAATCCCGAGTCTCCCTATTTTTCGGTTTGCTCGGTCTCGGCCGCGACATCAAAGTTCAGTTGGAGTTTGCGGTAGAACTTGTTTGGCTTCCCCGCAGAATCCTCGAGTTTAGGTAGCAATTCCGCCTTGAGGTCTGTGGAAGACTGGCATCAAAGCCTTGTCTCGAAAGGGCGGCAGCAGCCGGGAAAAAACAGCTGGTGATTGGGAGGACATCCATGGGTTGGAAAGGAGTGGAGATCTATCCAGCCTTGTGCACTCGCAAAGGGATTGCACAAAAGTACCGGGTACTTATTGCGAAATCGACTTCGGCAGGGTATTCTGTGTTCTCGTGCTGAGACCAGAGGCCTTCCATGTGTTTGGTCCAAGGCAAGATTAGCAGCCCAGTCCCGCTACACCCGTCCAGGGATAGCCCGTCGGGCAGCTTCTATCTCAGCCGCCATAAGTCCTCCTGACTCCCGGTCAGCTGGATGGGATTGACAATACCCATGAGTTACTGAGAGTATTACGGCCCCTCTACCCCAGACAGCCGGTGTAGTCTTTGCTCTTGTTTTTAATTGGACATGGTATCCGTTTGGGCGTTGAATAGATTGAATGTGAGGAGAGGCTGACAGCTTGCAGACCAGGCGTCGTCAACGCAACCATTGCCCCTGACGAGTGTGGCGCGGACGCCTCGAACCTTTGGCTGTCTTACAAAAGGGCGGTCAGCGAACCTGGGTGAAACAAGACATGTTTGAGCTTCCCATCTCCTTTGCAGATCGGTCTTGACAGCATAACCAATACCGACCCGTGGCGCATCCCTTGAAAGCGGCAATACTCCCAGCATGGTTTTGTTGGGCTACCTGAAGAACTTTCAACCATTTCGACTTGATGCCTTGGGTATCGTAACCCTCCTCGGCGCGGAGCAAGTCAACAACCATGTGGGTAAGCTTGTCCGAAGTCGATGGCTGCAGTATATGCCGCTCCTCGGAGCATATGTCATTGCAAGCGATGAGTTCACAGCCAAACAACCAGGCTTCCAGCTATTCAACTTCTCCGCAAACATATATACTCCTGGTCTCGCGGGATGGTTCAGTCGCTGGCTCATCGAGCAGGACTTTGAAACATCGGGGACTTGCGTCGAATGGAGCATTAATGCAAAGGCCCATTCCTTCGCTCTTGACTTCTGGCTAGCTCTACTCACCGGAACCATTGTCCAGGCTGGATTTATCGTGATGACGGTCCTGATGGGAGATTGGTGGGGCTTTGCGAACGCCATGTCCATGGTCATTTCTACCGCCGGAAGGGCCTATCTAGTTAACCGCAACACTACTTGGCTCGACAGAGCTGTTGTCGAGGAAACGAAGAAAGCGCTCGGGGAGCCTGAACCTTTAGTATCAACGAAAAGGCGACCCAACGTGAACAACAAGGTTTTCGACGAAGATGAACTTCGAAAGCTGCCGGAAGCGAAAGTCATCGTGCTCTTGCCAGACGCACGAGCCGCCGTCCTCTTCATTCCGGAGTGTTTGGTGCGCGAGGTCTTTGTCTATAACCCCAAGCCACCAGGCACGAGGGACGAGACCAAGAGAGTCGGGACCTGGCCTGTCCGCAGGAGAGAGGAGAATAGGAGGAAACAGTCGGGCCCGCGTGAATTGCTGGTCTACGAACTTGTACGTTGGATTTCCTGGCTCGCGTTCGGCGCACACGTCATCACCATTGGCATGTCGGATCTGGTGAGCCAGCTCATCACAGTGGTGATCATTGTAGTGCCCACCTTTCTGATCGTCCAGGGGTTTGGCTGTGATGATAGCCATATCGGGACCCGGCTGCGGGCGGAGATATCTGACATCCCGCCGGAGGAGATCAAAGCCAGGCGTGCCGATATGTATGCCTTTCTTGCCCTGAGCGACGAAGAGGAAGGCTGCCTGGAGCAATGGAATCTGGCGGCCAATCGGGCCAACAGACATTTCTGGGGCGACTATGAAAGGAAGAAAGAAGTGTTTGCCAAAGTACAAGACTTACGAAGTATCCAGAATTACGATGATCGCGTCAAGGCCATCGATGCAGCCAAGGAGGAGCTCCAGAAGGCCAAGGCAGGCAAAGCTCTGTCACTACAAGTGCATGTGGCATCTAGCACAACATCAAGACATACATCTCTGGACACGGCATAACAGGCCAATTCTTGCCCTCCTGGTAGCTTCGACCAGTACATTTCTGTCCAATATGGGGAGGAATCATATTTTCATTTGGAGTGGACGGCTGCTTTCAGACCTCGTGCCCACGAGCCATGTAAGATATCCGAACTTCATTTATTTGTGGCAACACCCATCGGTCACTGCCTTCAACACATCCAATCTGCAGGCACAGGAGGCCCGGATCGGCACATCTGCCCAGGCTAATGCAAAGTCGAGCTGTTTCTTGATAATGCGTGCTTCATCTGTGCGCCTTGGCCTCACTAAACACTCGTGGTATCCGTGAAGAGCCCAGGGGTTGTTTGGATACTGATGGGCTCTGGTCAAAGAGTCGTCCAGTCCCAGGTCTTCGACATATGCCTGCAATGCATCCTCAACGTTGCCTTGTTCAAGCGAAAGGGCTGCGAAGGCGTGTCGAGTCGGCTGCATCCAACCCCAAGGTTCGGAATATAAGAGTGTGTCGTCGTAGTGGATCGCGTCTCTCAGGCGTTTGAATGCCACGGAATAGTTCCCTCTGCGATATTCGATCTCGCCGTCCAGCATGGCAGTGGCTATCCTGAGCTCGTCACTGATTGTGTTCGGGAAATCTTTCCGCGACGGTGGAATGTGGGTAGCAGCGGCCTGATACAGCGTCCGTTCCTTGTCGGCTTTGTCTAGGTGTCCAGACACAGCCCAAGCCAGACCCTTGGCATAGTGGGCGAACGTTGTCGCTACGCAATAAAGTTCTTGGTCTTCAGGAAGCTCGTAAGCTTTGATAGCATCCCATAAATCGAACCGGATGTACACATGCAAGCGGACAGATTTGAAAAACTCCATCCAGTCCGCCAAAGGAGGTAATTTTGTCCTCAACAAATCATCTGTGATAGAGGCTTCCATGCCTTCGACGGCCTCCAGAGCAACACGGCTTTGACCAGCCAACATTGCTGCGTAGATGAGAGAGTGATAATCATGCAGCCGGTAGAAGGTGTAGAATCCTGTGCCACCAGATCGTACCCGAAACTTTTCATCGGCCTTGACAGCCTCAAGATTGCTCCCGATCGAACGCCTGTAGCCTCCCACGAGAACATCGAGATGAGAGGGCATATGCTTCAGATGGGCACCGTCGGGACATAGTGGCCGCAAGAAGTCGGCCGCAGGCAGCGCGACGGCAGGATTGGCAGAAATTTCCATGTGGTGTATGTATAAGTGCAAAATACCGGGATGCTCTCGTAAGTTGGATTCTTCAGACCGTCCTCAAGGAGTTTAGTTACCTCATGAACCGGCAAACCAGCAATAGGCCGGCCGGTGTGTGTGTCAAATATTTTTCTGAGCGCCGTCATCATGAGAGCATCAGTGAATAGACATCTGACATTAAGATCTTCCTGCCCAAACTCGTCGTAGACCTTTCTCATTGTCTCGGCGTAGCTTCGGTTGGAGGTTTCAAAATCGAACGGGATGTCGCGACTCGGATATCGAGATTGACTCGCATTGCAGAGGGCGGTCTCCTTTGGCGTGAGATGGGCTACATGTCTCATTGCTTCGCGAGAGAGGTCGTGACTTGTGGCAACCGATTGCATCAGGTCTTTCTGGTCAAACGAAGCCCAGACGTTGTTGTAGTTGGGCCTGGAAGCGTAGGCGACACCCCAATATGCCATGCCGCAATCGGGATCGTCTTCAATCGCCTTTTGGAAACACTTGATGGCTTCGTCGTGGTTGAAGCCGTATAACCATAGGATGCCTCAATCAAACTATTTCTGCGCTTCGAAACTCGTGGTCGTAATTAGGGACGTAAATGTTCCAAGATCGTAATAACCGTCTGACGCCATCGTTGAGGTTTCAATGCTGAAATGCTATGCTTCAGTCAGTTTGCGAAATAGGACTGTGCTTGAAAATAGTTCGATGTCTTGAATCTCTGGCCATGTCCGTTTTATTGTTCTTTGTCGGAGAGATAACCGCTCGACTCGGACTGTGCAGCTGATCTCGCCGAGATCTTGTGGGTTTTCGTCACTCCAAGACGGTCAGTGGTGGATCTGTAAATTTTGGGTACGGCACACTCTCGGTAGGGTACGCTGCCACGCTGCACGCTGGAGAGCCTTCCTGGCGCCGTGCTGCCCCTGGCACTCTTACGTCCTACTCCCAGTTGCGCCGCCCCGGTACCATCATTACTGTCTGCCTGACGTTTCGACCCCCTGTCCATTGACTCAAAATTTCGCTCGCGCACCCGCAGATGTCCCACCATCCTCGGAATTCCGCGGTTAGCTGGTTGGCATTAGCAAAGAGGGATGCGTTCCTAGGTCTTGCCAGAAGCTGACTTCGCAACCCCAGAGGTCGGTATAAGCCGACAAGTCCAGACTTGTGAAGTCTAGGTGCGGTTGTCCTTCCTGGTGTGAGAGATCTTCAGCTACTCGCTCGCCACCCTCAAATCAGTAAATGCACCGCCACAAGAAAGTGCTGCGCTGATGCGACGTTGTATCGTATTTGCAGCTCGAGAAACCAAGTCGTAGTTAGGAGCTTCCTCCTGTAACAGGCCACCCAGCCCGATTTCCGACGCGAAGACACCTAGATCTTGCAGCATCTTGGGGATGCAGAGGTCCTCGCGCGGTTGCCAGAATGTGGGCCGAAGCATGGAAATGTAAATGACTCCAGCGGCTGGAGGGCCATAATGCGCAACCTCGGAATGAATTAGTTGACTCATCATGCGAGATAGATCGATCCCTACCTTCCATAGCAGACTGGTTCCCGAATTTACCAAGTGGTCTCGGAGAATTATGGCTTCAACTGTCAATGACAACATTTCTTGTGGTATCCGGAGCAACTCCACTTCAGTCTCGGCGAAAACGGCATTTTCGTGATTCGCAACGCTATTCCTGAGTAGGAACAACGTTTGAATGTAGGTCAATCGCGTATTCAACAGAAAATCATTCTCGAATGGTGACCGATCTCTATGCAGAAAGAGTGTACGCTCAAGCCTGAGGTGACCCGGGAGAGATCGCCATAAACTCTGTGCACATGCATAGATCGCGCTTGGTATTTGTCAGTAGTATGAAAGAAATGCATGGTGGCCATCGGATACCTACTCGAATCGCAACACTCGTTCTGCTGATTGCCCACCATGCTCGTGTAGAACTTCCATGATTTCTTCCTTCAAAGAAGCACGGCATGCTGTCCAACGCAAGCCAGTCACTTGATCAATGCGGTCGTTGGAGCCGAAGAAAGTGTGGTCTAAAGCTGCCATAGGCGGTCTGGGAGGATTCCTTGTATGTGTATCTCGGTTATTGTCTGAGAGCTGAAAACAGCAAAATTTGCGACTCAATCTGGGAGGGCGACCAAGAAACACCGCCATGTTCTTGTCATCAGAGTATATTTGGGCAAATATTGACCGACGCAGCTCGGCGAGGAATCCGGGAATCATGGGCATATCCGCTATTCTCTCATGCAGGCCAAGAAATAGCAATGAGCCGATCACGTCGCCTAATCGGCGCCATGCGCTGTAGCCTGATATGTATCAGTATTTTAGTGACATATACCTCCAAAATATCGCAGAGCTTACTCTGGTCTCCATCCATAACGGAATGCAAAATGAAATTCTCATATTGACAGATGAGTTGTATGTCGTTCAACGAATCAAGCCCAAGCATGATCTCCAAGCATCTATCTGAGAGCTCTGTAATGGCTCGTTGTAAAGTACGAAGTTCAAGTCGGGAGGTGTAGAGGGGCGGGAAGAATGGGATATCTGTTGTAGCTCTACCTGCCGCGATTAGCGCAAGGGTGATGCTCTCCCACCTGACATTGGTACCACTGATCTCGCAGTTGAAATTCAAGGTCGATCCCGGCGAAATGTTCAGAGGTTTGGTCGAATTATCTGAAAGCTTCTCCATGATCACGGAGGGATTGGTAACGTCAAACAGCTTGCCTCTTACAAGTCGACGCAAAGATTGAGTGCACCTTTCGCCAGCCAGAAGTCGAGAAGGTTCTTGAAATCTTCGCCCTCGACTGTATCCAACACTTCCTGAAGGACTTGGTTCTGCTGAAGACTAATTTTGCCGTTTATTCGTGTCGAACCATGGCTGGTTGGTAATAGCTGATTTGGCCTTGATTCATGAAGATCCCCATCACCAGCGAGACGATTGAAGAGGGTGGCGGAGCTGGAAAGACCCAAATGACCAGTGTTCGGGTAGCGGGGCTCCGCGGGCTCCTGATCAATTAGGGATCTTTGGGGAAGTGAGGCATTCACCGGAGACTTCTGTGTGGTAGGAGAGGTTCTGATAGGAGTTTAGGTTAAGCTGGCTGGCAGTATGACGACCGCTTTGGCTACCGTATCTGATTGCTCCCTTTGCTGTGACGTCTCTTGAAAGGGTTCTCGCGGTACATATAGGAATTGGATCGTCCGGCATGTACGCAGCGCGAACAGACTGGCTTACTGTGGTCACATGCTAATTTCAGTTGTCTGCATGGCTCGCAAGCCACCAGGCGAACTCGCTTTTCCCTCGTGGGGTTCATGAGATGGTTGTGCTCTATCGATGCAGCTGGCTCGGAGTGATGAAGGTGCCAGGAGGGAAATAGCCTGGCCAAGATGCCGCTAGTCTCAATTTGACTTATGATAGCTAGGCGAGACCGAGTAGAGCCGGAACGGAGAATGTTTCCTCCGGGCTCCGGGCTCCATACTTGGTTCTCGGCTCGTCAGCACCAGTGCAGGTTACTGGGTACTCCAGACAGAAAACATTCGCACGCTCGGCGAGATATCCGAAGTACCGGGTACGGAGTAGAAACTGCAAAGTTACTCCGAAAGTAAGTGGCCATGTCCTTCACCAACAACAACAATTCTTTCTCTACAACATCATCATTTGTGTGCATTCTGCGGTCATATAGGAAGCACTCAGTCGGAGTGTATACACCTCGTATAGCAATCGATAGTTTCCCACCGCACTGATGGCCACTTCATTCAGCACAATCCCCATCATTGACTTCACAAATCTTCAATCCGCGGAGACAAAGCCACAAGCTTTGAAGCAATTGCAAGATGCTCTTTTCAAGGTCGGATTTCTTTATCTCATCAATACAGGTTTAGAGGTGAAGTTTGAAACGCCAGGCATCCAGTGATTCGATTTCCGTCTGACGAAGATCTAGTCAGTGGTGGAAGAAGGACATCGCAATGTACCCGAGCTGTTTAATCTTCCTCCGGAAAGCAAGGAGAAATGCAACATGATCAATTCGCCTTGTTTCCTCGGCTACACGGCCCTAGGCGCCGAAACCACGGCTTCGCGGACTGATCTTCGGGAAGTACGTTTGGGATCTATCGTCACAGTGGACGAGGAATTGACCTGAGCAAAGCAATTCGACTTTGGGACTCCTCTGAAAGATTCTTGGATGGATGGTGATCCAGTTTGGAAGCGGCTCGAAGGCCCGAGCCAGGTAAGAAGTCGTCAACAACACTTGCTCGCTCAGTCAAGGATGTCACATCAGAACTAATGTAAGAGGAATACAAGTATCCCGATGCCAAGACTGAAGATCTGGTCAATCGCCTGATCCAACAGATGTCCAATTTGGCCGACTCGTTTCTGGGATCTGTGGCCGAGTGTCTCGGTCTTCCGATCGACACCTTCGCTCCGTTCCGTGGCAACATGGACAGACTCAAATTCATCAAATACCCTCCCGCTTTACCAGGATCTCAAGGGGTGGGTCCGCACAAGGACTCCACAGGTCTCTTTACCTTCCTTTCCCAAGACTCTGTCGGCGGCCTCCAAGTCCTCAACAGAACGGGCCAGTGGATTGATGCTCCGCCGGTGCCCGGCAGCCTCGTTGTGAATATAGCACAAGGCTTTGAGGCAATAACGGGGGGTCTGTGCCCAGCTACTACCCACCGAGTCGTCGTAAGTTCTTGTCCGTCTCGAAATCAGTCTATGACGAGTCCCTGATGAGGGTTTAATTTCAAGGCTCCGACAGAGACAGTGCGCTACAGCATCCCTTATTTCCTCGCTGTCCGCTACGACCTAACACTAAATCAACTCAAAGAATCCGCTGCCCATATCACCAGATGCATCCCAGCTTCTGATGCGCCAGTGGTGCCGAGTATTAATCAGGTCGCAAGCGAGTTTCTCTCTCCGGCCTTCTTCTGTGTATGTCAAGCCATTCCTAGAACTCACTGCTATGCGCGGACTAATGATTGGCGCGAGTAGTTCGGCGAAGCCTCGCTGCGGAACCGCGTCATTAGCCATCCGGACGTGGGACAGAAGTGGTATCCAGATCTCTACGATAAATATTCTCGCGAATCTTTTTGATTATACACTCGCATATAGTGTCCGGCCATTAAAAAAGATGAGGAGGCATTGTGCATCAACTTGGAGTCGGCGATGGAAACTAACAGTATACACAAAGTTTTCCATCACAGCTCTATGCTCTCATGTATACCAAGACGGTTGCACCTTCTCAAAAAAAAAGCCCCCAAAATACCCGCTTTAGAATGACACGTTTGCGCAAATGACGGCGAAGACAGTTTTCTGAAAGAGATGGCTTTGTCGAGAACGCACATGAGTTTGCAACGACTCGGACGGCCGGTGGCGGCGACGCTCGACTTGTTCATCGTATAACCAGTACAGGCTCCTAGACGGGCCTCATGCTGGTGCTTGGAGAATAAGGCGAAAATATTGATGCGCCACATACTGCTTGTGGGTTGTTCGCTTCCAATTGGGTTAAGTGGAAGTCTGGGGATTACAAGGCTGGCGGATAGCGCTCACAACCGACTGCGGCGGACTGGAAACAATGACTGGGGTAGGATCAGCTGGACTTGGCCATGGTAACTGATGCTGATGTGCGACTTAACTTGACTGTCTCGGGCCGCTGCGCTCGTGTTGGGAGCTCGATTCTGGGGACGCTTTAAACGGAGAGATTGAGCCTCGGTAGAAATTTACCCCAAGTCGACAATCCGGCAAGACTGGCGGGCTGAGCATGCTGTAAGCGTGCTCGTCCACCATAACGTTACTCAACATCCCCAGGCGAATACATCGCAAATGAGTGTCAGTCCAAGTCGGAAGTGTTTCTGTTCAGTATTATCAGGCGTCTCGTTGCATAGAACAATCTATCTGCGCCAAGGGTATACACAAGGGTTTCAGCGCCGTCGGTACAAGCTTCATATTAAAGCGGGTTCCTGCAGTGAGAGAAGTCAGACATGGCTCCAAAGAGCAAAGAGTCGGCGCCAAAACAGCTGGATTTTGAAACACATCTCGAGCTGAAGCAGGTCGCGCCCGTAAGTAGCAAAGTGTGACGGGATTTTGCAGAAACCTCAAAGTTCTAATGTGTATACACCAGGATGTCTTCACAAACGTGCATGAACCGTGGGTATTTCACATCACAAATTCATATCCGGGTCCGTTGATGATGGCCCAGGCGGCAGCGGCCGCGTGGAAGACAGTGCCTGACGGGTTCATGCTGGATTCGCTGCAGACGCACTTCATGCTGGCGCCCAATCCGCAGAAACCATTGCTGTACAAAGTACAGCGGATAGGCAACGGTCGGCGATTCGCGGTGCGGATTGTGAACATCGCACAGGATGAAAAGGTGTGCGTGACCATAACCACGAGTTTCGTCAACGATGCGCCCTGGTCCGGCCGAGCCATGACGCATGTAGTGCCCATGAGGATTGATAGGCGGAAGCGGGAGATCAGCCTGGACGATTTCGAACTGATGCGTACATCGAGAGGGCCGTTTATGAAATTCGAGAGACTCCCGCATGTTCACGAAAGTAAATTCCAGGCAGTTGATGGAGGCTCGGGGGATGCTGACGGTCTCCTTCTAGATCCCAAAAATCCAGCCACCAGCATGGCTCCAACCGTTGCGCAAATCGATCCAGCCATCTCATCCCTGAGAGGCACGGCAGCGCATATTCTCGGTGTCATACACCTCTCTGATTACCATGTCATGGACTGCCCGCTGTCCATCCACGGTGTTCCGCACGGGGTCTGGAGAATCGGAGACCAAGCGAAGTCACCGATACCGACCACCATGAAGATCATGACGAGTCTGAATCACACGATCCACTTCCACACCCACGACGGGTTCCGGGCCGACGAGCTGCTGTACATCGAGGTCACCTCTCCGTGGGCCAGGGATGGGAGAGCGATGATCAACTCGAGGATTTTCAGCAAGCAGGGTATGCTGATTGCGACGGTTATTCAGGAGGTACGAACTGAACAGCCTGCTTTGTACCGCAATTCTTTTCCACAGACTAATGGACGTGAACAGGCATTCTATGTCTTCAAGGAGGACGCCAGTGCTAAGCTTTAAAGGAAGTCGCGAAGACGACCAAAGGGCGCGGAAAGGGATAGATGATATACGAGCCCTTAGAGGAAAATTTCTGCATATCTGGTAACATGCCACTGCTGTTTTCGATTTAGAGTACCATATAGGAGGAAGATTAAAGGTCAACCCGCCGTCGAGAAGGGTAAAGAGGTGATGGAATAGAAAAGGAGAGACGATTAGTGACTCCTTCAGAAAAGGAAGCCTTTAAGATTAATGCGTCGCCGGAGCAAGGAAATCTGAGATCCTGCAGAGCATATGCGCCTTAAATGCAATTCATATCTCAACCATAAATCCTCATCCATCATCCTCCCACACATCGAGCATTGGGTACATATGTCTCATGCCACAAGCACCGCCTGTCGAATCACGCAATCTGCCTGCTTTGTATGTTTGATGCTGCGTTGATACACTCTCATCACCATGCGGTGACCAAACTCTGTATCGGCATGTCACGGCAAGCTGGGAAATGTCGTCCAACTCGCTCAATGTCATAGCCCTGATATCGGGCGGCAAGGATTCGCTGTTCAGCATCCTGCATTGCCTTGAGAGCGGGCACCAGGTGGTGGCGCTCGCCAACCTCTACCCGGGCGCCACATCCGTGAGCAATGAACGAAGGAATGCATCCTCGGTCGAGATTTCTCACGGAGAAGGCCAATCTGAAGAAGGGGAAGATCTAAACAGCTTCATGTACCAGACGGTCGGACACTCCGTGATACCACTGTACGAGAAGTGTCTCGGCATTCCGCTCTACCGGCGAGAAATCATGGGCTCGGCAGTGCAAATGGGTCGATACTACGATGCAAGCGATCTCGGTTCAACGCTCGACGAGACCGAAGACTTGATACCCTTGTTGAGGGAAGTCATGCAGATACACCCCGAAGCGAATGCTCTCTGTTCGGGCGCCATACTCTCGACCTACCAACGGACCAGAGTCGAGTCTGTCGCAGTCCGGCTTGGTCTAACACCGCTGGCATACCTCTGGCAATATCCTGCGCTTCCTCCCCCAATTGGACGAGGTGAGTCCCTGACTGGCCTGCTGGATGACATGAGAGCAGCTGGCTGCGACGCCAGAATCATCAAGATTGCAAGCGGTGGCATCAAAGAGAGTCTTTTGTGGGCCAATGTAGCAGACCCAAGAACCCAGTTGAGGCTTGTGAACGGTCTCCGGCCTTTCTTCCCCGACCACGAGTTCTGGCTGCGCGGAGCGGTCTTGGGAGAAGGGGGAGAATACGAGTCGCTGGCTGTCAATGGGCCTAGAAGACTGTGGAGGAGAAGAATCGTGGTCCCACCAGAACAGCAATCTACATTTACTGGGGAAGGCGGAGTGAGCTATCTCCAACTGGGGAAGCCCAGAACAGAGGAGAACCATGCAGATGGCTCTGAAACACAGGAAGAGTCACTCAGAGTGCCACAGCTGTTTGACCCTCAATTCCAAGCCGTCGTGGTGACTGTCAAACCCCAAGAGACGGCGAGCGTCAGCAGCGATGCAGAGAAGCCCGATGAAGCTGACACCCAAAGGTCGCGGCGAATGTTGATACCATCCCTCCGACCTGTCAAGTGCCTGACCTCAGGCCATGTATCAATTTGCAACATTACTTCCGGCGGACCCAGCCATGCTGAAAGTCCAAGCAGCGCTGCAAGTCAAATGCAGCATATATGTGATGACCTGAAATCTTTGCTCGGGTCGATATCAAGCTCTCTCGATATAGCGACAGGGCTCACACCGTCTAATATCGTCTCCACGACCTTGTTGCTGAAGGACATGTCGAACTTTGGGGCGGTCAACCCGATCTATGCTTCGCTGTTCCGCTCAGGCGAGCCGAACCCTCCAGCACGTGTCACAATTGCATGTCCGCTTCCAGAGAACATTGAAGTCAGTCTGAGTGTGCTAATCGACGCCGGCCCTCGTGATGCCCGACGAGGGCTGCACGTGCAGAGTCGGAGCTACTGGGCGCCAGCGAACATTGGACCGTACAGTCAAGCCATTTGTGTGCCAGTGGGCAAACAAGAGGAAACCCAAATCAATGTTCACGATGCAGGGTTGGTAGAGATGGTCCATATGGCCGGACAAATCCCTCTGGTTCCGCACAGCATGAATTTTCTTTCGCAGGCAGGGTTTTTGGAGGAGACGGCGTTGGGTCTGCAGCATTTGTGGCGGATTGGCCAAGAGCGAGGTGTCGACATGTGGCCTTGGGGGATAGCCTTTTTGGAAAGCGGCTGCACAGATGGCCCTGTTCGTCCCGAGCTTTCATGCAGAGTATGGCAACAAGCTCATCTGACTGGGACGAGATCGACAAAGGCCGGCATGGGCGAAGAAGGCGACGAGGCGGACGAGGGGCCGGATGCGTGGGACCTGCAGTATAATCGTGCTTCGACGTATGAGGCGTCCAGTGGAGAGATGACAGTAGGCCAACATCTTCATCTTCTTCCAGACGCAAATATCTTCCGACAGGATGGGAGCTCAGCTACGTTCGTTCCTCCCTTCGTCGCTGCAGAGGTTGTTTCTCTGCCTCGAAGCGCGCCGGCCGAGTGGTGGAGCATGGGAATCGCAAATTTGCCCAAGAGTCCAGCATCCAAGCCTCGAGTGTCGGCAGTTCGGAAAGATCGGGTTTGGGGATCTATGGCCAAGGTGACAATTCATCCTCCTTCATACGGGAAATCAGGCACAATTGTTCACTTGATCACGGCGCTGGTCCATCAACGTGCTGACATTGCTGGGGTCGAGAGCGATATCCTAAACCTGATTCTGCCCGACAACGAGTCCGAAACTCTGTCATTGGGCCCTGCAGAACTGGTCCACGGCACCGCTTTCATCACGTTGCAGGCTCAACAGGAGTGGTCTCGGATGAGTGGAGGGCATCTCCTCAGGAACCTAGCAGTCATACCGTGCAACTCGTTGTTTGGAAGCTCTGGGGTAGTTCCCAGTGCGGCTGCGGCGAACAACCTGGCCGTCTCGTCGCTGCCGGCCATTGAGTTCGGCACAGACATCCAAGCACCAGCGGCGTTCTACCCACCCTTGCCCCTTGGCCTCGCAGTGGTCATGCGGATCGACCAGAGTACGATGTAGTCCCGATGAAAGTGTATTTGCACTGTTTCTATTTCTGTCTCAGGCTTCACACCCGCCCGGACAACCATTTTTTCACTACCCATGGACTCTAAGAATATCAAATACTAGATCCGTGGACAGTGTGCGGCCGATTCTTCCAAAAGCAGCTGCAGCAGCGGGAGTGAGAGTGGGAGTGGAAGCGCTACTCAAGACATAGTACACCCGCTCACAGACACCGTGTGAAAGACATGGAAGTCACACACTATGGACGCCGACGGAGCCGATCTTGAATCTGGGTTCTCAGCTTGATCTGCAGAGAATACCCGCCGGGGGCTGGCGAGGCTGAGGTAAGTCCGAGGAGCGCGCGCGAATTGAATCACGCCCACGCGTCTGTCCGTGTATCCGTCCTTTGCGAAGGTCAGCTGGAACTTTTGAAGCATCAATAACTGAGCCGCTCGCTGTACATAAGCGCCGAGGCAGATTCATTCATTCCCTCTGGACGGAGTTGGACGACGAAGTAGTGGCGGCAACGGCGGCGGCAAAATGGCGAAGAACAGCGAACTTTGGTGCCCTTGGAGAATGAGCTCAGCGGTGACGTTGGCTGGGTATCAGGGTCAGGGATTTGGACCAGGATATACCCAGTACTGTACTGTATCAACGCGGACATATTGGTAGTTGGCTGGACGATTCAAGACATCCACCCCAAAGCTCGCGCCATTATCCTGGATACCTTCTCATTTTCCCCTGTTGTGAACTCCTCACAGAGATTCATCCATTCATGAATGGACGGGAAGGATGTACATAATGGAGTATCTGAGCGAAGGCTGCTTTACCCTGAGCTTTGCCTGAGCCAATATCTAGTCCGCCCTGGGCACTCCCTGAGTCTCCCACCGAGCGATAACGAGCGATCGGCTGCACCTTTGTCTCCGCTGGGCACTTATTTTTTGGTAGACAATCGTCCGGGAACCGGTATTTTACTATTCGATGACGTGCACCTACGCTACTGGTCTAAACCACCAGAGCTGCTTAACTAAAACAGTTGGTAGAGGCGCCTAGAAAGTCCCCTTTATATTGCAAAAACCTCACTAGTTAATCAGACGGTCTCCCTGCCTTTTTTTCCGTACTTTGCACACGGGGTGCTAGTTTCGAGCCACACATTTCTTACTCCTATTGTCGAGAATTGGCATGAGAAGAACCTTCCTTTAAGTAGAATTGTCTTACCTAGTTACAATAGTATATATCGATTGCTGAAGAAGAAATATCGTTCTGAAGTCAGTGGTCTTTGTCTCTTGCTGCTGACCTTCCTAATTCCTAGCGCATTTGCAACCCAACGGACTCCCGCCGTATCATCTCAGGCGGTTGATAATCCACTTGGGCGTCGAGGAATACTGTAATACTGTCTTCAATCTTTGCTGGCTATGAGGAGTCTAGCAGACTATAGAAGTTACGGGAGCAGGTCATTCCATACAACAACAACCACGGCCTCTGTGCAAGTGTCTTGGAGCATATCGCCTCCAAAATGGCCTTCCATATATAAAATGACCAAGACTCGCCCCACTAAATATCTGTTTCGGGTGACGAAAACTGAGTACACGTTGTTCTACCCTGAGCACATCCAAGTTATAAGTCGGCTCTCTTGCGGCGTGGCTGCGCAGTTTCCCTCCTGGCTTCGCTGGCCCTCTCGCATCCTGCACCGCGCGAGTAGAGCCCTGAGCAGGATGTTGAAGTGTCTCCAACTCACTCCGTAGATTCCCAGATTTGGTTCAATCGGCACAGCCTCCCTAGCCATAGTCTGTACTACCTTCCGCTGTTAGGTCTTCAGCTCAGCCTCCCTAGCCTCCCGTCGACGCGTCGTTTCCAGTACTAGTGCACCAGAAATTTTGTAGATGATATGGGTAGTCGGCCACCCCACACTTACCCTTCATTGCCTCGCCAGCACTCGACCATCAACATTGCTTATACAGTCGACACATCAAAAGGGCGCCGTCGAAGGCACCATTAACATCCAGCTTGCTCACGCCGCCGTCATCGTCGCCGGTATCGCAGATTCAAGCAGCGTCCTCTCCCCATGGAGGTTCTTTCTTCGTCAACGAACTTTACTCACAGGTTAAAGAGTCTCTGCAAGCAAGAACAACGCCGTCTGGTGCTGTTCCGCCTCCAGGTTGACGCACAAGATCCTTCGTCGATTGTAAGATGTGAAACTTTCATGTGCGACTTGTGGGGACAACAATACCTTCACTTTCATTCTCAACTCTGACCTTTTGCCAACCCTACCTTCCAATCTCCAATCTCCAATCCTGCTTGACGATGAACTAGTACACATCTCTAGGACTTTGGAACGTTTTCTGCGGCACAAACGCAATGAAGGCTTTCGCGGTCTCCTGTATGCCCGAAGCATATGTGAGCTACCTCATCGAGCATCTATAGAGGACATCCACAAGATGCCTTCTGGTGAGAGACTGCGCCTTATACAAAAATTGGGAAAGATCCTTGACCAAGCGAGCCGGAAGATCGATTTGCACAGAGAAATTGCTGCGCTTTCTCGGGAAGAGCTCGAGACTCTGTTGAAGTCGGGGGCACAACGTGATAAACCCGTCACCAAACCTGGGACAAGGACGGTTCTCACTTATGAAGATAATGCTTAACCGTCTTTAAGCAGCTCTATGTATGGGGAATGTGGTGTGACGTTGTAAAGGAGATGTCCGAATTCGACTGCTTTACCCTTTCTGATCTTTTCATGGGGATGTCATGATCTGAGGAAGAGATTCGTTGGTGACGATCCGGGCGACGAAGAAGAGGATCAAGCATTTCTCGACAGCTACTGGCACGTCATGGTGGCTGGCCGTCGGTTTGACGGCACTCGAGTGGAAAAGAAGGGGCTGGGGAGCTTGCTCGAGCCCATGTTCCAGAATCGGGATGACGAGGATCGTGAACGGAGCCAAGAGGAAATCAAATGGAGAGTGCACGTCTCTCAAGTGCTGCGAGGACGAGTGCTCATCTACACCGAGGGTGGTAGGCTGGGTCTCGTTCCCGGTAACTTGATGGTCGGATATGAGGTGTGCGTGATCCTAGGCTGCAGTGTCCCAGTTATCATGGCGGAATTGAATTACATCGACGACACGGGAGCGATGTCATCAGATCCTTCCCATCACGGGAAGCCAAGCGGCCATCATATTTTATGGTGCGAGTGCTTCATCGACGGCATGATGGATGGGGAGATGATTGAAGAGTTGGGAGGCGAGGAAAACGGCCTGCGAATGATTCATGGCGCCGAGGGTGTCGGGGAGGATAGAACATGGGGGTTAGGCGAGGGGATTCAAATGAGAGAGTTTCACATTATCTGAAACAATACAGAACTAATCGCGAATGGAGGATGAGTTCTCGAGAGATGTTGTTGACGCTGGTACTCGGTAGTTAAAAATGGAGTTCCCGGCCCAGTCTAGGAGCCAAACATGGCTTTTTTCCGTCCACACTCCTACCGAGACTCCCTAAGTATGTTATACCGATGTTATACCCATGTTATGCCTATGTTATACCCATGTTATACCCATGTTATGTACCCAGGACCATGGTGGCTGCCACGGTGTCTTGGACTTCGTCATCGTAAAGCCATCAATCCAAAATCCGAAAGCCCATGTGCCGCGTCGCGTCAGGTCCTTCTTTCGTGGCCCTTGTCCCTGTTGTTCCCGCCCCGATTCCCGTTCCCGTTCCCGTTCGTGTCCCCCAGTCGCGAGGTTCTCGCGCCTCCTCGTGCCCCCCTATTTAGGCCCGGGTGGTTGGGTGGTTGGGTGGTTGGGTGGTTGGGTGGGCGGGTAGGGGAGGTCACTGAATGAGTGAGGCATGACAGAGTGCCTGCATTAGTGACATCGTACCGACCTCCATCACGGGCTCTCAAAAGGTAGTAATTGAGTCTTTTTCTTTCTCCGTATCTTCTCTTTCCTTGCGTTTTGCTTTTTTTTTTTTTTTTTTCCTTCATGAACTGCTTCCCCCCCCCCCTGCACTAGCCTGGTTTCATGTCCTCTCCCCCCTGGCTTGGTCCCTTCTTCCCTATCCCTTCTCGCCTACCTATCCGACCTTCTCACCTACATACCCGTTTGTACCTACCAACCAGTACTCGTATTTACGAGGCACATTCCTCGCGCACACAACCTTCCCCCTGCCCCTACAGCTGATAGTGCGTTTCGGATCGTGTCGTGGCGTTTCGCATTTGTTTCCATCGCCAACCGTACATACCAGTGCCAGTCCAACAGCCCAACGAATGTTCCACGCCCTTCCGCCCTCTCTTCCCTGCCGTTGAGTGATGAGTAACTCCCCCCCATTCACGGCTGAAGCCTATCAATCAATCGACTCATCTATGTCCCTAGATAGGTAGGTGGTGAAAGGAGGATTGAGAACCCACCTAATGTAAACCAACGCCCCGACCCAATCGCATGGGACCCCCAAAGAAAAAGAAAATAAAGGCAGCCCATCGTCATAATCTTCGACTATCCACAAACCAGCACCCAAACAGACTGTGGAATGGAAATGGGAAAGGGAAAGGGAAAGGATCTATCCAGGGCTTGTGCGCCCCATGTGCCTCCCTCCCTACCCGCCCACCCACGCCCACCATACAATCAAACAATCAAGCAAATCACCCACCCCCAGAATTTCCCTCCCAAGGCCCCAGCGAGGAGCGAAAATTCGTTCTCCCTTCTGGCGTTATCTGCTATCGATAGCTGCGAGATAGAAGCTCAAGATAGAAGATATGTAGAAGGCGCACCTATGTAGAAAGCCCTGTGGTCGCCATGTGGGCATGCATACATGCGCTACCTATTCCCGAGTCCGTAGCCTTCACCACAGGAACCCTAGGGGGCCCGTGGATGGGGGTCTTGTACACAAACCCCTCTCATGGCGAATTTATTGCGAAACCTTTACATCACCCGTCACTATCGCAAACCAAGCTGAACGAACGAACGGCGTGGCATGGCATGGACCTTGTTGACTGCAGTGGCCAACACTCATAGGTAGAACAAGTTCACACTCGAGAATTCTAATAGTACAAAAAGGTACACTGGCGGGTACGTACAGGAAGCTCTGCGAAAGCGGGCTCTGAATGCTGCCTGGTAACGTTGCTTGCTCATCCCCGGATTGTCTGTTTCTCATCTTTGGAGCCTGCGCTTCAAATCTCTCTTCATCTTCCATCCTCACAATGTGTGAAAGGAAAAGAAAAATTGTGGTTCCGTGTCAAAATCCAAAAAAAAAAGGCAATAAAAGATGGGTCTTGAAGGAAAGAAAAGAAGTAAAAAATGGTCGGTCGTCGTCGACCTCCAACTCCCCCTCTTCCCGCACAGCTCTGTGTCTGCCTGCACCAGCAAAAAGATAATACGTTCCCCCTTGATCACCACAGCCACCCATGCCCAACCCCCTCCCCCCATCAAGAAAGGCCATAGAATACAATAAAGTGGTCTTGAAAAGCAGTTGAAGCGAGAGTTAAAAGGTTCTAAAGCACTTTTCTTCCCATAGGCATACACTTTCTTGAGCTCCTGCGTTGCGTTGGTTTTTCCCGTCTCGTCGACTCCGAGTTGGTGGCCCCCATTTGGGTGCTTGGGCGAGGGAATCCCTGAGAAATATTCTTGTATCGGTCCTGAATCACATCATAAGAATCATTGCGGTCGTGGTTGCTTTGTGTTGTTGTTTTGGTAAGATTTCGGGTTTTCATGATGGTTCTTTTGTAATTCGTGAGGTCAAATCGGGTATATTTACAGGGATTCGTCTCGCTTCCTCTTCTTCAGGGCACGCTTGCTTTCTCCGGATGACGACGCTTCGGACCCACTGCTGCTGCTGCTGCTGGACGAAGTAGCCATGGCTGCTCGTTGTGCCGCCTCGTAGAGAGCGTGGCCCATTTCCTCGTCGTAAGGCTGGTGAGGCTGGAGCTCGCCGTTCTCAAGCACACCCATGACGATGGCGCCGCTGCCATGAGTACGGGCATGTTGGGCGAGATTGTCGGAGCGCGAAAACTTCTTGCCACACTCGTTGCACTCAAATGGCTTGTCCTGTGTATGCAGAGAGCGGTAGTGACGCTTCAGGTGCTCTTGTCGACGGAAGCGACGAGAGCAGAGGGTGCACACGAATGTCTTGGAGGGATCTTCGGTCAACGATTGCTTTCGTCCACGGCGATTGGCAGGAGCTTGTGATGGAGTAGAGCCATCGGCGTTGGTGGAGCCACCGTTGTCCTCGTTGGTGCTTTGCTGTTCCTGAGGGGTAGCCTCGGAAGTGCTTTGACCGTCAGCGTGGCTGTTGATGTGGGCATCCGACTGAGTGAAGTTTTGGAATTCCAAATCACTGTCGATCGAGCCGTTGCGCTTCATCTTGCGCGGAGCTTTCTTCTTGGGTGCGCAGCACGAGCCTGAATCGGAGGACGAGGCAGGAGAGAGCAGGCCGGCGTGGGCAGCGTGGTCGTCCTCATCAAAGCTGCCAAAGCTGTGTACGCTGAGAAAGTCCTCCTCTTCACCCACAGACAATCTCAGCCTCTTGTCACCGTTGTAGGCAATCTCTGGGTCGGTGAAGTTGACGAAACTGAATTCGTCTTCCGAGTCCAACTCGGTGCAGAAAGAGGCTTCAAACGAAGGATTTTCGACGAGAGTGAATGGATCGGCAGTTTCATGCTCGGGAGTGATGGGGAAGGCTGTGTTTCCGAGGGCAAACTTGTGCTCGTCGTCTTCGGCAGACAAAGTAGGCAAAGGAGGGAAGCTCTGGACAGGCGCAGAAATGACGGGTTCAAGCGAAATCGAAGTCAAATCTCGGAGGTTGACAAATTCCGCTACAGGATAGGCCGCGGGCGAGACTTGAGATTGAGGAGAAGCAGGGGCTAGAGAAGGTGAAGCGCAGCTGCTCAAGTTGGCGGTGGTGGAGGTGGAAGTGGTAGAAGCGGAGTGAAAGGAGTCGGTGCAGTTGCTGGGCAGAAGCGCCGCCTTGGCATCGCCGGGATGCGGGAAAATGTGCACCTCTGCTAAAGCTCGTTAGAACCTGTTTCATGCCATTGCTATCGCTCACTTCGAAACCGGATGGTACTTACGTCCGTTCTCCGCCCACTCATCCAGAAAAGTCAGAGGCTGCATTTCCTCCTTGCTTGCTTCAATTGGCAGGTTAAAGTACCCGGCGCCGTGCACGGGCGTCTGGTTCACACTGCTCGCTGGAGGACTGCTGGCTGTGCTGGGGCAGGCCGAGAGACATGGAGTCGGTGGTGAAGAGTGCCGGCTCTCAAGGTAGCGTCCATGCTCCATATGGCCGTTGCTATCCAGCAAGATCTTGGGCATAGGCATGGCCAGCGTCAATGGTGGGGACGCCCTAGGAGTCAGCACCTGCTGAGGAACGTAGTGGGCGTGAGGGTGTCCTCGGGCATAGTGAGCAGGCGCTTGCCAGTACTGGTGAACCATATACTGCTGCTGCTGTGGCGGTGGCTGCTGTTGATGGTGAGGATACCCAGCCATGGGGCTATATGCAGGCTGCTCTGTTGGCATGGGCGTGAACACAGCATTATGCCGTGCGTCCGAGTCGGGCCGGTACTGGTAGAATTGGATCTGTTGGGTTGCCATTGGATATGGGGCTTCCATTTTAATGGTCTTCTTCTGTGGTCTGGAATAGACGTATATTCCCCCTATCCTCTTGATTCTTCTTTCTTTCCTAGGTTTGCTGTCTCTCGCAGAAGCCTTGAATCAGAACACAAATGTTGATAGCAAGGTCGAGGTGGTTGTAGTACAGGTTGGTACAAAGAAAATTGATGTGTCCAATGAATGGCTATGTCGTCGTCTCCGAGGGTCCCTTTCTGTCTCTGATCACTGGCTGAAGCTATACATACAACAATGCAGGATATGCTGGTAACCGTCCAGTCAAGTGATGACAGAGACGTATCTGTAGGCAGGCAAGGGGATTAGAGGATATGGTACAATGGTTGTTGGTACAGGCTTTCAAAAGGAAGGACTGGATATTGTTCAATCAAGTACAGCTGGGTGTTGTACAGGAGTATTGAACAAGGATCCGGAAAGGCCTGGTCAAAGGAGAGGATATAACAAGAGGTAGAAGAAAGCGTAGATCGTGGGGGATAAATGAACGACTGCCTCGATATGAGGAAACGAGAGGGAGAGGATAAGAGCTGGGATCACTGGGTGCCAGAACGAGGCATAAAGAGAGATCGCTGGATAGCCCGAGGGCTCTGAGGCCGGCGGCCACCAGTGACTTGGGCCCTGCACCTCGATGGAGTATAGTTCGATGGGCTGCAGGCTTCAAGAGGCTTGCAGCACCGGGCGCTGCGCTTCGGGACCGTCGTGTTCGACCCATGTCAGTGACTTGACGGAGGGTGGAGGTC